CTTTGCATACGTTGTCATTATTCACGATTTATTCTGTATCCCTCAATATTTTTATTTCCCTTTTGTTCTCTCTTCCCCATTTTAGTTAAACTCTTTCCTGAGTCCTTTACAGCTTTGTTGCAACTACGAAGAGTTCTTTCTGTAACTCTTTCAAATGCCTCCTATTTCTTTTTCTTGCTTTATTGCCTTGGCAGAAAATCCAATGCAATGTTGGATAGGAGTGGCCAGAGTGAACACCCTTTTCTTCGTTCTGATCTTTGAGGGAAATCGTTAACCATCTAACCATCTCTAACCATCAAGTATAATCTCTAACCATCAAGTATAAGATTGGTTGCAAGTTTTTCACAAATGCTCTTTAAAAATATTTTTTAAGGGGTGACTGGGTGGCTCAGTCGGTTAAGCAACCAGCTTCAGCTCAGGTCATGATCTCATGGTTCGTGGGTTCGAGACCCACATTGGGCTCTGTGCTGACAGCTCGGAGCCTGGAGACTGTTTCAGATTCTGTGTCTTCCTCTCTCTCTCTCAGAAATAAATTTAAAGAAATTAAAAAATTTTTAAATATTATTTTACATTTTTTTATTTTTTTAATGTTTTTTATTTATTTCTGAGAGACAGTGTGAGCAGGGGAGGGTCAGAGAGAGAGGGCGACACAGAATCCAAAACAGGCTCCAGGCTCCAAGATAGCTGTCAGCACAGAGCCCAACATGGGGCATGAACCCATGAACCGTGAGATCATGACCTGAGCCGAAGTCGGATGCTCAACCGACTGAGCCACCCAGGCACCCCTAAAAATATATTTTTAAACTTTATTTATTTACTTTGGGAGAGAGCAAGGATGAGTGGGGGAGGGGCAGAGAGGGATGGAAAGAGAATCCCAAGTAGGATCCACGCTGACACAGCACAGAGCCCGATGCGGGGCTCGAACTCACAAACCATGAGCTAGTAACTGGAGCTGAAATCAAGAGTGGGATGCTTGGGGCGCCTGGGTGGCTTAGTCGGTTAAGTGTCCGACTTTCGCTTAGGTCATGATCTCGCGGTTCGTGGGTTCGGGCCCCGCGTCGGGCTCTGTGCTGGCTGCTGCCTCAGAGCCTGGAGCCTGTTTCAGTCTGTGACTCCCTCTCTCTCTGGCCCTCCCCTGCTCACGCTGTCTCTCTCTCTCTCTCCTAGAAATAAATAAAAAACATTAAAAAAAAAAACTTTAAAAAAAAAAAAAAGAGTGGGATGCTTAACCACCTGAGCCACCCAGGTGCTCCTCATGAATGCTTTTTATCAGACTGACAGAGTTCCCTTCTCTTCCTACTTTGCTGAGGGTCTCTCATCATGAATGGATGATGAATTTTGTCAAGTGCTTTTTCTGCATCTACTGAGAGGTTTTTGTATGCAGTACTTTTACTTTAACTTGTTAATATGAAGAATTCCATCAAAAGATATTTCTGGTGTTGAGCGCTATTTCATTCCTGAAAAATAGCTTGTAATGTAATTTTGAAATATCTTTTAAAAGCCCATTTTTATATCACTAATAACATACTAATATTTCCTTTTCAAAAATTAAAGTGTTTCTGTGTAGTATTTGAAAACGCACAGCATTTCCCTGGAGGATGCCTGAAAAATTGCTCTTAAGGATGGTTTCCAGGAAAGGCACCCGGGTGGCTGTGGGATCAGGGAGAGAGGTACTCCTGGTGGCTCATTTATCCTCTTTGCATTTTGTTCCGGGGGCATTGAACTCCTCTTGAAAACACTGAATCAAATTACAACATTCCAGAAGATGCTGGAGTTCCTTTTGTCCACTGTGCCTAACGCTTTTTCCTCCTTGACCTCCTCTTGAAGTTACAACTCATGAATTTGGTGTGCTTCCTCTGAGGGATAATCTTCGCATTTGCCAACATTGTTAATATTTTAACTTTTAAAAAGGAAAACATACTAGTGTGTTCCTCTAGTGCTTTTCTTCTGCCTTTTTAATATGTATATGTGTGTATATATATATACATATAGATATATATATGTATATGTCCACAGAAACTACAGAGTAATGTTTTACGTTGTGTGTGTATTATGTAGATAAAATCACACTGCTAGCATAATTCGGATTTTTTTTTGCTCTGTTGTTTAGAAGCACTACATATATATACACACACATTTATATATATATGTGTATATATGTATGCGTATATGTATATATGTGTATGTGTATGTATATATATGTACATATATGTTTTTTAAGGTTTTATTTTTTTAAGTAATCTCTACACCCAACATGGGGCTCAAACCCACAGCCCGAAGACCAAGAGTCACATGCTCTATGGGGTGCCTTCGTGGCTCAGTCGGTTAAGCCACCAACTCGATTTCCACTCAGGTCATGATCTCCCAGTTCATGAGTTCGAGCCCCACATGGGGCTCTATGCTGACAGTGTGGAGCCTGCTTAGGATTCACTCTCCCCTCCCCCCACTCGTGCTCTCTCTCTCAAAAAATAAATTAATAAACTTTAAAAAAAGTGCTCTACCGACTGAGCCAGTCAGGCACCCCTAGGAGCTTTATAATATTACATATGCATCTAGCGCCTCCTTTTAGACAGTCGTACAGGGTTATATAATAGAAGACCATCCCAATTTTGTACTCTATTCTAGAGCCTCTCCAGGATGGATATAGAGTAGTGAAAGTGTTGGGTTTTAGGGTGTACACATTCCTTGTTGTTGTTGTTTTAACAAACACTACTCAATTTCTCTCTAAAGGGACTATACTTGTTTCTTTAATGCACCAAGCATGCATTTAACACACAGATGGCCTTACTGACTAGCCGTGACCTCATTGAGCAAGGCATGTTTGATCTCTGGACCCCCTGTGACTCCATCTGCAAGAGGAGGGAGTTGGGTGGACTCCATGAGTGTGTGAGACGGCATCATGATAGCTCGTGCAGCCTCTGAGTGGGTGGGGGGGGGGGGGGAGGGCGGGGCGGCAGCCAAGCTGAAGGCAGGCAATTTACACTCACTTGGCCCTTACCGTGGCTCCTTCATTAGAACAATGACAATTTATCCGGAGTCCTCATCCAAAAGCCCCCTCTGGAAGGCCTGGATACCCTTTTCCTCTGGGGGAACTCCCCCCCCATCCCAGTGTCTCCCGCAGGCAGAAGTGGCAAGCAGGGTTAGCAAAATGTATAAATGGTAATAGTGTCATTGAACAAATAAAGACTCTTAACAAATACAGAGCAATGTAATCGTGCTGGTCAAAGATAATTACAGGATTCACAGACGATATTAATTCATAATGCACTGTTGATGGTTTGATCCAGGAACGGACCACACGGTTCTATGAAGAATGCTTTCCTTTTCAACCCCGTCAGGGGAATGCTCTGACTGAATGTGTAAGCGCCTTTGGAGAAGTCTCTATTCGAGCCACTTCCTGAAGGGGAGATGAACCAAAGGCCCTCCCGCCTTCTCTACCCTAACCAGGTTCAACTCCTCTGAGGCTGACAGTGAAAAGAGACATCTTGTTTAATGTTTCTAAATCGGATGACTGTGTTGATTACCCACACGTTGAACAAATCTGGATGTATTTTATGGTTTTCCAATGTATGCATTTTGGTTATTTTAGTTGAATAAGAGAAGGGGGGAAAGGTTCTTCTTCCTCTGGAGTAAAGACAAGGGAAGAGAGGACAGGGATAAAGTGGATTCTAAGACGCGGTAGAGGTGGGTTCGGGGCCACAGTAGATGCGGATTATGAGCCACAGTAGAGGTGGGCTCTGGGGAAGAGACCAGATGGATTCTGGGACATGGAAGAGGTGAGTTGTTAGGTCAGGGACCAGGTGGATTCCGGGGCATGGTAGATGTTGGTTTGGGACATCCCAACCAAGGGTGGGTTCTGGGATGTGGTAGCGGGGAGTTCTTAGGTCAGGGATCGGGTGGGTTTGTAGGACAGGTGTGAGAGGTGGATTCTGGGACAGGAACTAAGTGGATGCTGGGACAGCCACAAGGCGATTCTGGATCCGAACAGATGGATTGTGGGCTGGCCATCCCACTCCCGAGTTCCCAGAACCTACATGCATAGTTTCTCTGGAGCCCTGAACGTGACCCATGGCACTGTTGGCTTATCAGTCTCCCACAGGCCTGAGCTCAAACACCACTTCCTCACAGCGGCCTCCGTGGGGGGCCTCAGGGGCCTCCCCCTCCCCCCCCATGACATTGCCCTTTAGCTCCACATGCTTGTCCTTCCTGTAGTTTCTCTCCTACTACTCTGCGGGCCAGGTGACGGTGCATTTACACCTGAGATTCCCTGGGCACCCCTGACTCCTGACTCCTGGCCACGCAGGCGCCGCGTGTGCGCCGCTCCCCACGGAGCACAGGGCCAGGCACACAGAGGCTGCCCAGCACTCGCTTGTACTGAACGAAGGAGTTTTCCATGACACCGGGGATCCTGTTTGATTTACGGCTTCTTTCCGAGTGCCTGAGCGGCCTTCTAAGTGCGCGGCGAATCAATAAATAAAGGAAAGAAGGGTGTCGGGCAAGAGGAAGTGAGGGAGGAAAGAAGAGGGAGGGAAAGTGAAAGGGACTGGAAGGAGGAAGCGTAGGAGGGGAAGCCGGGGCTGGGCCGGTGAGCGGGGGAGGGGGAACCGAGGGGCACGGAAGGAGGACCGCACAGCGAATGAATGAACGCCGGGCCGGCCGCGCGCGCCGCCCCCGGCCCCGCCCGCCGGTGCGTCCTGCGCGCCCGGTCCCCGCAAAGCCGCCCGCGCAGCCCCGCGCGCGGCCCGCGCTCCCCGCGCCGGGGGGTCCGAGCTCCGCCCCGCCCCGCCCCCACGCCGGCCCCGCCCCGCCCGCGCCCGCGCCCCCTCCCCGCGCCGGCCCGGCCGCGCGAGGCATTGTGGGAGTTGTGGTCCGCGCGGCCCCGCGGAGCGCAGCGCGGCGTCGGCACCGGCGGGGGCACCGGCTCGGCTCGGGCTCCCGCGGCGTGGGCCGGGCGGTGTCCCCGCGGCGCGGGCAGGGGGCGTCTGCGCGTCCGCGCCCTCGGGCGGCGGCGTCGCCGCGGCCCCAGCGTCCGCCCCCGCCGCCCGCGCGCAGGTAAGCGTCGTCTCCGGGGGTCCGCGGGGAGGGTGGGGGGGACGGCGCGGTGCCCTCCGCCCCCCCCCCCCACTGGGAGACAGGGAGGAGGCGGGGGCCGGGCGGCTGCAGGCCCGCGGTCCCCACGCCCGGCGGCGGCGCGGCCGCTGGGGATGCTCGCGGACGCCGGCGCCCGCCCGCGCCCCGCATCCCGGCCCGGCAGAGGGGGCCTGCCGCCCCGCTCTCGCTACGTGCTTAGCGCCGCCGCCGGGGCTGGCTGTGTTTGCGGCGGGCCGGGCATCACCCTCCTCGAAGCCCCTGACCCATCGCGGCGCCCACCCCGGTGTTACCGGCGCCCCCCCTACAACCCTCCTCTTCGTGACCCTTCTCCCGGGTCCCTTTACCAGCCTGCTCTCCCCCTCCCCCCAGACCTGAGCGTCACCCACTTCCCAGATTTCCTGCGGTGACCCTCCTCCTCTGTCCCATGAGCTATCACCATAAGCTACTTTCCCTGGTCTCTAGTTGATTGTCCACTTCTCCAGTCAATTGTCACCTTTCCGTGGCCCCATCCCGCTCCTCCCCGACCTCCTGGTGGTCACCATCTGTGTTAACTCATCCGGTGCCCACCCCCTTGCCCCCACTCTCCAGAGTGGGTGGATGCTGGAAAAAATTGTCCCGGAAAGTGAGGAGGAGAGGTCTCCAGTTGCCCACGGGGAAGGGCTGGTCCTGGGCAGCTCCCTGGATCCTGGGTGACGGGAGGGTGACCTGCATGACACCTTGCTTGGTGTTGCCCTGCCCCTTGGAGGGGCTTCTAGAGTGGCCTGGCCACACCCTGGGAGTAACCAGCTGGTTAGCACTGGGCAGCCACTTAGATTGTAAGGTAAACTGCATTAGCCAGGTTAGAGCGGAGTCTGTACCCAGATGTTCATCATATCAGAAGTTGTATTTCACTGGACTTGCTCACCAGCTGGCAGTGAATTTGGACCCTGTTCCCCAGAGCTAACTGACCTTTAAGGAGTTCTTAAAGTGCAGAACTGCAGTGACAGATCCCCATCCCTAATGAGGACAGACATGAAACAGATGTGTGAAGGAAACTGGAAGTCACTGGTCGCTGAGCCGGGAACTGGGGGAGGGGAGCGAGCATTGGGGGTTCAAGCGTCCTGTTGAGCTGTTGAGTGTCAAACGTTTAAACCAGTACTTAATAAGCTGTCAGTCACCCTGCAAATGTAAGGGCTTTTCTTTTTTTTTTTTTTTTTTTTGTGTCTGTGTCACATTTCAGTGGTGAGCTTTTTAATCCACTTTTGGGCTCAGGGGCCTGCCAGCATAATTTGGCTAAAAGTAACTGGCAGGTAAGACAAGTCCTAACTTCCGCTGTCAGTGCTGTCTTGAGGACAGAACCCGAAGCTGGGGTTGGTGTATCTGGATCTTTTGCTGTCTTTTGTTTATAGCTCAGCCCAGGAAGCACTCATGGCTGATACTGTCTAGGATGAGGCTGGAGAGAGTGAGTGGCCGGGATGTCCAATGCAGAGATGCCGTCACCTTCCTCCCTGTCTCCCAGGTCTTCCCTGTGCGTGGGTTAAGTGATTAGCAGGGCTGATGGGAACTGACACGTAACAGGTGTTTGTTAAATTATCACCATCTCGCTTCTCATTTAAGAAAAGCCTCTTCTCCTGAGAGACCGAGTTTAAAAGTTCCAATTAGAGGTTTAGCTCAGTGAAGGGGGAAATCCTTTTAGTAAAAGTGCTGGTTTATCACGCAGATGACAGTTTCACGCAGAATTTCAGGAACCCTGGGGTTCTGTTTGGGAGACAGGCTCGCAAACAAAACAGAAGAAAAACATCTGGCTTCTTCTCTTTCCCTTTTCCTTGAGAGGCTAGGGCAGAAGCTGGGACAGGAGGGGTCTGTTTCCATCCCGTGGGGCCCGGATCTGGGAAGAAATTGAGAACGTGTGAGACAGAAGATCGAGCTGCTAGCCTCCCCACTCTTGTATTTTTCCTAGAAACATCAAAATGGCCACGAATATTTAGCATGTGTGTTTTTGACGTACGAAACCTTATAGTCAGGTGATCCTTAATTCGACCTAGACTGGGAAAGTGCAAGTAGGAAGTTAATGAGCACCTGATGCTCTTTTTCATTTTTAGCTTTGCAAGTCTGGGGACCCAAAAAAAAAAAAAATCACTTAAGATGTGTGGCGACGAGAATATCCAGAATTTGCCTTCAGATTTGCTAGTCCTGAGATACCGTTAGCTGATGTCCTACCTCTGCTTTGCTGGCTGACCAGCATGGGGTGTCACACATGTGAGCAGCGAGCTCCTATTAAACGCCTCGGTGACATCCTGAGTGCTTACAGCTGTCCTCCTTCCCCTCCCTCCAGGGAGAGGAGCACACCCCCTCCTAGCGATGAGCAAACTGAGCGGGAGGGGAAGTGACCTGCCCAGGGTCCACCTCCCCCCCCCCACAGTGTGGGTTCTTTGCCCCTCTGCCTCCTTGCAAGAGTTTTCCAACCAGATGTAGTCCCAGGAGAAAGGGGACGGTTTTTAGAGTTTTTAAAGAATTTTTTTAGTTGCCTTCTATTCCCACGAGAGAGAAGGGAGAGGTAGAGCACAAAACGATTTTTCTGAATTTATTCGGCCCCTGGCGCCGAGGGATTGTATTAGGCCTGGAGGAGTTCACAGAGCTGGCTGTTCTCAGATTAGAAAAAAGCAGGGTGGAATGAGGATTTCAGCTGGGAAACACAGCCGGGGTTTTATAGCAGCGTGACTGCTGGGCCCTGATCATACTCCTGGGCTATTAGGACAGTCGGGGTGCTAGACACCGGCCCTTGACCATTGGCGGGATACGCGGCAGAGAGACCCGAGAGGGCTTCTCTTTCCTTTTCCCCCATCACTTCTCTCATAACATGTGGGTGAGTCCAGTGAGGAGCCTCCCAAGCAGGTAGACAGAAGTGCCCTGGGTCTGCCGTGGGGATCACGTCCTCTTCAGCTAGGTGTAAGCCCATCCCGTGCCAGAAGGGCAAGAGAGATGAGGAAAGAATGCCTAAGTGCCGTGAAAAGAGAAAGTAAAATGGGGATTTACGGCTCCTTTGCCGTAAAGCATTATTTTTTTAAGTGATCTCTCAGCCCAACGTGGGGCTTGAACTCCCGACCCCGATCGTGTGTTCCCTGAACTGAGCCAGCCAGGTCCCTGCCCTGGCTGCGTGAACGTGGGTGAGGTATGTGACCCCTCCGGGCCTCGGCTTCCCTGTCTGTAAAATGGAGCTGATCACACCCCCTGAGGACGACACAGAACAGGCCAGGCATCTGTACTTCTCAGCCAGTACTAGATGCAGATTAAGTGCCACGGGCCATTTAGGAAATGGGAAGGGACACACACAATTGAGAAGCGTGTCCCCTACCAACAGGACAAGCTGGGACCGTACGTTTTAGTTGAGGATTTGCCCAGGCATAAAAAATTTACGCTGGTTTACTTTCCTTTTCCTATCTCAGGTGTGGACTTCCTAAAACACCCACTCGCCGTGACCGAGCCCACCTCCTAGGGTGACGTGAAGTGGCTCCTTCCAGCCTCCGCGGAGTGGCAGCCCAGACGTTTGTCGATGCCGCCCCTGGCGGGCTCCGAGGGACAGTGGCCGCCATGCCTCCCCCTGCCCCATCTCCCCCGCGCTGAGCTGCATGGTGTGGGTGCCCCTGGGACCCCCGAAGACTGACTGCCTGACCTTGCTTCGCACGCCCGCCCACAACCGCCCCAAGATGTCGCTCGAGTGGCTGGTGGCCTGGAGCTGGTCGCTGGACGGCCTGAGGGACTGCATCGCCACTGGCATCCAGTCAGTGCGGGACTGCGACAGCACCGCCGTGGTCACCGTGGCCTGCCTGCTGGTCCTGTTCGTGTGGTACTGTTACCACGTGGGCCGGGAGCAGCCCCGGCCCTACGTGTCCGTCAACTCCCTGATGCAGGGCGCAGACGCCAACGGGCTGCAGAATGGGTACGTGTACTGCCAGTCACCCGAGTGCGTACGCTGCGCCCACAACGAGGGCCTCAACCAGAAGCTCTACCACAATCTGCAGGAGTACGCCAAGCGGTACTCGTGGTCCGGCATGGGCCGCATCCACAAGGGCATCCGCGAGCAGGGCCGCTACCTCAACAGCCGGCCCTCCATCCAGAAGCCCGAGGTCTTCTTCCTGCCCGACCTGCCCACCACACCCTACTTCGCCCGGGATGCCCAGAAGCATGATGTGGAGCTGCTGGAGCGGAACTTCCAGACCATCCTGTGTGAGTTTGAGACCCTTTACCGAGCCTTCTCGAACTGCAGCCTGCCGCAAGGCTGGAAAATGAACAGCACGCCCAGCGGGGAGTGGGTCACCTTTTACTTGGTCAACCAGGGGGTTTGCGTTCCCAGGAACTGCAGAAAGTGCCCACGGACGTACCGCTTGCTCGGAAGCCTTCGGACCTGTATTGGGAACAATGTTTTTGGGAATGCGTGCATCTCCGTGCTGAGCCCCGGGACTGTGATTACGGAGCACTATGGGCCCACCAACATACGAATCCGATGCCATTTAGGTATGTCGCAGGGACGGGGGTCTCCTGGCTCACGGCACCCCAGGCAGCCTGAGGGCTCAGTGGTCACAATTGTGCCTTTTCGCATTCTTCACTGTGCTCCTGTCACAGGTTGATGGATCGCAGGTAAACATTTCTCAGAAGCTCTGTCCAGAGGACAGAAGTGGCGACGGAAATGGTCTCCATCTGCGCTGTCCAAGTACGGAAGCCACTAGCAGTGCATGCGTATTGAGGGCTTGAAATGTGGCTGGTGCTGGTGAGGAACAGAATCTCTCGCCTAATCTGAATTTAGATGAGGCACGCGTGGCTGGTGGCTCCTGTATTGGGCAGCGCATCTCTAGAGCCAAAGGCTACTGTAGCCATGGCTGAGGTTCGTGGTATCTGGGGGGCCATGAAAGATGCATTCGCGCCTCCTGAATCGAGGGTGAAGTCACGCTTGCTGTTAACGCGGATTTTATTCACGTTCTGGGGAAATTGGTGACTCGCGTGGCAGTGGCTTTGAGAACAAGGTCGGAATCAGCTGGGCCATGTTCGCGTCCCGCCCGCGCCACCAGCTAGCAGTGTTACTTTGGACAAGACATTTCACCTCTCTGGGCCTCGGTGTCCTCCTGTAGAAAAGGGGAGGTACAGAGATCATCCCCTGCGGGGTTACTTGGAGGGTCTGTTGTGCTGTGTACAACACAGGTTGTACTGTGTACTGTGCAAGGTGTACTGTGCAGCGTGTATTCACACGGAGCCTGGTGTGGGGCCAGTACTCACCCTTTGGGGGCCCTTAATAACAACTCCGTCTATAGAGAGGTTACTTCCCCAGGATGCCTTACTCCTGGTGAGTCACGCTAATGGGTTGGTGCCGGGGCGAAGGCGCCAGCAGTTAGCATCCCAGACTAGTGGAGCGCGCCCAGAGCCTGGACAGGGTCCAGCTTCCGGAAGGTCGCGGTGCTGGCTGCCTTGGCTTCAGAATGGGGGGAGCCCCGATCTGGGCTGGAGCAGGGCCGCCTTAAGCGTTCCGCTGAGGAACCTCAGGGCTGCCTGCAGGGACCTGGCCCTCAAGCGCTGCTTTCCCCCAGAGCCCCCTGCTGACCCTGCCCATGTGGGGGTTCTGACTAAGAGGGTTCCGCTGCTTTGAAAAGCAACGAGATTCGAGCAGTTGACAGCACGTGTATTTCAAGGGCAAGGGCAGAGGCGCCAGAGGAGGCGTCCTGGCTCCATGGTCAGCTGTGGGACTCTGGGCAAGTATCTGAGTCCCTCTGTGCCTCAGTCTCCTCCTCTGTAAAATGGGGAGGCGGCACCTACCTCAGGATCGTTGGCCGGCGTCTCTGTGGCTGCTTGGCACTCGGCAACAGTGGCAGCTTGTAGGTTTTGTGATGAAACGCATGCTGGCCAGTCCCAGAAAGGAGCCATAAGACGTGGGGTCTCCAGAAACCGTGGGAAAAGATCAGGCTTTGGAAGCACGCACACCTAGACTCCACTCTGTGGGCCCCGCCTGCCCAATCTTGGCTGGGACCTTGAAACTCTGAGCCTCCGTTTCCAAGGAGAAAACAGAGGTAAAAATACCTGCCTGGGGGCTGTCTGGAGGGTTAGAGTCCATGTGTGAGGTGTTGGCAGGTGGAGGGCCGTCAGCTAAAGGGCAGCCCTTACCCTGGTTAATCCAGGCAGTGAGGTAAAGTCTCTGTGCAGATGGCGGGGCACGCAGAGCTACAGGTGGGGGGCAGAGGAGCCTTCCTTCACCCCCGAGCTCTGGACATGGCTTGCTGGAAGTCCGCTGTCAGGCTGAGGTTAGACAGGTTGGGTGGGAGGCAACTGCGGAGGGCCCCCATGGGGGCGGGGTGGGCTTCGGAATTGAGGCTGTGGGCACTGGGGAGCTGTGCAGGGTTCTCTTTGGAAGGTTTCCTTTGTGTGTTTTTAAAGAGCTTCAGCGTGACCTGTAGGGAGGAGCGTTTGTGGACTGATGCAGAATTCCAGGCACATGCCAAGGCCCGGTGGCTGGAGAGGCCAGGATCTGCCTCCTGCACATTAACGCCTGTTGTGCATCCGCGCAGCGTGCTTGTGTGTGTAAACCGGGCCCTCGTTAGGACTGCTCATTCCCTTCCCTGCCCAGCTCGTCCTCGCCACCAGCAAAACTGGGCCGCATCATGTTCCCTTGGACAGCAGGCAGCCTTGGAAGAAGTCCCGCCAGGTTGTGGCTGCTCCCCCACGGCCAGGGCCGGCTCCACGGTCAGCTTTGCTCAGCATTTCCTTCTTTCCGCCGGCACGCCCACGTTCCCGTCCACCCCGGAAGGAAACAGAGGTGTGTGGGACTCACGTGACCTCAGGGGTGGCCAGAGAGGGAGTCCAGAGACCGAGGGCAGAAGCAGAGTGAGCCGGGATGTCCCTGGGGGCCACGCCTCTGCCAGCTCGCCTGGCTGGTGGGCAGGAAGCACCTGGAGTCCCTGAACCACACTCTTGACTTGCCAACCTTTGTCCCCCCGTCCCTGCCTTCCATCTGCGTTGGATTAGGGGGGCTGCCCCTCCTGGCAGCTGAAACCCCAGCCACTGCTCTGCATTCGCCCAGTCCCCTTCAGGCTCTGAGCTGCCTCTAGACTCGATCTGGACCTCACGTAGAGCCGTGGGACAAGCTGTCACCTAGCATGTCACATAGCATGGGGCTGGGACACCCCGATGGCACCGCCGCATACCTCCAGTAGGCCCCATCTGACGCTAACTAAGCAGACTTGCTGGGGAGGCTGCTGACCTTCCACACGGCCGACGGTCAGGAAAGGGCAGATGAAAACGCATGAGGGTATTCAGCACATCCTCACTACACAAGCACGGTTCGACTCGCGTCGCCTTCCGTTTGTGCACTGTTGGGTTTCTTGGCTGTCTGGCTGGGTAGAACCAGCAGATCAGCTGGTGTTTGCCTTGCCCACCTGAGTGCCAGTCCCCGGCGACCTGAAGTGGGGGCTGCTGGCAGCCAGAGCCCTCTCTCCGCCCTTGACCTGCCTCGCTGGGGGATTGGGGACAAAGCCTGAAGCCGGAGGACGCGGGGCCTGTCTCTGTCCCCAAGAGCCATCTGAACGCTCCGTCTGGGAGTATTAGTCATTTCTGCCAACTGAGCTGGTGTGTGGGCCATGGGTGGGAATGGCGGGCTGCTAGCAGGCCAAGCAGAATGAAGGGGGGAAGCGGGAGAAAGTGATCATGGGGGCTGCCAGGCCAGCAAGCCAGGCCATTGTTCCCTGTGTGGTGGGGGGTGCTGATGAATCAGTGGCCCAGAGAAGGACAGCTGCTCTCTGGAGGCCTGGGGTGCAGGGTCTCTGCAGACAGCCGCCCATCCCTCCGTGAGGGGCTCCCACGGAGAGATGTGGCCTGGAGGGCCCTCTCCCTCTGTGCCCATCACCCCCAGCCCCGCCTCCCCAGCAGTTAACAGTAGCGGGCGATGGGAGACCGTGTTCCGGAGTCCGAAGGGGTGGGCTTAGGTCACGCAGTGAAACGTCTTGTTAATGTCACAACATTAACTACAGAAACGGTCACTTTCGTGCCACTCGCTGCTCCGGCTGGGTGACTAGAACTTGTCCCACAGTGTCCAGGGTTAGAAGAGCCTGTTCTTCGGAGCAGGAAGGATCTGGGTTGAAATCCCAGGTCCCTCAAGGACTGCGTCGCGTGACTTCTGGCGGGTTGCTTTCCTTCTCGGAATCTCTGTGGCTCCACCTGGGGAGGGGTGGGGGAGTGTACAGTGCTTCCTTAGCCCAGACCCGCCCTGCGCCCAGCTTGGACTTGCGTTCTTGGCGGTGGAGACCGGGGTTGTGCGGCCCAGATGGTGGGAACGCTGATGGCCCCCTTCACAGATGCCTGGGTCCTGGCTCAGAGAGGTTCAGTGACTTGTCCCAAATCCTGCAGCACTTAAGGGCCAGAGCCAGTCACCCGGCCCCAGGCCCCCTGTCCTTGCCCCTCCTCCGTGCAGCTGTGTGTGAGCTCCCGCCGCACCCGTGCTTCCTGGAGCAGCCGCTTCTGGTTCAAGGGGTGTGTTAAATTGCTCCATTAGAGAGAACTCCCCTTCGTGTTTGTCCTGAGAGTTAAATCAGAGGGGCTGCCGATTGGCTCTGGGTCATGGCTGTCCCGCTAGTCACCGCAGACAGACCAGACCACTGGGGTCCCACCCCTGTGCCTGTTTCTCCCTGCGCCGTCCTCCCTGAGAGCCGCGGGGCCGACACAGCCTCCTGTGAACCGGAGGCGGCTGTGGTGGTGCCTCTGTGTGCAGATGCCCTGCAGTGACGGGGCCAGGTGTTTTCCGAGCCCCTGGACGTGAAAGCACGCACGGCACCATCTCTGCCAGGCCCTCTCTGGGGCTGCGCGCCCAGCTGGGCCCTGGCCGCTTGCAGCCTTGTGCACATGCCCCCTTATGGAGGTGGGGGCCTCTTTCTTCTTAGAGCCCAGGCGTTTCCCTAGGGGTGACCTCCAGTTTCCCAGAGGGAGGCTGGAGGAACTTAGAGTGAGAACATGCTCTCCTCGGGCCCCAAAATGCATTTAAGGCTTGGAGCCCAAAGGGGGCACTGTCTCATCTCCACAGAAAACAGCCATAGAGACAGGGCTGTAATAAACACAGTTCCCGGGCCTGGCGGCTATGAACTGGCCGCCCTTGATAAACAGCCGGGGTGGGGGGGTCCCCACAAATGGGCCTCGGGGGCCTCACGAGTGCAGCACGGAGTCTTGACCGAGAAGCCTGTGAGCCCAGACCCACAGAGCAAGACAGCGGAACAATGTGTTCTTCCAAGGAGTGAGCTCGGGGTTCGCAGCCGGGAGTTGCCCTGTCCGAGTGCACCTCCCCCCACGCCCCCAGAGAGGGCTCCGAGAGGCTGGGCGGAAGGCCTGGCGCTTCTTCGGGAGTTGAGCGCTCACACTGGAGCAGGCCACCCCCGATCCCGCCTGCCTTCACTGTCTTTTCTCTCCTTTTGCCCCAAAGGTCTCAAAACTCCCAGCGGCTGCGAGCTGGTGGTGGGGGGAGAGCCCCAGTGTTGGGCGGAAGGACGCTGCCTCCTCTTTGATGATTCTTTCCTGCACACTGCATTCCACGAGGGTGAGTGCTGGCGGCAGCAGTCGGTGGTCGTCAGGGGCTTTGGTTTTTAGCCCAGTTCAGGTTCCCGGAAGCATTGAGTGGAAAGCGTACCCCACCCCCATGCACATTTTCCCCTCCTGTTACGCTCTTTGTTAATTGACGCATGATTACGAATTAAACTGCAGTGTCCGTTAGGGTTCACTCTTGCTGTCGTATGTTCCGTGGGTTCTGCAGGTGTATAGTGACACGTGCACCGTGACAGGATCGTACGGAACAGCCTCACTCCCCTGAAAATCCTCCGTGTTCCCCCGAGCACATATTCAGCCCTACCTCCCGCTGCCCGCCTCCCTCTGTGCGCTCTGCCCAGAACCTGATGGAGCCGTGCTGGCGTTCTTGTTCAGCGGGAGGTGCTCTTCCACCTATGCCAGGGCATGGTTGGGTCCCTGCCCCAAAGCTCAGTGTGTGGGGGCCCGCGCTGCGCGGCTTTCTGCTCTGGGACAGTTTGAACCTCTCCTCTCTTGCACCCTCCCCTCCCCCCCAGGCTCGGCAGAGGATGGCCCACGGGTGGTTTTCATGGTGGATTTGTGGCACCCCAATGTGGCGGCGGCCGAACGGCAGGCTCTGGATTTCATCTTCGCTCCAGGACGATGAGGAAGCCCCTGTGCTGGAGTCGGTGCGAGTGACCGCGGTTCAGCCTGGGGTCCGGGCCCGCCCCCTAGTCGTGCTGGGGTCCCACGCTCCAAAGCCTGCCTCAACGGAAAGTCCTCACTTGGGATCTCGAGATCACGCTGGGTCCCTCTTTCCTCTGATTAATGTAAATGGGAAATTTTCGGCTTGTATTTCCTTAGGTTTGGTTTTTTTCTCCTTCCAGTCATTTGCTCCTGCGACTCCTCTCCGCCTAATCGCGCATTACTTTGCTCCGTGGCTGGAGGCTCGGCGCCCCTGTCCTTGCTGCACCGCTGCTCGGTTTTCCCAGTGCTCTGAAACAGAGTGACCAAACGGTTATCTGTCTGAATGTAATAACGTGAAACTGCTCCTGGTCATCGTATCAGAAAAACTAACAAAACTCGGCCAAAAAACTGCAAGCCAGAGTGCTAGAGACCTTGGCCTCTGTTGCTGTCACAGCCACACAGGGGCCCCCTCAGCCCCCTGGGGCCGGCAGGGTGGGGAGAGTGGGCGAGCCCCACAGCCAGCTGGCTTCCTGGGCAGGGAGGCCCCGGTCAGGGGCGGCATCCCCGCACCCTACACACCCTGTCACCGTCGCTCACCTCACCCCGAACCCCGTCAGGCCCCCGGTGGCGGGGAGCGTCCGACTGGTGGGACTGATGGCTCTTCCGTAAACACCGCTCCCCTGCGGAGCTGGGGCTGGGGTCCTCAAGGGCCACGTCGGGGCGCCCGCAGGTCAGCTGCAGCACGTGTGACCCACTTACCTCACTGCCTACCGAAGCCCCACTGCCTGGAAGATTCCCCGCACAGCTGTTTCGAGTCCACGGTGACGCACATCAAGACCCCATGTTGGCGGTAGCAGCGGGGACATGTGGTGAGACTCGCTCGTCCAGCGGCACGCCAGGACCCCCCTCCTCTGGCAACGCAGGAATCGCAGATCTGACCAAGAAGCGTCCGTTTTGCTTTGGAGTTCTGTCGCCTCTGATTTTCCAGTTACCCGTCTGTACATAAATGTTCCAGCGCTGACTCCGGGATGGCGGAAGGGTCGGCCCTGTGTCCCCGTCACCGCACAGGGATGCGCGCCCAGTGACAGCCACCTAGGCCAGTGTGTGTGAGAGAGAGAGACCTCCGGGAAGACCCATGAACCCACGGTCACGGTGCTGGCTTCTCGGTCGCCTGTGAAAGACGTGGCCGGTGTGAGGCTCCAATTCTAGAAACATCCTCCTGTTAGCAGACGTGTGCGAGAGTAGCCTGCAGCCGTCCTCGCGATGCCTTTTTTGACTAACCGTCATGGTCAGTGTCCAATTTACAAAGCCGTGGGGCAGTGCGGGGTGTGCAGCTTGGCCCATGCGCACGGCCGGGGCGATGTCTGGAAGGAGCAGCCGTCAGAAGGTACTATGATCCGAAAAGCGCGAGGTGGCTACTAGCAAGTGAGCCAAGAAAACAGGTCTGTATTTGGGTAAACTTTCTACGCAGATATTTTTCAGTGATCAGAGTGCAGGACAGGGCAGAAACTTCGAACACACCTGATGTCTTTTTACTCATTAAGTATCTTGTTCCAGAATGACCGAGGTGCATGACTTCTCTACATACTGACTGCTCCACGTTCACAAAGCCAACAGCCCACACAGGCACGCGGCTCCCTGAGCTCATGTGACGTGGTTGGGGAACAGGAGATAAATAAAGGATCTTGCTGAAAACCAGAGTGGACTGGTAAAGTGGTCTGGGGGTGGAAAAATGGGTGACATGGGCAGGAACTCGCAGGACTTGGAGGCTCTTGGTGTTTGGATCATGTTGCAGAGACAGGCGGGGCCCTAAACGTATGTGGTGAATAAAGCAAAGCATGGTTCTCAGATAACATGGGTTATCTGCATGGGTGACAGCAGCAGCTGTGTGGAACATTCAGGAACTGTAGGTGCCACACTGGGCAAGGAACAAGGACCGTGGCTTCGCAAAGGGGGGCGTCCGGGACTCCGTGCCCGGAGCTCGCTCCCACCCAACCAGGGCATGGAACCTCAGTTTGCTCCATGGTGGAGGTGGTGCCTGGCACATACAGCGGTGACGGTCGGTCCTTTCTAATGCAGTGGTTCCGAGTGGGGGGGGGGGAGGTGAGGGAGAAGGGCGCATAAGGAAGAGGTGGAGAAACGGGAGGAAGCAGGTCCTAGTAGCTACATTAATATGTCTCCTTTTAGAGAGGGCGAGGTGAGGCGGGTGGCCCAGAGCCCCAGGCACAGCCCGGCTGCCTGGCGTCCTCCCAGGAAGCCGGCCTCCAGCCCAGTCCTGGCTGGGCTCCCTCGGCGGGCAGAAGGGAAGGCATCCCCGCCCGGGACCGGGATGTCTCTCACCCTCCTGAAGTGTGCATCGCCAGCGAGGCAGTTGCTAACATAATTGACACGCTCCCGCTGAAGATGCTCAAGGTGAGAAGCGGGCGTCGGCATGCCCACTGGCTTCACAAGAAGCCTGCCCCGGCTCCACGGCCAGCCTGCACAGGGTCACACCCGGGGTCTCCCAGCACCTGCTCGGTACCCCCGGCCTCACCCAGACTGTCTGGGTTCTGGGCACAGCGACAACATGTAACATCACATCAAATGCCCTACAGCATATAGCTGGGGGAGGGGAGGGAGGACGAGCCTAATCTGCCCATTCTTGACTTTGCAGGATACAATCAACCTGCTTTGAGAAATACTGATTGCTGCCTCCCCACCCCCAAGCAGTTCAGTTCTTTGTTCAAGGGGTGGGGCCAGGTCTCTGTATTTAACTCCTTTCCTGCCCTGATTCTAACAGGTAGCTGGGGCCGGCTCATGAATGGCAAGGCCTTTGAAACCAGCCAGCTCCAGGTGAAAGGCGGGATGGTGCCGGTCACTCTGGGCAGGCCACCTAACTTGGGTCTCTAACAGATGGTCGCTATTTGTTTCTATTTTTTATTAAAATTTTTAAAAATTTATTTTGAGAGAAAGAGCAAGCAGGGGAGGGGCAGAGTGAGAGGGGCAGAGAGAATCCCAAGCAGGCTCTGCACTGTCACCACAGAGCCCAATGCAGGGTTTGAGATCATGGCCGGAGCCGAAATCGAGAGTCGGACGCTTAACCGACTGAGCCCCCCAGGAGCCTGGGATGGCCGCTATTTTCAAGATCCTCCTCCAGCACCACCTTGCTGAGCCTCTTGCACAATGTAACAAACAGTCCCTTCTCAGTTCTTGGGTTTCTAGGATCCGAACAGCTCCAGCCGTAGGACTGCGTTCAGCATCCACACCCGACCAGTCAGAGCCTTCCAGACCCTCGGCACTCAGGCACTGGGTCAGGGCTGGTGGCATGATCCAGGTTCTTCTACCAGCACCACTGAGAAAGAAAGGCCCCTTTTCATGAGATATGAGTCAGGATCTGGTGCAAAGAAAATCTGAGAGCTAAACCCACAGAGGAGAGCAGCTTCCATCCACCCCGCAGGGGTCACCAGAGTCCTGGATAGAGCTTTGCCTGGACTTGATGGTCACATGAGCCAGTAAACTCCCTTTCTGTGCTGAAGCCCAGTTTGAGTTGGGGCTGCTGTCCCTTGCCACCAGAAAGCCCTGCCCCACTCAAGTTCATTTACAAAATGGGCCGAATGCCTACTCTCATAGGCTTAAAGTGATGTTTGAATAAGATCACGTTGTCAAGCTCCGGGTGGATGGGAAGCGCTCCACACGTAGTGTTTAAATGGAAACATGAGAAGCAAAAGCTGAGTACAAAATGCTGTTTGCAAGGACCTTGGGGCCCCGCTGCCAGCCACCTCCCCCTGAGATTCACCACCCAGCTAAAGCTTGCTAACCAGATGTAAACACGGAGAGCGGGAAGGAATAAGGCCACATATTTTCGAGCTGCTGACAGATGGCCGTGAACATATCAAGCAGATTGGAGCTTTCCATGCCGGGAGGCAGCACACACAGGGACCGATTTACTCTCTGCCTCCTGGCCAGGCACACGCGTTGGTCCTGACTTCTGGTCGCCTACCCTTCCCCACAGTTCCCCTCTTCTGATGCATTCTCCACCCCGGATCAACTGTGAGCAGAGACAGTTGTGTGCATTTAATACAGAAAACGGAGGCTCAGAGCAGCAGCTGCCGGGGACAAGGTCACGTGGCCAGCTGGGGGACGAGCCGGAATTAGACGAGAGGTACCAACACATGGTCTGGCAGTCTTTTCAACTCCCCTCCTACGTTCAGCTTTCATCTTCATCGCTGGCACGGGGACCCCCCCCCCCGCCGGAGATGCCATTTGCCCTCTTGGGACACTCACTGAACCCCCACTTTCTGATATGCCACCCCTTTCCTTAATTATCCTTTCCTCTCCGTTTCCAAGAAGGAGACACCGAGGTTCCAAGAAATAAAATAACTCGGCCCCGTTTCTACAGCAGTAAAGTTAAAGGGGTGTGAGCAGAGCCCCCTGCCCTGACAGCAAAGCCCACGTCCCTCCGTGGCCGCAGGAACCCCTGGGGCTGGTTGGAGCAAAGGACCTAGGCAGTGCCTTGTCACCAGCACACAGGAGGTGGGGGCTAGCTTGGCCCCTCCCCGTCCTGTCCACGGGGCCTCCCCGGGGAGTGTGGGCCCAGCCTAGCAGGAAAGCAGGGCCGAGCATGGCATTGACGCTCTGCTGGGCCCCGGGCGCACACGGATAGCCAACTCCTTGTTTCTAACAGGCTCCAGAAGCACCGTGGATTTCATTCCCAAGAGAAAGACAGCTGATTTCAGGTTCCGACGTTTAAAGTAAACAGAGAGGAAATGTCCTTTTTGTTATTTTAGCCCTGAAGCCCTTAAGCTTCCCATATTCAACAAACACACTGAGAAAAGATCCAGAGTATCTTGTTTTCTCCTCCACCTTAGTCCACACATGTTACACCTGTCCTTCCCAGGGTCTTCGCAGGGGCCCCGGGTCCTCTCCGTGCCCTGCTTCTTCTCATCCATTCAGGAGCCAACAGACTCACTCCCCTTTGCCCCAGGATGTTAGCCTGGGGGCAGTGTTTGCAAGGCGGTCCAGTGGCCATAACCGCAGCCACAGGCTTGGTGGCTCAAAACAACAGAACTTCATTCTCGCGCGCTTCTGGACGCCCACGTCTGAAATCTGTTTCGTGAGACCCAAATCAGCGCGTCCCCAGAGTGGCACCCCTTCCGGAGGCTCCAGGGCAGAATCCATCCGTCATCTCTCTGGGCGTCCCGTGGCCCCTGCGTTCCTTGACTTGTGACCGGGTCACTCCAGTCTCTGCCTCCGCATCACCTCCTCTCAGTCTGACTCGTCTTTCTCTGCCTCTCGGGTAATGGCACTGAGATAATCCAGAATGTTCTCTGCACCTCCAGATTCTTAAGCACACCAGCACAACGTTTATCATATGAGGTAACGCAGGTGCCAGGGACGGGGAGGCAGTACGTTTTTGGGGCCACCACTGGCACAGCACGGAGCACGTCACACCCACTCGCTGCGGGGTGTGCGGTGCCGGAGGGGGTGTGAAGGCTTGTCAGCTGTGGAAAGGACCGCCGTGGGGTTGGCACTCGAGGCAGACACGGAACGGGTGAAGCAGCCAGGCTTCACGTGCTGCCGCTGTCAGTGACGAGAGCCGGTGCGCCTAGATCCTTCCCTCCAGCGGGGACACAGTGTGATTAGGCTCAACCGCCCCCTAGGGACTGGAGGTCCTTTCCCAGCAGGAATCTGATTGCCCCTTTTAATCAGTCCACGGGAACTTGATCCTTAAGGTTCAAGATGCAGATGCTGGGCCACCGGGCGCGGACGGACCCAAAACAGCCCCTGGCACCCCTTCCTCATGCTGGTTCACCGCTCCCATAAGGCTGTTGTCCAGGATGACTGGGGCACTCGAGTGTCACCTGTAAACTGAGGCAGGGCAGGCGTTCCAACAGAAGGGCCCCCGCTCTGGGGAGCCTTGAGTCCAGAGGCCAGTTGTGAGGGTGAAGTCCTCATAGCCAGCGGGAACTGCAGCATCAAACAGGAAGACGAGGGAGGGGTTAAGTGCCCCTCTTGCAGCAGCTCGGGGCCATAGTCACCATCAAGGCTGCTGCTGAGGTTCCTGAGCTGAGCTTAGGGCCAGAGAAGCAAAGGGAAGGGGCGTACCATGTTTACGGACTTCAGCTTTTCTGGATTCGTCCCTGGGGGGATGAGACTTGGTGAGTGGGTGGGGGGTCGTTTCGCATACACAAGGGGGTAGGAATCGACAGTCCCATCTCAGTGGAGAGTGGAAGAAGGCTCAGCACAAATGACTTTACGGAGCTGTCTTCAGTCTCGGAGCTGTCTTCAGTCTCGTGCTGGGGGCGGGTGCTGGGGGACACTGGCTCAGGGCAGGTTGGACCATGTGCTGAAGCGACCACAGCTGGGAGCCAGAGGGCTGGGCCAGGGTGACGGTGAGCCGTTCAAGTCCTCAGCAGTGGGAGGCCACCCTCCAAACTGACCCCCAGCTCCTGGACAAGAATAAAGGTGAGGGGGCTGCCCCTTTCCCGCTCCTCTTGCTGCCTCCTGCCACCACCCTCCCTTCTCAGCTCCAGGACATGCATCCTAGGACCAGGACATGACCATCCAGGGACCCTCCCAGCTTCCTCCATGGTGCTACCCGTCCTCCACCTCCACCTGATGGGTCTCTTCAAACTGCAGGGACAAGGTTTCACTGGTGTCCACACACACCTCCGTCACAGGCCTCCCAGAGAAACAGGCCAGGTGCGGCCAGGAAGGCTGGGGGCTTGGGGCCATTTGGGTGGACATCCACTTCCAGAAGAGGGAGGCACCTGGGTGGCTGGAGTAAGAAGTGGGGACCCAGCTGGCTATCAATGTCAGGCTCTGGAAGCCATAGGAAACACTGAGGGACTGATCACAGGGTCTTCCTCAGTGGTCCAGCCCGGCCCTCCAAGGTGGGAAAGGGGGTGCCCGGGGTCCAAGACTGCAGCTGTGTCTGGCATGGGGCTAAAATGCAGTGCCAAAGCAGTAAGGAACCTGGCTTGGTGGATGGGATGTTGGCATAAGGGTGTCTTAATTATCTACCATCATGTAATACATAACCCCCAGGCTCAGAACCACATGTGTTTATTAGGTCACATGCTTTTGGAAGGCTGGGAATTCAGAAGCAACTTGGCTTGCTGGTTCCTGTTCAGTTTCTCCTGAGGCTGCTCTCATCTGATGGCTTGACCGGGGCTGGAGCAAGAAGGTCACTCACACGGCTGTGGGCAGGAGACCCTCACCACGACGGCTGCTTGAACGTCAGCTCGCCCCACATGAGGTGAGGCGGGGCACGGAAGCTGCCGTGTGTGGTGTAAGCTGCTCCCAGAAGTCACGCTGTCGTCCTCACCATGTTCTGTTCATCAGAGAGGGATCACTAGGCACAGCTGGCACTCAGGGGAGGAGGGTCAGGCCCCTCGTTTGTAGCAAAGAATCTGCAGGCGTGTTTTGAAACAACCGCTGCGTGTGAGTCTCACGCTCTCCGCGTGACTGTTTAGACCTACTCTGGGGGTAGGCTCTGAAGGGGGAGCATCTGGCTGCCTTGAGCATGGATTCTCAGGAGCAGAGGCATTTTGTATTAAGAGTGTTTTGAGGCTCAATGGCAGCCCTGGGAACGCAGAAGGGGACAGAGGCTTGTGAGCGCAAACCCGGCAAGATTCAGGTCTGCAGACAGCCAAGCGATCTGCCCGAGAAACGGATCCGGTTTGGAAGAGCCCTTGAACTCGGGCAGTTAGCAGAGCTGCGAGAGGAGGCAGATGACAATGGGTTCTGGGCTCCAACATGACAGGCTGCAATGTCCTTGAGCTCCAATCAGGGGCCCTTGGAATTCTGGAGTCCCAGTGAGCCAAAGGCAAAGTGTGGCTGTCTCAGAATATCCCACAGCAGGGAAGGACTGGGTGGTGTGTCTGTCGTGGGAAGTTCCTCGACAGGCTGGCACTGAGGCTCGTGATGAATTTGTTCTTGGAGAATTTAGCAGAGCGGCAGGACAGTGCCTGTCTCCCCTGGCTTGGGCAGTGACCCTCCTCCAGCTGGGAACGGGACCCTCGTAGGCCAGCCAGGGCAGCAGGGACCAGGGAGAGGTGGAAGGAAGGGTGGCTGGGCCTGGTGTCCTGGGCCAGCCACGCGGACACTGGGGTGGCGGCTGTGGGCAGTCCACCCACGCACACGTACACACGTACGCATGCACACCCACGCGGACAGACCCTTCTGAAGTGCGCCCGCACTCACCTGCCTGCACTGGATCAGGCTTGACAAACCATGTCTGTGCCAAATGGATCCACACACGTGCACACACACACACACACTCATAAAGTATTTTAACTTTAACTTTCTCACTAGAGAAACTTACAACTCAATGGCATTTCTGGCTGTTTTATTTGTAGCCCTCGGCAACTGGTTTCAAGAAAAAGACACTGTCAAAAACATTAGGCACTTGTTTACCAACACGAGACTATTAACACTGCAGTTTCCAAATGGAAATCACAGATACTTGCAGTAGACGGTTCAGACCCTGGGAAATATTTCCTCCTGTGGTCTGCACCGCATCATCGTACACTTTCTGCCTGGAACACTGGCCCGGGAATGCGGCCACCGCTGGAAAGCACAGCTTTGCTTCTGCCCCATTTTGGAAACTCCTGTTTGAGGACCATCACTGGAGAGGGGCCGGCTGCACGGCCCACCTCGCACCAGAGGTGCACAACCCAGTGTGCCATCACCCGGTCCCCAGGTTCGGCACCCCGGGGCTCACAGTTGCCTCGGAGCCCCGGGCTCCCTTCCACGTTATCAAGATTTGCCCCCACTGTGGGTGTTCCAAAGAGCAGAACAGAACTCCTGGTTCTGAATACAGTTCTAGAAAAAGCAAACAAGGTGGCTTCACATCCTGCCTGCCTCCCCGCACTGAGTGACCTCCCAGACACCCACCCGCGGTGTGGGGAGTTCCGTCCGCTTGCTAACAGATCCCGCCTCCTGCAGCCCTGCCTCACACTGCCCCTGGGACTCAGGACAAGAGAGTTCCAGAGACAGTGTTCACGGTACCAGTTAGGGCCCTGCGGGATGGCAGCAAGAAATGCTGGTGCCTCAGACCCCATGGGGCAGGGCAACAACCCAGACCTGCCCCTTTGGTAGAAGGAGCCAAGGCGCCCAGCCTGGCCCCAACCCGGCCGATGTAGTCAAGCCCTTTTTCACACTGACCTGAAGAACTACCCGCCCAAACCCCAATCTGCAAAAGGAGTAACACACACACACATCATCATGTTCCTGTCGAGGGGACTAGTCAAGAAAACTAGGACATGGGGACTTTGAAGAAGGCAGAGCTTCCTTTGCTGCCGTTCGACTTGCTCGTGCTCTCCTGGGGTAATGAACTTCCCACCACGGCCAGGCTCAAAGCAGGTTCACCCCGTGCTTCAGCAGCTTCTGCTTGGCTTTGCCCGGGAGGCTGAAGGCGCCGTCCTGCGGACTCGGGAAGCCGGAGCTCCGCGCCGCCGCTGCCAGCTGCTGGAAATAGGTTTCCTGGACGGGGCTGCAGCAGGCATACACAGCTGTGGAGGCATTTCTGCGGGGGGAGAAAGAAGACACGGTCCCAGGCTGCCTGGGCACACCCCTGACCCCACACACAGACCTCGAGAGGTGCTCGGCAGTGGCCCAATGATGCCAACTGCTGGGGGTGCGGCCGCCGTCGTTCAGGGCTCGACTTGCACACTCGAGTTCCAGGCACCAAGAGCCATCTTTCCTTCCCTTCGACTCCCTGGAGGCTGGCGCCATCTGTGGCGGGAGCGTCCGTGGCGGCCACGGCCACAGAGCCCGAGGTTACGAGGTTTGGTTGATGGCGTAGCGGGCAGCCGGCTTAGTCCTCGCCCAGCCATACGCAGCAGAGGCGCCAGGACCTGGAGGCGCAGGGCTGGGCGATGCCGTCCGGCTGCCAGGCACTGACAGCGGCCACGGAAGGCGGCTGGGTGGGTGGGGGCAGTGAGGGCAGAGGATGGGCTGCGACATCAAGTGACAGGAAACCTGTCACAGAAGCAGAGGGAGGGATGAGGGGCCCGTGCAAAGGAGGACCCCCACGGGAGGAAGTGATTCCGGGGCCAGGCATCCACCTGGCTCCCTGGTCCTTCCTATCTCAGACTATTTGCCCATTGGGCCTCAGTTTCCCCAAGTCTAGTAAACGTGAGTAGAGTCAGGGACCACTGGGATCTCTGCTCCCAGGGGAGGTCGGAGGAGGATCCGTCTTCCTCCAGCTTCTCCCTCTGGGACCTCAAGGGGCCAGAAGGGTGCAGGTGTTTTGTGGCACTCGCCGGACAGCGGGGTGAGAGGTGGGCAAGTCCTCCCAGGCACACAGGGGGGCACCGCGGCCTGGTGGCTGCCAGCACGGAGCTGGGCTCACATGCCCCTGACCCCAGCCCCGTGGCTTCCTAGCCGGTGCGCCTGGCTAAGTCACTCCTCCTGAGTCCCAGCTGTAAGTCCAGATCCGTAAAATGGATCTGACAACAGTGAATTCCATCACTGAGATTTTTTTTTAAGAGACTAACTGAGTAAAATACACAGAAGTTGCTTAGGACATGGTGAGTGGTATTGTTTCTGTTACTGTTAAAATAAGCCACGTACCCCGCAAGACGCCACTCGGGGCTCGAAGGAAGGTGAAGTACTGCAGGGCCACCATGTGGTTCATACGTCCCACACTGATGTCTGACTCATTTCCATCCCTCTCAAAGGGGACCCTCCCCCCCACACCCCGACACAAGTGACTGTGGTCCCCAAACCAGTGACTATAGATGTGCCTCTACGTTGCCAGCTTGAGGAAGCTTTGACTTAAGGCCAGAGAAGGCACACTTACAGAGAGAGACGCAGAAATACCGTCTGGAGGCGGCAGAAACGGCCAGCACCCCATGTACAGGGCATTAGCACCGTTGCCATGACGCCCAAGGCCCCAGGGTGCATCTGTGGGAGTCCAGACGCCACGCCGCCCCCCACCCCGCCACCGCTGCACCACTCTGCCTGCCCCTGAACTGGAAATACGGGGACAGAATGTGCACTTCAGAGTCAGAGACACCTGGGTTCAAATCCCGGCTCTGTCCCTGAATCAGAATGTGACCTGGGACAAGAGGCTTATCCTTTTTGAGCTTCAGCATCCGCGTCTGTTTGATGAAAAGGGAAAAACGCACTGGCCCAAATCGGGGCAAGGACTAGGTAGAATCGAGACACACAGTGGGCCCTCCCCTTCTGCCCTCCACTTGCCTTGTTTCTCGTACCGGCTTCATGAGAGAAGCATGTAGGGAGAGAGAGTAGAGTTGGTTAAACACTACAAATCATGACGGTGATTTATGGAGCTGTACCTCCCGGCATGGAGGTGGGTAGGATTTAGGATAAAATGAAAGCAGGAAGTTGTACAACAGTACATTAGTGTGATCCTGTTTTCTAGAAGAAAAGCTACTAACATAATGAAAACATTGACCATCTGTATTTTATGAGCAAAACAGAAACCCCAAACAACAACAAAGCCTGGGGTAAGAGACGCCAAATGATGAGCTGGGGGGATCTTGCGGGGGGTGTGGCAGGTGAGGGGAGGCGAACGTTTCACCTCGCGGATCAGGGCCAGAGCATTTTGCTGCCAGCACGGGACGCACGTCAGATGGCAGCAGAGGACTGGGACATCGCTGCGGGCAAGGGACAGAGGACCCTGTTCCGGCAAGGCAGAGGGAACCTTAGCTGTCCCTGCTGTTGCAGCCTTGTGTCCAAAGCAGGTCCGAGCCCCAGGAGAGGACCCAGAAAATACAGGACACAGGAAAGCATGACAGGAGGTGATGGTGGGCAGGGGAGGAGGCCTTAAAGAGAAGCAATGGAATGTTCCTCATTGCGTTATGAGTAAGGCTGTGGACCCAGAGCCCTGGGAAGGCCACTCTGGGTGCAGGACTTCAAGAGGGACCCCTGGGAGTGCTCACCTGACGGTCATCTCATACAGCGCAGGCAGCCTGGCAAAGTCCGAGTGCATGAGGCTGACGGCCCGGAGGAAGCGGCGGTCCTGGGTGGCGGCCACCTGTGGCACGTTCACTTGCGGAAGAGGACAAAGGAGGTGTGGCATTGGACGCATTCCCTGACCACCCCGCCCCTGGTGCTGAAAACTGGGAGAGCGAGGGGCCCGCGGCGGTGGGCACAGGCCCCCTATGCTGCCGCTGTGCGACAGAGCGCACACTGTCCCTGCGAGCGCCCCGCACTGGGTTCCTGCCCGTGGATCCCGCGGTGCTGAGGCAGGCCTCGTCACAGATATTTGAACATGTGTGTGCTGCTCTCCAAATGTTGGAGAAACAACCAAAAAAAGACAAATGAGTAAGGAAGTGTTTGCCAAGCGAATCCTAAACTCCGTGGGAGCTGGCGCCAAGCGCGAAAGCAGCCTCTTCACTGCGGGGTCCACAACGCCGGGCAGAGCACCAACCGCAGGGCGCCGGCCCCCGGGCGCGAACCCCCACCGCCCCAGTCCCGCGCGCCTCTCCTTACTGGTCAGCACGTGCTGGATGCGGTCATAGTGCGTGAAGTTGTAGGTCCTGCTGGGGAAGGCAGCGGTGTCCTTGGGCAGCGTCTCCTTCAGGTGGACCTCCAGCCCGTTCAGGGACGCCAGGCTGCTGTGGTACTGAGGGGGGCGGCAGGCACTTAGGGACTCGTGCTGTGGCCACCTGACTTTGCAAAAAGGACCCTCGGTGCGCTGGGGCGGGGGCTCAGGCGGTTAAGCACGCGACTCTTGGTTTCCGCTCGCGGCAGGGTCTCATGGTTCGGGAATTCGAGCCCAGAGTCAGGCTCTGTGTGGAGCGCGTGGAACCTGCTTGGGACTCTCTCTCTCCCTCTCTCTCTGATCCTCCCCCACGTGTACACGCGGGCATGCACACTCTCTTCTCTCAAAATAAATAAACTTAAAAATAAAGACTCTGACCAGCGTTTTTACCAGTTTTCAGAGAAGTACTAACTCTTGCCGTTATGTTCTGACGCTTTCCTAAGATGGTAGAAAAGTCAGAAAACAGAGGTAAACAGAAAAGCTGAAAAGGAAAAGAGCAAAGGAAAATGGTCCATAATCTGACTGTGCGGTAGTCGCCACTGCCGGCCCCCTGGCACATCTTCTGGCCATGATGTTCCCACCCAGGCACACGTTTTCACAGCCCAAGCAGCTGGGCCCACCCCCTGTGCTGCCCCCAGGAGCCTGGGCAGAGAAGTCCCCCACTGTCGGCACTGAGCTCACTGCTCTCCTGTGCTGCTCGAATCGCACCAATCACGCACTATTCTTGGAAGGACTGGAAAGCAGGGGTCAGATGGACTTTTGTGCTCTGTGGTTCAGGGGAGGGATCTGGCTGAGGAAGGCTGGCCGGGAGGGGAGGCCCACGCACCTATATTTTAAAACCACCTCCCAGGACCTGTCATGTGCAGTACAGCTGAGAACACAGGACTACGCCATTTTGCAGGACTCTTTCTTCACAGAATAAACATGGGGTCAAACCATACATGACAGTTGACACAGGTTTTATGACTTCATGATACAGCACCAACCATGTTCTTCATCCTTAAACTATGCTCTCGCAGCGTCAAACATCCTTCTCTAGCGGCTGTATGGTATTCTTTGAGCTCCGCTTTGGACCTGACCAAGTACATTGGTCATGGCCCGAGGGACTCGCTCTAAAGCAGGGGCCCCTCCGGCCCCTGTCCTGAGGTTGCTTTGGCAGCAAAAAGGCCGCCGTCCCCGGGAAGCAGGTGGCTCTTTGTGGCCAGATGATCAGGAGCAAGTTACTGAATTTTCTATGTCTCATTTTTTTTCCATCTGCAAAATGGGATGACAACAGGGCTATTGAGTGCATTAAGTGAACATAACACACGCAAAGGTCCACTGTAAGCTCTGAGAGTGCTACCCCGGGGGAAGGCATTTTTAGAGTAAAGAAAACGAAAATTACCGTCAAAGAAGAGGGATCTTTTTAACGAGCATGTAGGACTTGACTGTGGACTGTTACTTGACAGCCATGTAGAAAAATGAGCTCACGTGAAAAGTACAGAGAGGCACAGAGAATGCTTCAGGGGTGCAGGCCGAGAAGTGTCCTTTCTGGTAGCGTACTGGGCCGGGGTTAGTTCTTCTCTCTGGGTGTGTCAGAAGTGATTGCCAGAGGCAGTACATGTGCACACAAGGGTTCTCTGTGCGTGTTCATCTTTAGATCCCAGCGCCCAGCACAGTGCCAGGCCCCTCGTGGGTGTGCAGTACACGACAACACAGTGAAGAGGCAAAGGAGCATATCCAATCCCAAGCACACCCACTTACGGGCTGTCTGGTTTCAAGAGAGAGGCACAGTGAGAAGTCAAAGGACGTATGCTCAGGGAAGACAAGCTAGGTATCTCCTGGTCAGATCATCGCTGTAGCATAAGAGACAGGGCCCTTCCCCGAGGCTAACAAGCCTGTCTGAAAGGATGTGTGCGCACATCAGACCATGGCCTCGCTGGAAGTTTCTGGGCCTCAGGAACCTCGTAACAGTCATCCCTTCCATCTGGAGCCCAAAGGAAGGGATGGATAGTGGGGACAGAGAGTGAGGTGTGCTAAAACCCAAGTTTTCCCTGTGGGCACTGAACTCTGCTTTTGGAACCTTCTGCCCAACTTGTACTCAGGATAAAATCACATAAACATAAGTCTATATTCACAAGACGTTGCGTCAGATGACACACAATTTTTCACTGGGAACCAATGCCATCATCTGTACAAGGGGTCAGCAAACCATGGCCAGTGGGGCAAATCCAGCCAGTTGCCTGTTGTCATACAGCCGGAGAGCTGAGAATAGTTTTTTCAATTTTATACGGTGAGGAAAAAAAAAGTCAAAATAATAATATTGTGACATGAAAATTATACGAAGTTCCCATTCTCCTATCCACGAGTAAGGTCTTATTGGAACACAGCCACTGCGTTTATGTACGCACTGTCTGTGGCTGTTATTGTATTACAAGAGCAGAGCTGAATAACTGTACGAAGCTGACAATATGTGCTAGGTCTTCCTTTACATTCCAACTTTGCCAACCCCTGATAGACGTGAGCACACACGTGATCCCACAAGAGCCCTGGGATCCATGGAGCTGGATACACGCGAGCACACACGCGATCCCACAACAGCTCTGGGATCCACGGAGCTGGATACATGCGAGCACACACGTGATCCCACGGGAGCCCTGGGATGCATGGAGCTGGGCTGATTCCTGGACCCTCCAGCTTCTAACCCACAGGGAAGCAAGGGCTTGAATGTCAGCGTGTCCCAAAATGTGCAGAAGAAATGATGCAACAACACACTTTCACCCAATGCACTAGCGTCTCGGGGACAGGTGCAGTCTCATGACGTGTGTTACGCTAACTCCCTGGCACTAACTCACGCCTGGTCTACTGTACACACACAGCCCGAAGACCTGCTGTGAATAAGTGACCTGATCACTGTACTTGAAGGTCAGTGAGATTATCCCGGGTTTTGAGGAGCAAACTATCAGTAGCTCTATGCTGCCCCCTGGTGTGCGTATCCTCCGTTCTCTGAACCATTCCAACCTCTCCTAGCTGCTCCCCCCACCCTGCTTTCCACCAGCTCCCCGCCCCCCCGCATAGGCAAACATAAAGAGGTGGCGGTTCATCTGCTGAAAGATGGGATGGCAAGGGACATGAGGATGACCTGCTGGTGAGTACCACGATCCAGGGGCCCTTTCAAAGGGGTCGTGGGGGGCGGGGGCTAGGCTTGCTGTCACATCTGAACTGTAGTTTACCATTCTTGAGGGACTGGCTTATCTAGATAGCAACAGAGGGTCTGGAGGGAAATCTGGTCAAGGGTTTTGTATGCAGGCCCAGGATGAACAGGCAATAAAAGATCTCTCCCAATTGTATACGGGCAGCCTTTGGGCCTGATCAACGAAACCCGCTCTCAAAACAGCAACCTGATCAAAGTTTGTTATTACCGACTCTTTTTATAAAAGATGAGGTTTTTTTCTTCTTCATTAAACTGCCTCTCTTTCCTGCCCCACCCCCACCCCCGTCTCTTTCTCCTTCACATGAAACCCCATGGAGGCCGCCATCCTGACTGGATGAACTGTGTATGATAAACCAAGTCAGATCACTCCGGGGTCAGATCAGGAGGGAGACCAGACAGGAGGGGGCGGGGATGCAATGAGCCAACAAAAATTCCGGACCCTCCAATTCCATGGGGTCTCTCAGTGAGGCTGCTTTCTTACTGGTAACACGGGAGTTACAGTGCCTGCCCCCAGCGCGGTCCCCAGGCTTGGCTGAAGTAGCAGATGTAAGGGCTTTAGCAAACAGTGAATGCAGAATACATTTTAATTTACTTGCTCAGCAGCAAGTCTGTGCCATTTTTTCTTTTTTCTTTTTTCGGTGCGGGGAAGGTAAAGATATCATATCCACTTCACTGCATCTGAATGCTGGGCCTTCAAAACAACCTGTCTCCAGCTTGGCACAGAGCAGAAGAGGCCATGAAAACCAAGGCGTCGGGGAGATGATACACACGGAGCCAGGACCACGGTGCTCGTGTGTCAGAAGGAGATGGTGAAGCGCTCAGAGCTGCAGGGAAGGAGGGGGTGGAAGCAAACAGGCAGCCCCTGGGTGAGGCCTGGTCGGTGGAGAGTGGAGATAAGCCAGGCCGGGCTGGAGAGGGGCAGCCGCTGCCTCGGGGCTCTGCTTTAGAGGAAGCTGCCTTCCCTCCCACTCCTGCTCCAAGGTGACTGCTCACTTACAGAGGGTCACCAGCCCTGCATGCTAATAAGATCAGCCTAGAATAATATAGATTTAAGAACAAAAACAAGGCAAGCCCCAGGACACCATTTGCCCTGCAGCAATTTCAACCCACTGTTCCTCCTGTTACCACTTCTCTGCCAAAAGGCAAGGCTGTTACTATAGCAACCGGACCTCCAGCGGGGCCTGAGCTCCTGGCAGGTGAGTTCCCTGCTCCCAGCCCTGAAGGGCTAGAACCCTTGAAAGGGAGCCTTCCAGAGCCAGTTGCACTTCAGATGCCTGAGCCTCTCAGAGGAGCTCCAGATCACCAGGGCTCAGTGCAGGGAGACTACGGGCTCAGGAACACTCCCCACCCAGGCTGGGACCCCCGTAGAAACAGACTCCTGCCAAGGGACACAGGACCGGCAGCTGCCCAGGCTGGGGAGTGAGGAGCCAGGGGGCACATGACGTGGGCTGTGCTGACGAGTGCATCGTAGCCCTGCAGTCTGGGGGGCTGGAGGAGGCAGGGAAGGGCCAGAGAACAGACTCCTGCTGACCCACTCCCCCCACAACCTAGGGCTAGGCACCAACCTCATCCCTAGCACGTAAAGCGGGACTTGAGCACAAAGTCACGCGGTGCCTGCTCGGGGAGGGGAGCGCCTTCCCTGCCTGTCCCCCCTCCCTGCACACAGGTCCCTGCACATTCACCACCCCCCCCCCAAGGTCCCCTCCCTGCACACAGGTCCCTGCACACTCACCACCTCCTCGACGGCTGCGTGGTCACCCAGCAGCGGCTCCTCGGCCAGCAGCAACAGCACCAGCCCATTGACGCTGTGGGTGTAGAGGGTCATGGGCACCAACCCCTGGCGGGACGTCAGGTCTGGCCTCGGGTCACCTGTGTCTGTGGAGGGACCACTGTCCTGAGACCCTGCTGGGTCCGAGCTGCCAGGTACAGAGAGGCTGTGATGAGCCCCAGCGCGCTGCTCCACGCGGTGTTCGGCCCCGGGGAGCGTGGCTCCGCTCCGCCTCAAGTCTACGCAAGGCCATGACCTGAGTCTGCTCGTCCTTCCAGGGAGGCGGTCTTCCCGGGGAGGGGGCGCTGGGCTGCTGCGCCCTGGATGGTGACTGTGCGGCTCCAGGGCTCCGTGTCGGGGGAGCGCGTCTGGAGTGGACAGCGAGGAGAGGCTGCCGAGGCCCGTGCCTGCAGGCAGGGCACCAGGCGGCTTGGGCTCCAGGAGGCCGGAGTCACTGGCACACTCCTCTGAGCAAGGACTGCCACCATCTAGGATGCACGTGCTCGGGAGGGCAAAGGAATTCGGGCACCACCCTGCATCCCGAGCTTCTGGAATGTGGATTTCAGACAAGTCCTGTTCCTCCTCTTCCCAGGGCGGACGAGGTTTCCTGGCCGGGGAGCGGTGGACACCAGGACCCCAGGCCCTGGCTGGGCTCTGCTGTGTCACGGGCTTGATGTGCCCCAGGGCACAGCCAGGCAAGTGCCTGCTCTCCCCCTTGCCATCTGGCTGTGCTGCATCAGGACCCGTAGGCTCAGGCGTGGTTGCCAACGTCCAGGCTGCAGACTCCAGGCGGCTGGTGGCGTTTTCCGTGGGGGCAGATGTGCTCCAACGGCGTGGAGGGTGCTGGCCTGAGTACTCCTGGGGTCCAGCTGGCAGGGCAGCAGAGCTAGCAAAGCAGACAGACGTGAGGGAGGGGCGCCGACTAAGTGCAGGACAGGTGCCCTTCCTGGGGGTGGGCAGATGGGAGCACAGCTTCTCCAAACAGGGCGCTCGGGGACAAGCAGGTGCCCGGCCACAGAGCCCGAGAGGCCCTCGGGGTCAAACCACAGGAGTAAAACTAAGGTGACTTCCGGCCCTCAGGGCTTCAAGCAGCGCTAGCAGATCACCTAGTAGCAATGGCGGGGCCCCCGCGGAGTGAGAGCCACCCCCATCGGGAAGCCTACTCGAAGCCTGCCCTTATGCTGGATGCTGTGTGGACGCTATTTCCGGTTTTGATGCCGAGCCCGTGAAGCAGGTTATTACTGGGTCTGATTTACAACCAGGGAATGGACTTGGCCAAGGTCACACAGCTGACAGGCGACAGATCTGGGACCTGAAACCCACACCCGTCTCACGAGGCCAGCTGCCTGATCTCTACACGCTCCTGTCCCAGTGTTCCTCCCACAGCAGAGTGTGGGGAAGACAGGAGGCTGGCCTGTCTCACCTGGCGGCCTCCTCCGTCGGGAACTCATGGAGACCGACAGCTTCCTCTTCGGTCAGGAACACAGGCCTGATCTGGACGTTTGGGGGGAAGGCCGCTCCTACAATCACAAAGCAACACGGACAGGGCTCAGCTGTGGGCCAGGGAGACAAAGGGACAGGGGCTACTCTTGGGAGGACCCATCCAGACTACATGCCACCCCGGAGAGCTGTCCCCCGTCCCCTCCTCAGCCCAGAGCAGGAGTCACAGAACAGCAGCTTGGTTCTGTGCCCGGCGGGGAAGGAGCCCTCATGGAAACTTTACTCCTTGCTGTGGATAAAGGAGACTCTGGGGGAAGAAAATCTAGTGGTGCTTAACACAGCAACAAAAACAGAATAAAAGCTGGAAGAAGGCTCTTCCAACTGACAGAAGAGATCTGCTCCAACCTGTGCTTCAAACTAAAACAGAAGCACCCTCTCGGGGATGACCCCACATACTGCAGAAGTCCCTCCAACGGCTGCCATTTCTCTTGGTCTCCCCTAGGCACCTTCCCATGGACCTGCTGGGGGACTCTCCTCAGAACGTGTGAGCGAGCAGCTGAAGACAGGGATTGAAAACGTACGCCTAGAGTCGGGAGCTTCACGGCTATGACTCTGATGGGTAACTTTGCTCTTAAAGCTCTAGTCTGCTTTCCTAACCTGTGAGCGCAGGAAGTAACGCACAGGGCTGCCGGGCCTTTCCCGTGACTTGTGCAGGGACGGGCGGCACAAAAGGCTGGCTTCCGAGAGGTGGCGGCGCCTTGCTACTTACCACGTGCCCCCGGGTCACCCTCTCCTGCAGGTGGGCTCTGGAAATAAACACACGCAGAAGGTGGCTGCGGGTACCGCCTCCTCCTCCGGGACCCAGTTGTCGGCACAGTGTGGGGCCATCTGTTGGCCCAGAGCGCTGGGCCTGGCCACGCCGGCGGCAGAACAGATGGCACAGAAGCCCCCCCACAAGCTGCTCGCTCGCCTGCACGCTGGGGTCAGGCGAGAACCCGTGTCTCCCTGGACCACCGCTGCCCACAAACGCACTCGGGCTTCACGGTCAGATCCGTGTCCCTCCTCCAGGAATAAGAGCGGGGTCTCCTGGGCCTCTCGCACCGCGGGAGAACTCACCAGCCACGGCGTGCCCACACCTGCCATGGCACCGGCGTGGAACGCACACACACCTTCCCGCGTGACACATACGGGCACGTCCAGGACCCCCGTGATAAAGGATGTGACGACCTGAGCCACATGCTGCACTCAGTCTCCCTTATTTGTTCCGATTCACAGTTGAGGTGAGAAACCTCATTTTTTCCCTCCAACACTGGGGATTTTCTCTAAAGAGCTTTCCAGACGTTTCACCTGAAGGTTCCAAACTAACCCGCCAAAACAAAACAACAAAAACTCTTCCGACCTGTATGGCTTTCGCTCCTGCAAAACGATGTGGCTCTCTCTCTTTCGTAGCAGCTCTTTAAAATTCTCCTGTTTCAGGTTACACAACCGTACTCGAGATGAAAACGATGCCCCACCCCCACCCCGATCACAGAGAATTCCCTCGCCCACAAGCTAATACTATTAATCTTGGGCATGTTTTCCTTTAAGATTATGCATTTTTTAAATACACTGAAACCACAGCATACAAATTCTATTTTCCTGCGTAAGAGAGTAACGCTGTGGACAGAGCACCCCAGCCAGGAGGGTGGGCTTTACGGTACCTGGTCCCGAGGTGCAGCTGGACGGATCAGGACCTTGGCCGTGAGCGAGGGTGGGAGCTGGGTGCTAACGATCCTGGGTCACAGGAGCAAGAAAAAAAACAAGGACCTCGTGAGACAAGATACACCAGGGGACTTGTAACCCACGTGGGTGGGGGTTGGGGGACACAGCCGGGCGGGGGGGGTGTCAGTAGGCAAAGCCCTTATGGACAGCCTCTGGCCACTCCTACCAAACTTGAGAATGTGCAAACCCTTTGACCTGCCTTGTACCAAGATGCACGCTTAAGAGTATTCATTACTGGCTCCATCTGTTAGGTGACCAACAATTGATTTCGGTTCTGGTCATGATCTCACAGTTCATGAGTTGGAGCCCCGCATCGGACTCCGTGGACTGCTTGGGGTTCTGTCTCCCTGTCTCTCTGCCTCTCCCATTTGCTCTCTAAATGTCTCTCAAAATAGGGGTGCCTGAGTGGCTTAGTCCATTAAGTGTCTGACTTCAGCTCAGGTCATGATCTCATGGTTCATGGGTTCAAGCCCTGTGTTGGGCTCTGTGCTGACAGTTAGCTCAGAGCCTGGAGCCTGCTTTGGATTCTGTATCTCCCTCTCTCTCTCTGCCCCTCCCACACTCACACTCTCTCTCTCTCAAAAATAAACATTAAAAAATTTTTTTTTATAAAGAGCGATCATAACGAGAAAAAGGGGAGAGCCTGAGGCACACTGGAAAGCAGGGTCTGCACTCCATCTGTCCACACCTGCCCTCGCTTTTCATTCTCCAAAAACGCTGCTTCCCAGTAGAGAAAATTCAAAAAGCAACCCGTCCGAGGCCAGGCCCGGAAACCCAGCAGCCGTCAGGCCCCCAGACCTCCTCCAGGCACACGTTCATCCGGTCTGCAGAAAGCTCTGGACGCAAGAAGTGGCCACCTGTGAGGAGTGTGGCCTCGGGCCACGTGTGGAGGGACCGCTGGGCTCGCTCCGATGCCCTCAACCACATGAAGAGATGTGGGGAGGTCGCAGAAGTCGGCCGAGGCCGAGGCCGGAGGCGAGGAGAAGCAGCGAGGCCGCCGCAAGGGCAGCAGGGCCCGGGCAGTGGGAGGGGCCATGGCAGGCTCCCAGCGCCCGCACCCCCAGTGCTGGCCGCCACGTTAGCGCTGCAGACCGATGACTATAAAGGCCCACCCCATCCTGAGGCTTAGTGGATCCTGCTAAAATGTGCCTTTTATGTCCCTAGCCCTGTCCTGGACACGGTTCCCAATTCCCCGGCTGGGCCGAGAGACAGGCATGTGCCCTAAGTCAAATCTCGGCTCACGGACGTTCGCCGGAGCGGCCCCCTCGGCACAGGCCGGAGACGGGGGAGGCCAGGCGGCTCTGGTTTGGGGGCAGGGGTGCAGGGGACGCCAGTGTCACTCACAGTCCCTTGTGGAGGATGCAGCCGGCCAGGATGTGCGGCGAGCGCTGGCAGGTCTGCAGGATGAGGGCTGCCTTCAGCAACAGCAGGGGCTCCACCTGGCGGGGAGGGCGCACACCCCAATCAGCGTGCTCGCCCGCGGCAGGGGTGGCGAGGGCGCGGGGCCGTATAGGACGGGCGGACAGGCGCGAACCCAGAACTGGGGAGGGGACAACGCGCCACATGGTAAAATCGTGTCGCGTCTTGGGTCTGGGTGCCAGCTCCCCATACCCGGAGGCTCGGCCAGTGCCAAATGCCCAGTTCTGGGAACAAGGGGGCTTCCGCAGCAGCAGGGAGCTGAGGCCACCACAGCACGTGGCCACTCGCACGGACGAGGTAGGTCTCGTCTCGGGAGGGTTATGGACGCCACCACCAGGAGGCAGCGGGAGAGGGGAGCCTACACCTCAAACACCCGGCGCGGCACCAGGTAAGGCCACGCGCCCCCTGCTCTCCCCTCCCTCTCAAGCACAAGCCACACTGCCACGGAGCTGGCTTCGTGTCCCACCAGGTCCCGTAACTCTGTCCCGTCACATGAAACGGAAGCATCGTGGTCTCTGGCTCAGGGACATACTCCTCAACCTGACGTTCCGTTGCCCAGAAGTCCTTCAGGAGGGTGGGGAGAGGATCTGAACCCAGTCAGGAGTCACCAGCAGCAGCTGAAGGCCTCTCCCTACCCCGTGCCAGCAGCGAGAACCTGCAAGCGGCACAGTGGCCAGAGCCTGGCGCCCAGGGAGCAAGCTTGGGGCCGGGGGCGCTGTTCCGTAGCCTCTAGACAGTGCCGGGTCCCAGCCAGCCGTTCTGTGAAGCTCCAGGTCAACTCCAAGAATCTCTCCGAAAGGAGCGCAGAAAGCCTGTCTCCAGTTCTGGCCGGAGGGTCATGCTCCGTGAAGGCAGAGTCATGACACCTCCTCCCTGCTGACGGGGCCCTCCTAACGCCCGCAGTGAGATGCGGCCCACACGCCTCCTTGGGGGCCTGGGGCACAGGTGGTCCATTTGGGGGGCACGGCCTCGCGTCTCCCTGTGGCCTTGACAACAAGGAGGCGATGTTCACCAAGATCAAGGCCACTGAGCAACAGGCAGCATAGGTGATCAGGCCAGCCATGCAAGCAGCCTACATGTCACTCAATGCCAGTGGCCAATGGAGTGGCTCTGGGATGAAATGCTCTCCAGTACTGTGTCCCAGACAGAGACACCTTGTTTTTAAATGTTACCACTGGGAGGAGGGGGCACTGGGGGCTCAGCTCGCTGAGGGCCCAACTTCGCCTCAGCTCATCATCTCATGGGTTGTGGGTTCAAACCCCACCTCGGGCTGCACGCTGACAGTGCAGAGCCTGCTTGGGATTCTCTCTCTCTCTCCATCCCTCCCCTGCGTGCTCATGCACGCCCTCTCTCAAAATAAATGAACTCAACACAACTAAAAGTCACACTGGGCATTCCTGATGTTGAGACTACAAGTCAATTGTGTCATATTCACATCAAGACGGATGTGGGTGCCTTCAGACGCCAGAGTTCAACCCTTCTGGGGCATTAGCAAAACACCACCACCCTTTAGTGGGTATTTACTTGGTGCCAATTAGATACGGTCTCGCTGTGCTGTCAGAACAGTCCCGGGAGCAGGCACTCGATGCCAGTTTGTGGGCTGGGAAGGGGGCTCCGGGAGGAGACCCGGGCTGCCCGAGCTCACACGGCTGGCGGGCGCAGCAGGGAAGTGGGTGCAGGTCTTAATTCACCTCCGACTGGGAAATGACACATTCTAGTCCCTTCTCTGGACAGTGAGGTCACAGAAAGGGAAGAGGAAAATGTCCAGCAGCTCTATTCCGTCAGGCGGGGTGGGTAAGGGGGAGGGCGTCACCTTGGTTCGGTCCAGGTTCCAGAGGGAATTGAATATCTTGTGCAGGTCGCTGGTGTTCCTCAGGATCTGAGCAATGAAGGTGTCCCACGCGGCGTGCAAGGCCTCCCGAGGACAGTGCTACAACAGAAACGGCCTGAGGTCAGCGTCTGAGATGCAGAGACACCCCCTTTGGCAAGGAGCCCTTTTACTACGGAAATAGTGGGGCGCCTGGGGGGCTCTGTTCGGTGAGAGTCCAACTCTTGATTTTGGCTCGGGACACGATTCCCCCGTTCACGGGTTCAAGCCAGACACCGGGCTCTGTGCGGGTGGCGTGGAGACTGCTTGGGGTTCTCTCCCTCTCTGTCTGCCCCTCCCGCATGTGCTCTCTCTCTCAATACATAAATAAAAACTTAAAAAAAAATCACTGCTGACACAGGAAATTGGTCAGAAGGTAGGGCCTGTTTTAAACTTCCCACACACATGGGACCCCCCCCCTCCATAAGTCACCCACCATAGACCCAGTGCTCATGCCGTGGGAGGGTGGCAGCTTACTCTTTGCAGCCATCCCAGGGAGGAGGACATGGGGACGGACGTTTGCAGTGGGTGTGACCTACCCCACTGGGGAGCAAAGGGATCTAAGCAGGGCTCCGGGGCCCTCGACGCTGCGGCGGGGTATGACATGCTTACAGAAAGTATGACAGGCCCCAGAGCAACGCTGTGCTCTGGCCGTCCTGGACCTGCTGGGGAAGCCCGCCTACCACTCCTCACCACCACCCTCGTACCTGGTAAGCCAGAGACACAGGCCCGTTGTAAAAATGAAAGACTCCAATGATCTGGTCCAGAAAGTGCCTGCAGCTGATGTCGGGGAGCTCCGCGGCGCAGCCCAGCACCTGGAAACAGGGAAACGGGGAAGCAGGCCTTTTCCTTGGCTCTGAGTCCACACCTAGAGCCTAGGAGTCTAGCCAGGGCCAGGAGTCACTGACCCACTGCAGCGGATGGGTCGACGCCAGGCCCACAGCGTCCCAGCCGGTCTCCGACAGGGTAAGTGCTCTACGTACCTCCTCGAGCTGCCCGACCTGGAAAATCTTCCTTCCGTCTGTTTGTCCAGGGTTCGCCCATCCCCTCCGTGCCCACTGAAGACCCCAGCACCTTCACGGTGCCCATTTGGATCACTCTGACTGATGCAGACCTCTTTTCTGACCCTTCATACCATCAGGACTGTTATTTGCACACCGGGTGTTTCATGGGGTTCTGTTATAAACGCTGGATGGGACTCTGTTTCATGACGGCCGTTCTCATCCCCCGAGCTGGGTCAGTGGCTTTGGGGGAGGAACTGAGCCCATGGCCACACAGTCCTGGAGCTCCAGAGAGCCGTGGTGCTTAGTTCCGCACAAGGGTAACGTTCTCCGTCAGAAAGCTGTCTGGCCAATGTCTAAAGAGCCTGGGAAGGGTGTGTATTCTTTGACCCAGTGATTCAACCTCTAGGGATCTTTCCGAAGGGAATCACCAGAAACTTCAAGAAACCGACCAACCCTGATACCAGACAAATGAACAAATTCCTGACTGTAAGCCCCACTGAGGCCAGGATCTTTGCTTTGTTCACTGAGGTCACCCAAGGGTTTACCACGGTCTGGCACACGGCAAGTGCTTATTTCTTCCCTCGCTGACGTAGTAACCTACTGACTGCATCTCTACCAATCCCACCAGCAGACACTACTGACATCCGCAATGTAACACAGCCAAAGCTGCCTTGGAAAACAACAGGACTGGAGGACGCGGACCATCTCATTTCTGGACGGTGCGGTACTTGTACGGGATCTTCCCGTAGATCAACGGGAAAGAACGGAGCCCAGAAACAGACCCCCACGGACATGGTCACCTGATCGTCAATAAAGGAGCCAAAGGAATCCAAGCTGGAGAGTTTTGTCAGCAGCGGTGCTGGAACCCTGGACATCCATATGGGAAGGAAGACCCTTGACCTCTATTTCCCACCACACACCGATCATAATCCAAGATGGATTACAGATGAAAGTATAGGGGCGCCTGGGTGGCTCAGTCGGTGAAGGTCCAACTCTTGATTTTGGCTCAGGTCATGATTGCACAGTCATGAAATTGAGCCCCGTGTCTGGCTCTGCGCTGACAGCACGGAGCTTGCTCGGGATTGTCTCGCTCTCCTCCCCCTCCAGCCCCAGCTTTCGTGAATGCACGTGTGCACAGATATGCGCGTGCTCTCTCTCTCTCTCAAAATAAATAAACCTAAAAGAATCAAAACTAAAACTATAAAGCTTAGGGAAAAAAATTGGAGACTATCTTTTCCAGCAGGATAGGGAGTGGTTTTACACAGGATACAGAAGGCACTAAACATAAAGGATAAAACTGATAAATGAGACACCATTCAAATTAAAACATTCTGGGGGCGCCTTGCTGGCTTGGCCTGCAGCGTGTGTGATTCCTGATCTCTGGGTCATGAGACTGAGCCCCACGTCGCGTATAGACGTTAGATAAGTAAACTTCTAAAAATAATTAAAATGCTCTGTCCATCAAAAGACATCATTAATGGAGTGCCTGGGTGGCTCAGTCGGTTAGGCATTTGTCTTCGGCTCAAGTCATGATCTCATGGTTTGTGAGTTCGAGCCCCAAGTCGGGCTCTGTGCTGTCAGTGTGGAGTCTGCTTGGGATCCTCTGTCTCCTTCACTCTCTCACCCCTCCCTGCTTTTGCGCGCATGTGCACGCTCTCTCTAGCTTTCAAAAATAAAAGTTAAAGGGGCACCTGGGTGGCTCAGTCGGTTGAGCATCAGACTTCAGCTCAGATCATGATCTCATGGTTCGCGGGTTTGAGCCCTGCATTGGGCTCTGTGCTGACTGCTAGCTCAGAGCCTGGAGCCTGTTTCAGATTCTGTATCTCCCTCTCTCTCTGACCCTCCCCTGCTCATGATCTTTCTCTGTCTCTCAAAAATAAATAAATGTTAAAAAACCTTTTTTAAAATAAAATAAACGTTAAAAAAGTAATTTTTAAAAAATATAAAAAATAAAAAATAAAAATAAAAAACAGGCAAACAAGCTTTGGACAGACCCTTCTCGAAGGGAGACACAGCCGTGGCCATTAAGCACACGAGAAAGCCTTCACTGCATCAGTCGTCAGGGAAACGGAAACACAAACCACAATGACACATCACTACACAGCCAGCAGTGGCTCAAACTGAAGAGGCTGACAGCACGGGGTGACCAGGCCGGGGACAAGCAGGCGTCTCAGCAGGGCTGGTAGGAGTGGAAGACGGAACCACCACTCAGGACAGGGCCTGGTGGTTTCTCATACGATCACCTGACACCTACCCCGTGACCTAGTGAGTCTCCACGTAGATGTTTACCCCTGAGATGAACAGTCATGTCCACAAACAGATGCGTTATCAGGATGCTACTGGGGTCTTTTCCTTGATTGCCCGCAACTAGACGCGGCTCACGTGTCCAGAAAAAGGCCAGTGAGGGTCTGGGGGAACGTGTTCAGACAACGGCCATTTAAGCAACGTTGTTCCACAATACGGAGAACCAACTGCAGACACGTGCCCGGCAAGGTCAAGGGGACACCAGAAGCCTGCAGAGGGGACTGCCGCACGCACTCCTTCACGCCTGTGACAGTCTAGACCCGGCAGCGCTCGCCTGTGCCGGGGAAAGGTCAGAACCAGGGTTGTCTGGGACACGGGGGCAGGAATTAGACGGACATAACGCAGCCGCCCGGAGCGACGCTAACATCTGCACCTTTACGCGGATTTGTGTCGTCCAGAGCGTCAGCTGTCCACATGCGTTAAGGGGCACGCTCAAGGTTTGTGTGTGTCTGTGTATGTCAATCTCACCCCAAAAAAAAAAAAACAACAACACTAATTAACGTTATGCATAATGAGGTCCTGGGGGTGGGAAGGACTATACTAGCGCGTGCGACTTGGGCAAGGGTTAGAAGAAAAACCGGACTGCCAGGAGATGAAGGCATGGATGGAGCCATGTGATAAAGCAACTGTAATAAATTATAAACATAAATAATGCGTGTCATGAACTATAGAACCTTGGAAATTCACATGACTGTTTGCTGGAAGATTCCTTCAACGGTTTGGTGTGTGAGGAAATTGTTGTAATGAAATGTTGGCAGGCCTACGACAGAGCTGACTACACTACCTCACACTTCAGCATCCTTTCACCTCAGGCATCAGGCTTATTTTTTTTTTAATTTTTTTAATGTTTTATTTATTTCTGAGACACAGAGAGAGACTGCATTAGCAGGGAAGGGTCACAGAGAGAGGAAGATACAGAATCTGAAGCAGGCTCCAGGCTCTGAGCTGTCAGTACAGAGCCTGACGCGGGGCTTGAACCCACGAACTGTGAGATCATGACCTGAGCGGAAGTCGGATGCTCAACCGACTGAGCCACCCAGGCGCCCCGGGAATCAGGTTTAGATACACACTGGCAGGGGACAGTCAGACCCTGGTGTGCGTGGTACCATTAGCTGTAAAAGAAATGATTTTTATGATTTTTTTTAAATAGTTCTTTGAAACCTCACATCTGTGTATCAGTGTCTTAGCCTTTCTGAGTCAGCTGTGCTGCAAGTGTGGAAAGTATGGAGAAGAAAAGACGGAGACTGAAAACTTGACCTGCATCACAGAGCAGAGAGAGTTTCTGCAGGCTGGCCGAAGTCTCTCAGAGGAAAGGAGAAAGAAGCCATGCGCAAGGCAGGACAGATTAGGAGGGTTCTGGAAGGGCACCTGGGTGGCTCAGTCAGTTGAGTGTCCGATGCTTGCTTTCAGCTCAGGTCATGATCCCAGGGTTGTGGGATCGAGCCCCACGTCAGGGTCTATGCTAAGTGTGGAGATTCTCTCTCTTTCCCTCTGCCCCTCTCCCCCACCCATGCTCTCTCTCTCTCTCTCTCTCAACTAGAAAAATAAATAAAAAAGAAACGTCCTGGAGAGCACTCAGTGAGGATGGCCTCTGCAGAGAGTGACACAGTAAGCTGGACGTACTGCACGCAGCGCCCGTGGGCATGGAGGGGGTCCTGGGCGAGCCATGGAAAGCACTACCTTCTACGCCTTAGCAGCACAACACTCGTCACCAAGGCAGACGACCTGTGTCAGAGGCCACCCTGTTGGCACACGTCTGTCTGCTAAACTCACCCAAAGGTACTCTCCGTCAACCCTTATGGCGAACTTGAGTTTCCGCAGACGAATGAGGGTGGTAGCCGAGGTGGAGATGTCGGAGACACAGCGCACCACGCCGGCAATCTGTCCACAGAGCAATTCCTGCTGGTCGAGCAGGGTCTGTGGGAAGGAAAGCAGCAAATTCCAGTGGGGCAGGTGACACAGCTGAACACGTGTCATTTCTAAAAAAAATTTTTTAAATGTTTTGTTTTTGAGGGAGACAGAGTTCAAGTGGAGGAGGAGCAGAGAGAGAGAGACACAGAATCCGAAGCAGGCTCCAGGCTCCGAGCTGTCAGCACAGAGCCCGACGCGGGGCTTGAACTCACGGACCGCGAGATCATGACCTGAGCCGAAGTTGGATGCTTAACTGCCTGAGCCACCCAGGCGCCCCACTCAAGTGTCATTTCTTAGAGCAGAGGCCGAGGCGCCAGCAGACTACGGCCTGCAGGCCAGATCTGGAGGGCTGCCTGGGTTTGGGTGGCCCAGGAGCTAAGCGTGGCTTTGGTACCTGAGGGTTGTCATAGCGACAACACATTTGGAAAGCCTCGAGGTTCACTCCCTGGCACTTTGCAGGCCAAGCTTGCTGACCCCTGCCTGGCATAACGAACTATCTCAGAACATCCACGGCCGCCTGCAGGAGATGGGTGATGGGTGCAGAACTGTATTTCTGTTTGGAGGACTAAAGGCACATGCGTGGGTAGAAGCAGGAACGTCTGGCCCCCATTCAGACCCCCCGCAGAGCAGCCAGAGCAGCAAAGATTAATCCCAACTATCCAGGCGGGAGCGCGATCACGTGAGCGAATACGCAGGCCTCCTGATCGGTCTGGGCATGAACTCAACTGCGGGGCCGCCAGACGCTGTGTGACGCAACAGAAAATGTACACAGCACTTAGGAAGTCTTGCCCAGAGGAAGTTGAATCTCCTCAAGGCTGTACGTCTTACTAGGAGTGTAAAGGAGATACAGGGGCACTAAGACCTGAAGTGGCGTCCACCACGAGGAAGCGATCGGAGTGTGGGACCTTGTGACACTGTACCGCACAAATGCCCTGGTCTCTTCAGTAATCCAGTGGCCTGGCGGGGAAAGGGGACGGCTGGCTGGGTGATGAGGGTTATACAATAAAAGACACTTGAAACACAGAGAAACCAAATGGAATGCAGGGACCTTGTTTGGATCCTGATTAGGAAAGGAGGACTGGGGGAAGGAGGGGAGGAAAAGAGGGAGGGAGGGGCGGAAGGAGAAAAGCCTAAGTAAGTCCAAAACAGGAAGGCAAAATTAGAATACAGATAGTATCACATGACATTAAGGGATTATTGTGACCAACTGGTGGGAGATGGCACAGGAGGGTTCACCATACTCTCCTCTCTGACTCTGTATACATTTGAATGAAAGTGTTTTGTTGTTATTGTTGATTCTTTTTTAAGCTTATTCATTTTTTGAGAGAGAGAGAGAGACCGAGAGCAGTGGAGGGGCAGAGAGAGAGGGAGAGAGAGAATTCTGAGCAAGCTCCACGCTGTCAGCACGGAGCCTGATGCAGGGCTCAAACTCATGAACCGTGAGATCATGATGAGCTGAAACCAAGAATCAGACAGTTAACCAACTGGACCCTCACGGCTCCCCAAGAAAGTGTTTTAAATGAGCCAATCAAGGGGCTCCTCAGCAGCTCAGTTAAGCATCCAACTCTTGATTTTGGCTCAGGTCATGATCTCACGGTTCTCAGGATTCCTGAATTCGAGTCCCACACTCGGCTCTGTACTGCCGGTGCGCAGCCTGCTTGGGATTTTTCTCTCTCCCTCTCTCTGCCCCTCCCCCACTTGTGCGCACGTGCTCTCTCTCTTAAAATAAACAAACTAAAAAGAAAAAGAGCCCATCAAAACTTGGGAGCAAGGAGATGCAGACAGAAGATCAGGACGGTGGGGGCGCCTGGGCGGCTCAGCTGGGTTAAGCGCCCACTTTGGCTTGGGTCCTGATCTCGCAGTTCCTGATTTGGAGCCCCATGTCGGGCTCTGTGCAGAGCCTGGCCTGCTTGGGATTCTCGATCTCTCCCCTCTCTCTGCCTTCCTGACACTCACACTTCCTCTCTCAAAATAAATAAATAAACTTAAAAACAAACAAACACGAAAAGAAAATCAGGACGGCGGCAGAAAGGGAGAGGATGGACGTACGGAGCTGTCAGCGAACGGCAAGACCAGAGCCACAAGAAACCGCGCAACGGAGGCTGAGAGAGCAGAAACGCCAAATGCCTGGCTTACGCAGAGAAAAGTGTCCCGACATGAACGCTCTGCTCGTGAAAGGCCGCCACACCGAGGCAGCGGCATCCTCGCCGAACGGGAAGGTGCTGGGCGCTCACCTGAGAGGGATAGAAGTAACAGATGCCAGCTCTTGTCGGATCTCCTTCCTCCTTCACCTTTGAACCATCATAAAGGAAAAAATAATTCCACCTGGCAAGAGAACAGAGTGGAGCCATGTTCCCTTTCATCTGGTGATCCAAGGCGTTTTTGAACTCAGCTTCCTATTTCCCAGCGCGGGCAGAGCTCATGACTCAGGATCTGCACAGCCTTCTGGTGGCCCCGGAGGAGGGAAGAATCCAGGGGCTACACGCAGATAATAAACACCACTTCGAAAGTGCTGTGGAGGCAGGCTAAAAATAAGTCTCTACCCCGTCATCAGACCCAAGTGGAGCTGGAGGGAGACACAGCGCCCGGCGGCATCTCTGGTTGGAGACGCTGACCCTTAACCATGCCACCACAGGGTCGGGTACACTGTCACTGAAGGCTCTGATAGCCAAATTAGCTGGGGATGCCTCAGCCGCTCGCCTCGCCACTGCCAGGCACCGCCATCCCAGGAAATGTCCCTCTGACCAGAAAGCCATGCATTCGTTTCACAAACAATGCGGGCGACAGTGTGCTCATCCCTTTGCCAACTTGGGCCGTGGCACTAAAAGGGAGACGGTAAACATGTCACTTGAGCGCAGGATGGTGAGTCTGTAAGAGGAAAAATGGGGCTTATGAGAGCTCACAGAGGAGCCCCGAGCCCCCTCTGCCCTGACAGGGCATTAAGTACAACTCCAACACCACCCGTCCCCAAACTTCTGATTTCCTTCCAGAACCCTCTGTTCTTTGCTATGGGCTCTCCTCTGCAGTGTGACTGTAATGACCTCTTTAACACCACAAAGCAGACCCCCCAAAGGCTGGACCTGGGTTTCAGCTCTCCGACAGCACGCCCAGTAGGCTAGAGCATCAGGAGGAGCCGTGACCACTCTCCTGTCACCTGCGCTCTTCTCCCTGGATCTGCACCCTCCCCCTACCACCCTCCGTGGCTCCCAGCTTCTCTTCCTGATGATAAGCGGAACTCTTGCTTGTAGCACAGTCTGCTCTCCCGAGTTGTAGGACCAGATGTGCACTGCCTGCAGGGCAAGCCCAGATCAAACAGCCTCAAAAATGTGTCAAACTCAATTCAGAAATCCCTCTGCCGGGCCCCACTCACCCTCTGGGGGGGAGCCCCCTCGCTCTCTCTGGCACACAAAAGACAGCCTGGGGGTCGTTCTGAATGGCTGCGTCTCCGTGCCTTGCATACACATAACTGGTCCCTGGATCCTGCTCCTGTTGAAACCCTGCCTCTCGCTGGCATTGCCCAGGGAAACGTTTCCTGAGCCAAATTAGGAGAGAGGCTTAGCCTGCGTGGGGCCGAGAAAGGCATGGAGTTTCAGGCAGATGTTGTGCAACGGCCTTCAAGAGGCAGGTGGGCCAGACCTCTTCTCGTGGCGTAATTCTGCACTGCAACCATTTCTTATCACTCGCAAACATAAGATCACAAACACCCAGGTTCTCCCAGAAGCCGACTGTGTGACCCGGCCGCGGCCCGCCTTTCTGCAGCCCGCCAGCGCTGCTCCACTCACTCCAACCCTGCAAGGTCTGAGCTCTGGACAGAGGCGGCTGCCATGCTGGCTTGGGCTGCTCTGGGAAAAATGCCTTCTTCCCCACCCCCCCCACCCCCATCCTGCCCTTAGTGAGATCAAGACGGTCTGGTAGGCGATTTGCAGCTCATCCACGGCATCAGTCCAATACCCTGGGAAATAAGCCACGCAGACCTTGCTACTCACCAGGAGGCTGACGTTGGCTCCGTCGAGGTAGAAGTGGCCATTTACTTGCTGGTCACCCTCATCCTATTTACTTGGGTTCTCTCGTCCAGTATCGCCTCTTGCCCCCCTGCAGCGGCTGCTCCTCAGCGCGCCTGACCCGGAACGTCCAGACGTGACAGACTTAAGAGTTATCAGCCCCCACCATCACCTGCTTGGTTTTCATCCAGCATGAAAGTGCTACTTCCTTTCCCGCAGGCCCTTTGGTGCTGCAAATCCCTCCAAGCCTCTTCGAGCCCTGGGAGAGAATGTAATAAGGCAAGAGGAAATCTACCAGAAAAGAGAAATCCACTAAGCTGGTTTCATGAGGATCAGTGCTCTGGCTCCCTGCAGAAGGGACTTTTCAAAGAGCTCCTGGCCAGGAAAGCCCAACGGGGGAGATGCATGCCGAAGGCAGTGTTCTAGAGCGATCGCTAGCTCAACTGATTCAAAGCCGTTTGGAAGATGCTTTTAAACGTTGTGAGGCTTCCTGTCCAAACATCAGTGCCTTGGTCCTAAAATAAACACAAGGAATAGATTATTTCAGAACCCCATGAGACGGCATGTGACCCAGCAGGGCTAGGCAAACGGTATACTTCACAGAGTCTTCTCGAAAGTTGAAAATTGTGTTTCAGATCAAAAAAAGAGAGGGAGGGGGCAGGACTTTAAGTGCCTCAGTTCTTTTGGGCAGTTCTGCCCAAAAGTGCCTCACAGAAGATAAAATTAAATAACTAGTGTGAAAAAGCCCTGCATGGCAAGGACAGCTAACCAAATAAGGCAGCTGGTGCAGTAATCACGGAACTCAAATGAAGGAACTGTCACCCTGACAGCTCAAAAGTAATCCGGACGTGAGTTCCAGAGCTGGGCAAGTTTTTCAAAACAAAACAGGGAGTTTCACAAGTGGCTTTCGACCTCCAAGAGAACAGGCCACACACAGAGCACCACATTTCTGGGTCAGAAGGGACGCTGGCATCATTTACTCCAATACTTCTCTCTCGTACTCTGTTCAAAACTCGCCTGGTCTCTGGCGGGCTCCCTCCGGGGACACAGGCAGCTCACACTGCTAACTTCATCCTTCCACCAAACTAAAACTGGACTCCCAGGAACCTCCCAACGCTGGTCTGGATAACACACCAGGAAAACAAAACAGGGTGTAATTCTTCCACAAGATAACTCCGGGGTCCCTTCGGAACCATATTTCTGTTGTCACTTTGTCCAAGCGTGATGGCCCAGCCACAGGGTTTCAAGTGCTTGCTCACCATCCGTCATTCTCCTGGGGATATAGATTTCCTACTCTTTGAGGCCCGTGAAATCTCTGTCTTTTCTCAGCTTTAGATAAGGGCACCACAGGGCCATACTCATGGTGTTCTCTGGGGCATGTAAGCTCTTGGAGTCAAGGACAGCAGCCTGAAACCCCCATCCCTCGTTCCCGTAGGACCCGGCCCCACACTGCCAAGGTCTACCCTCTTATCTCTAAAAGGTCCAGAAGAGGCCGGTACTGTCCCTGGGGCAGGGCAGGTGTTGGCATGTGACCAGAGAAGGGCTCCAGCAGTCTGAGAAGTTGCAGTAACCACAGGGGAGAGCCACGAAGGGGAGGCAGGAAGGTGGCAGTGTAGGAAGTGGCCTCGGTGAGTCAGAGGGCCAGGAAAAGGGGCGCTAAGAACTGCGATCGGGAACGGGCTAGGGCCACTGGGAGGTGTCTGGCCTCAGCTCCGGGGGGCCGGGATTCTGTGGGCAAAGGCGCGGTGGGCGGGGGTGGGGGTGGGGGTGGGGGTGAATCGCGGCCGACTGGCGCGCGGAGGGGCCGCAGAGAGGCGCTCTCGGCCGGGGTCCCGCCCCTCGGTGTCCCTGCGCCGCCCACCCCCCGGCGTAGCCAAGCAGCCCGGGGTTTCAGGGCTCCGGCCCCGCAGGGTGGGCGGCGATGGGACGCCAGCGACTCCCGCCCGGTACCTACGCGCGCGGCGGGAAGGCCCCAGGATGACGCGCCGCCAGCGCCTACCGCCCCCTACAATTCCCGGCGAGCTGGCGCACGGGGATGGCGTCAAGCGGCGCGCGCCGCTGACGTCAGAGGGGCCATGGCGGCGGCGGTGGAGCCCTGGCAGGCTGCGGGTGCACGCAGGAAAAGGCGCTCTGCGGCGCGGCGTCCCCGAGGCGGGGAGGCAGCGGCGGGGCGTCTGGAGGCCGAGCCGGAGGCTGACGGCAGAGTCGTGCTTCGTCGAATCCGAGAAGCCGAGTGAGTGCGGGGTTGGCCCTGGGACCGAGTCTCCGCACCTGGGAGGACCGCTCTGAGCCTCAGTCTCGCCGTCTGTAAAGTGGGCATATCTGCAAACCCTTAGGGGTGTTGTGAGGATTTAACGGGGGCGAGGAGCTTATTACAGACTGACTCGGAGTCAAGGTTGTCATTCCTCTTACTGCACTTCTAGCTGCGTGACCTTCGGCAAGTTAAATAATCTCTGGGCCTCAGTTTTCTCGTCTGAGAAATGGACCTGAAAATAGTACCTGTTAGCCTTGTTTTGAGGATTCAGTGAATTAGTAAATGTAAACCACGGTGCCTGGAGCGGGGTAAGCGCAGAAGCAGTGTTTGGTATTAGTGTTATACCAGTGTTGGTCATTGTGATTGCTGACGCTGGGGAAGCAACACGAAGGTGATTGACATCTTCATGATGATCATCGTGAGTTAATTGAGGAGCTGCTGTGTGCCTGCCACTGGCTTATGCATTCTTCACACTTTATCAACTTGAACATCTCCAACAGCTAGGATCCTGGAAAGGGCTCAGAGTCTTAGAGACGCCGCTAATGTATGGAACCAGATTTCAGACCCGTAGCTTTGCAGTTTCAAAACTCTCCATTATTCGGGCTTATCCCAAACCCTCATGCCTCCATGCTTTACTGTGTATCTTAAAGTTTGGAACACTACCTACCGTGGGGCGCCTGGGTGGCCCAGTCCATTAAGCCTCTGACTTCAGCTCAGGTCGTGATCTCGCAGTTGGTGAGTTTGAGCCCCGCATCAGGCTCTGTGCTGACAGCAGCCTAGAGCCTGCTTCAGATGCTGTGTCTCGTTCTCTCTGTCCCTCTCCCCTGCTTGTGCTCTGTCTCTCTGTCTCTCAAAAATAAACACGTGTTTAAAAAAAATTTTTTAAAAAAGAACAGTACCTAACAAAGAGGATGCACTTTAATAAATGTCACCTATTTTTGTTCATTATTGTTACTAGCGTTATTTATTTGCAGTCCTTACGGGCCCCATAAATAACAGCTTTTGTTAGTGCTTCAGATCAACAGCTAGGAGAAATTCGACTGATTTTATGTGCTCCCGTCCCCCAGAATTAAGGTCAAGAGACAGCGAAAGTGAGGACTCAGGGATTACCACTGCTGAGAAAGGAGTTGGCTGACCAGTTGACTGAGGCTGAGTAAAGAAACAGTAGTGACTTTTTCTAGAATCTCAGAAGACGCAGATGAGAAGGAGTGTGCCCAGGGACTTGGAAAACCCTTAAGGCACTTTTCCCTACACCTTGCGTTGTTACTCCTCCTTGACTTCTCCATACACCGCCCCCCCCCGCCCCCGCCAGAGCTCCGTGTTCCTTCTTGTACCCATAAATGTGGTGCGGACCCCACTGCTCTGAGTAGAGAGAGCCCAGCACTCTACATGCTGTTCTCTGCACGCGCTCACCAGTTTATGAAGCACCCCCAGTACATCAGAGCTCTCCTTTGCCCTCAGTGAGGAACAGGAGGGTAGCCCCGGGGCAGATTTTTCAATTCTGTGCACTAAACGCTGGTGGGTGGCTTGTCTATTCAAATCCAAGTTTGTTTTGTTTAAAATTTTTCTTCCTTCAGGGGCGCCTGGGTGGCTTAGTCGGTTAAGCGTCCAACTTTCGCTTAGGTCATGATCTCGCGGTTCGTGGGTTTGGGCCGCGCGTCGGGCTCTGTGCTGACTGCCAGCTCAGAGCCTAGAGCCTGTTTCAGTCTGTGATTCCCTCTTTCTCTGACCCTCCCCTGCTCACGCTGTCTCTCTCTCTCTCCTAGAAATAAATAAAACATTAAAAATTTAAAAAAAAAATAAAATTTTTCTTCCTTCCTTTTTTTTTTTTTAAGTGTTTGTTTATTTTTGAGACAGAGAGAGACAGAGTGTGAGCAGGGGAGGGGCAGAGAGAGAGGGAGACACAGAATCTGAAGCAGGGTCCAGGCTCCGAGCTGTCAGCACAGAGTCCAACACGGAGCTCGAACTCACAAACCGTGAGGTCATGACCTGAGCCGAAGTCGGACACTTACCCGACTGAGCCACCCAGGCGCCCCCCAAGGTTTTTTCCTTATGAGAACTTTCAAGATCTACTCTCTTAGCAACTTCCAGGTGTTAGTACCTATAGGCGCCATGCCGTACGTTACATTCCCAGTACTTACTTATTTTATCCCTATAAGCTTGTACCTTTTGACCCCCTTTACCCATTTCACACCCATCCTCCCCTCCACAACCACCAGTCTGTTCTCTATCTAGGAGCAAGTTTTCTTTGTTTTTCAGATTCCATGTAAAAGTGATGTCATATAGTATTTGTCTGACTTATTTCACTAAACATAATGCTCTCAGGGTGCATCCGTGTTTTTGCAGATGGCAAGGTTTCATTCCTTATTATGGGTGAATAGTGTTTCATTTTATACAGATACACCACATCTTTACCAAATCATCTCTCTGTGAACGGTTTTCAGAGACGGTTTTCACATCTGAGCTATCGAAAATGATGCTGCACTGAACAAGGGGCTTCGTATGTCTTTTCATGTAGGTGTTTTTGTTTTCTTTCGGTAAATAGCCAGAAGGGAAATTGCTGGGTTGTAAGGTGCTTCTGATTTTGATTGTTTGAATAACCTCCGCGCTGTTTTCCACAGCGGCTGCACCAACTTACGTTCCCACCAGCAGTGCACCAGGGTTTGGTTTTCTCCACCTTCTCGCCAAAGTTTGTTATTTCTCTTTCTGACACCGCCCTTCTCACCGGCGTGAGATGATATCTCACTGTTCTGATTTGCACTTCTCTGATGATTAATGATGTTGAGCGTCTTTTCACGTACCTGTTGTCTCTCGCTATGTCTTCTCTGGATAAATGTCTATTCGGATAATCTTTCCACTTCTTAATCCCCTTGTTTGGTGGTTTTGGTCCTCATTTGTAGGAGTTCTTTACATATTTTGGGTGTTAACCTTTTATCAGGTATGTGATGTGCACATCTTTGTCCCAGGCAGTAGGTTGCCTGTTTATTTTGTGGGGCGGTTTTCTTTGCTGGGCAGAACCTTTTTAGTTCCGTGCGGTTTTGCCTCTTTTATTTTTGCTTTTGGAGCCAGATCCAAAAAATACCGCCGCCAGGGCTTAGGCCAAGCGGCTTCTCGCCTGTGTTTTCTGCTAAGAGTTTTATGGCTTCAGGTCTTCCATTCGCGCCTTTAATCCATTCCGAGTTCATTTTTGCATCCGTCCTAAAAGAGTGGCGCGGTTTCATTGTTTTGCATGTGGCTGGACGTTTTCCCATCACCACTTGGGAAGGAAAGTGTCCTTCTCCCTTGTGCGTTGGCTGCTTTGTCATAGGTACTGGATCATAGACGCATGTGTTTATTTCTGGGCTCTCTCTTCTGTTCCGTCGCTTGATCTGTGTGTCGGCTTTTATGCCGGGATGCCAACAGTCCTTCTCGCTTTGTGGTAGAGTTTGAAACCAGGGAGCACGATGCCCCCGGCTTTGTTCTTTCCCAAGACTGCTTTGGCTGTCCCGGGGCTTTTGTGATCTGTCTCGGAGAAAGGTCCATGCGCCCTAGAGAGGAATGTATTCCGTGTACTGCTTTTGGATGGAGAGCTCTGAGTGTATCTGTTACGTCCATCTGGTCTAACATGTTGTCTGAGGCTGATGTTTCCTTATTGATCTTCTGTCTGGGTGGTCTGTCCAGTGATGTAAGTGAGGTGTGAACATCCACTATTGTTTCTGTACCACTGTCTACTTCTCCTCTAAGGTCTGCTCATGTTTGCTCTACGTGTTCAGTTGCTTCTAAAACTGGGTGCATAAATATTTACAGATGTTGTCTTCTCTTGTTACATTGATTCCTTTATCAAGTAATGTTCTTCTTTGGCTCTTATTACAGTGTTTGGGTTGGTTTTTCTTCATCCTCCATCAGACTGAGAATCAGATCATTGGTTAGCTGTGCAGCCTTGAACAAAGCACACTCCTTCTCGAAGTCTGTTTTTTTCTCTATAAAATAGAAACAACAAATTCTTCTCCCAGGACCTTACCATGGCTCAACCAAGAGAGTGTGTATAAAAGAGCTTTGTGAACTAGGAGATGCTGTCCAGCTATGAAAAGGGGTGATGCTCGTGATGATTATGCAACAACCAGATGTTCAGGATAAGACTTTAAAAACATTTTTTTAATGTTTATTTCTTTTTTGAGAGAGAGACTGAGTGCGAGCACAAGCGAGGGAAGGGCAGAGAGAGAGGGAGACACAGAATCCGAAGCAGGCTCCAGGCTGTGAGCTGTCAACACAGAGCCCGACGCGGGGCTTGAACCCACGACCCGTGAGATCATGACCTGAGCCAAAGTTTGACCCTCAACCGACTGAGCCACCCAGGTGCCCCAAGATTTTTTTTAACGGTACTTATTGAGGACTTACTGTCTTGGCTACTATTCTAAGTGTTCTCTATCTCATTTAATTCTAACAACTATATTTAAAATTAAAAAAAATAATAAAAACTATTCTGTAGGTAAATATTTGTACCATCGTCAGAGTTGAGGAAACAGGTACAGAAGAGGTTAAGTAACTTGCCCAGTGTCATAGTAGATATCAGAACCAGATACAGACCTAAGTGTGTGACTCTGAAGTCGGTGTTCTTTTTTTTAAGTTGGCCAAATATACATAGCCCTTAAAATACCATAGATGAAATTAAGTTTTTAAACATTTACTTACCTATTTTGAGACAGAGGGTGCCAGTGGGGGAGGGGCAGAGAGAGCGAGGGGAGGGAAAGAGAATCCCAAGTGGGCTCCACGTTCAGCACAGAGCCTGACAGGGGCGTCAGTCCCATGAACCGTGAGATATGACCTGAGCCGAAAGCAAATCTAGACGCTTAACCGACTCAGCCACCCCGGTGCCCCTATTTTACATTTTTTTGAGAAGTTCCTTACAGTTTTCCATAGTTGGCTGCACCAAGTTACATTCCTTCCAACGGCGAACGAGGGTTTTCCTTTTCTCCACGTCTTCACCAGCACTTGTTCTTGCTTGTCTTTTTGATAACAGCCATTCTTGACAAATGTGATGTGGTATCTTACTGTGGGTTCGATGTGCATTTCCCTTGTGATTCATGATGGTGAGCATCTTTTCATGTACCTGTTGACCATCTATATGTCTTCTTTGGAAAAATGAAGACATTTTTCCTAATTAGATCGCTTGGGTTTTCTTGCTCTTGAGTTGTAGGAATGCTTTATATTTTGGATGTTAATCCCTCATCAGATACATGATTTGCAAATGTTTTCCCATGCGGTGGGGTTGCCTTTTTATTTTGTGGATGGTTTCCTTTGCTGTGCAGAAACTTTTTAGTTTGATGTAGTCCAATATGTTTATTTTTGCTTTTGTTTTTACTTTTGGTATTGGATTTTAAAAATCACTACCAAGACCTATGTCAAACAGCTTTTCCCCCATGTTTTCTATGAGGAATTTGATCGTTTCTGGTCTTACGTTCAAGTCTTTAATCCATTTTGGGTTCATTTCTGTGTACGGTATAAGATAGTGGTTTCATTCTTTTACAAATGGCTGTCCAGTTTTCCCAACACTGTTTATTAAAGAAGGCTCTTCTTTCCCCCTTGTATATTCTTGGCTCCGTTGTCATAAGGCACTTGACTGTATATTTTTGGGTTTATTTCTGGGCTTTCTCTTCTGCTCCATTGATCTGTGTGTCTGTTTTAATGCCAATACTATGTTGTTTTGATGACTATAACTTTGTAGTAGAAATCTGAAATCGGGGTGTGATGCCTTTAGCTTTGTTCTCCTTTCTCAAGATTGCTCTGGCTTTCCAGAGCCTTCTGTGACTCCATACAAATTTTGGGATCTTTTGTTCTGTTTCTGTGAAAACTGCAGTTAGAATGTTGATAGGAATTGCATTGAATCTGTAGACAGCTTTGGGTAGCACAGACATTTTAACACTATTCTTCCAGTCCATGAGGATGGACTGTCTTTCCATTTTCCTGTGTTGTCTTCAGTTTCTTTCCTTAATGTCTTACAGTTTTCAATATACTGGCTTTCACCTCCTTGGTTAAGTTTATTCCTAGGTATTTTATTCTTTTCAATGCAATTTCAAATGGGATCATCTTCTTAATTTCTTTTTCTGGTAGTTCGTTATTAGTGTATAGAAATGGAACAGATTTTTGTGTATTGATATTGTGTCCTGCAATTTTACTGAATTCATTTATTTGAACAGTTTTTGGGGGGAGTCTTTAAGGTTTTCCATACATGTCATCTGCAAATGGTGACAGTTTTACTTCTTTCTTTTCTTGTTTAGATGCCTTGCATTTATTTTTCTTGCATAATTGCTCTGGTGGGGACTTGCAAGTTTATCTTGAATGAAAGTAGTGAGAGTGGGCGTCTTTGTCTTATTCCTGATCTTAGAGGAAATAGTAACAGCGGAAACTTCACCACTGAATGTGATGTTATCTGTGGGCTTGTCCTCTGTGGCCTTTATTGTGTTGAGGTACATTCCCTCGATAACCCACTTTGTTGAGAATTTTTATTGTAAGTGGATATTAAATTTTGTCAGATGCTTTCTCTGCATTTCTCAAGGTGATCATACGCTTTTTATTCTTCATTTTGTTAACGTGATGAATCGCGTTCATTGATTTGGCTCCGTGAACCATCCCTGCGTCCCTGGAGTAAACCCCACGTGATCATAGTGTGTGATTCTTTTAGCATATTGGTGCATTGGGTTTGCTAGTATTTTGTTGAGCGCGTCTGCATCCAAGCTCATCAAAGACACTGGCCTGTAATTTTCTTGTCTTGTAGTGTCCTGGGCTGGTTTTGGCATCAGGGTAATGCTGGCCCCAGAAAATGAGTTTGGAAGTGTTCCCTCTTCTGTTTTTGGGAAAAGCTTGGGAAGGATTGGTATTCATCCTCTGAATGGTAGAGTTTGCCATTAAAAAAAATTTTTTTTAATGTGTACTTTTGAGAGAGAGATAGAGCACGAGCAGGGGAGGGACAGGAACAGGGAGAGAGGGAGACCTCTGAAGCAGGCTCCAGGCTCTGAGCTGTCAGCACAGAGCCCGATGCGGGGCTTGAACCTATGAGTGGTGAGATCATGACCTGAGCCCAGGTCAGACGCTTAACCGACTGAGCCAGCCAGGCACCCCTAGACTTCACCATTGAAGCCATCTGGTTCTGGCCTTTTGTTTTTTGGGAAGTCTGAAATGGCTGACTCTTTTGGGTTGTCCAAATAGTTGCGATGTATTCTCACAGTAGTCCCTTTGATCTTTTGATCTTTTGGTTTTTTGTGGTGTCAGCTATACTATCTCCTCTGTCATTTCTGATTTTGAGTCCTCTCTCTCTCTCTCTCTCTCTCTCTCTTTTTCCCTCTCCTTCTCCCTCTCCCTCCCTCCCTCCTTCCCTCTCCTTGGTGTCTAGCTTAAAGGTTTCTCAATTTTGTTACTCTTTCAAAACATCTGTTCTTTTGTTGATCTTTTTTTCTTGTCTTTTTTTTTTAACCTATTTCATTTAGTTTTGTTCTGATCTTTGTTATTTCCTTCCTTCTACTAACTTTGGGCTTCATTTGTTCTTTTCTAGTTTGGGAGGTGTAACATTTGGTTATTTATTTGAGACTTTTCTTGGTTTTTGCGGTAGACCTGTACTGCTATAAACTTCCCACTTAGAACCATTTTTGCTGGATCCCAAAAATGTTGGTATGCCTGCATGTTGAATTCAATTTTGTCTGATATAAGTATAGCTCTCCCAGCTCCCTTTTGGTTTCCACTTTCCCAGAACATCTTTTCTGTCTCCTCATTTTCAGTCTGTGTTGTTCTTATGTCCAAAGTGTGTCTTTTCTGGGCAGCACATGGATGGGTTTGTGTTTCCAGTCACTGTATATCTTTTGATTGGACAAATTCATCAATTCGTTTTAAATCCCTGTTGACTGTGTTCTGCTCTGGATTTGCACAAGCCGGCTGACTTGAATAAAGAAAGCCTAGACACTGGTTTTGTCTCTCCTCTCACTGTCACCTTGGAATTACTTGTGATAGCAAAGACTGTTTATTAAGCACCTGCTGAATGCAAGGCACTGCACTGTGTATTGACTCATTCGCTCCCTTTGATCACCCTGCTTGACAGGTATGATTCTTTTCCCTATCTTAGAGGTGAGGAAACTGAGACTCAGAGCCCTCAAATCTGTGGACCTTCAACTGTTTACGGAGCTCTGCATCCGTGCCAGCCGGTGGTGTGGACTGAGGGCACAGAACAGACCCAGACCTGTCCCTGGGAACTGGGACATCCGCCAGCAACCCCGGGGACGCCGGCAGCACTGATCTCGGGGCGCCGGCAGCACTGGTCTGGCTCTGGACGTGTCCACTGTGAATCCTGCCTCAGCCACTGCGGGGCGCTGTGTCTGGGGCACTCCATCCCCTTCCCCGCATCCAGCTCACGGTCAGGAGGAGGGCCACCGGTGGGGCATCCTGGAAACGGTTGGGAGATGACCATGCCTTGTTTTCTTAACAGGGAGGACCTGCTTCTGTCTGATTTCTGGAGTCTGGCACTAGGTGGGTACTGCCTGGCCAAGGCTGGGAGTGGTAGGTGTGGGGGGAGGGCCTGACTGTGGGCGAAGGAAGGAAGCTAGGCCTCATTTGATGACATTTTCCTCACAGAGCAGTGTACATTCTGGGTTCTGATTCTGACTTCCTGCCGACAGCCGTGTGCCTTGGCACTTAGGTCTGACCCTCAGTTTGTCTTTGAAAGGGAGGTAACAATGTACACATCCTGTGGCGTAATTTTGAGGATTAAAGGAGGCTATTTGGTTCAGTCCTGGGAACAGTGCTTGCCTGTGCATGGGAGGAAGTGCATGTCATCTGTCACTGTCACTGTTGAAATTTACACTCAGGGAGTTCTTTTCCCTGACTTTGCAATGTAGACTTGTTTTCCCCCATGCAGTGTAAGCTCTTGCTGAACAGAAGCTATGGGAACGTAAATATTAACGTGAGGAGTCAACGCACAGCAGTATGATTTTTATTGAGGGAACTTTGGTTATTTTTTCCTTTTTTTTTTTTTTTTTTTTTTTTAGTCATTATACATAACTGCAATGAACACCTTTATGCATAAAGCTTTTTACCAAATTTAGGGTGATTCTCTTCGGAAATGTTCCCAGAAGTGGAATTGTTCGAAAAGGCAGGGACTGATTTGATATCCGTTGTCAAGTTTTTTCCAGAAAGCTTTTACCACTACTTTTACCAGCAAGGACTGAAAGAGCCAGTTTTTCACGTGCCCTTTCCCAGCCAGGGGTCTCACTTACAGATCTCTTTGCTAATAAGTGAAAAGCGCTGTCTTATTGTGGGAACGTATGGCCTTTTGTTTTTTTGTGTACAGATTTGTTCAAATAAGTTCAGTGTCAATAAAGGAGAGACAAGAAAATCCACTGCTGTACGAGATTTAGGCAGAGTATTTTTCTTTAGACTCCAAAAGCCCCAGTCTACCTCTTATTCTTCCATCTTTTTACACATTACATATTCCCATTCCCAGCCTTCTGGGGTGTGATTTTGAGAGCTCTGCTCCTCTGTTCTTTGTTACCATCAAAAAAGTGGGTGCTTCAGAGCAGCCTGCATTTACCAGATACCTCCTACTAAGGTAGGAGTTCACAGGAGAGTTTTAGGTGGAAACTGTGTCCAGAGACGAAACCTAGATTTTGCCGTGGGCATCCGTGGGGCCGCGGGCATCATCTGCAGGGCCGCGGGCATCCGCGGGGCTGCAGGCCGGGGCACCCAGGACCGCGACAGCCTGTCCGTGTGGGCGGGCGTGGCCGCAGTCCCAGGCACGGTTGGGAGCGAGGCCCCGCAGCCTTGTCTCCGAGCAGCTGAGGCCTTTGCTGACCGAGCTTTCCTCCCTGGGTGCGCGCCTGCGTGGAGCGTGCCCTCTGACTGGGCCCGGGGGCTGCCCTTTCAGAAACCATCAACGGCTGTCTTACACAACATCTGGCACAACTGGAGGCCCCAGGGAGGGCTCTCTCGGAAGCCCTCGGAAACCTGCACCTCGACTCCTCGCCAGATGCGTCGGATGCAGCCCCGGGCTCCGTCCCAGGGGACACCCTGGTCCCGGGGTCCCGCCATTTGAAGTGTGTGTGTTACGGCCTTGGGAACTTTGCCACCTGCGTCATAGCCAGAAACCAGCTAGCGTTTTTGCTTCTCTTCCTGGAGAAGTGCCAGGTGAGGTCTCGGGCTCTTCCCTCCCGCCCCTCCGTTGGTCTCGCACACGGTGTGCACACGCGCCACTAGGTTGATGGGACTCATTCTCCCCTTCTGCAGATTCCCCGGAGGCACTGCTGGGTGTACGACCCTCTGTTTAGCCAGCTAGAGATTGCAGTTCTGGATGGCCTCGGCGTGACTGTCCTCAGTGAGAATGAGGTGAGGGGGTTGGGGGGGGCTGTGTACCTGGAACCCCAGGCCGTGCCGTGTGGACATGTTCCCAGACCTCAGTCATCCCTTCCCACCCCGCACTTGCCTTCCCAGTGCCTGGAAGGTGTGACCCATCAGGACCCATCACAGAAAAATGAATTGTACAAATGGCATGAACTGAAACCTGTTATATTTGCAAAATTCCTTTATTTTTTTAAGTTTGTATCTTTTGAGAGAGTGCAAGCGCGGAGTGCAAGCGCGGAGGGGCAGAGGGAGAGAGAGAGAACCAAACAGGCTCTGCACTGGGACTGCCGAGCCCATTGCGGGGCTCGAACCCACAGATTGTGGATCACGAGCCAAAAGCAAGAGGCAACCCTTAACTGACTCAGCCACCCAGGCGCCCCTTTTGCAAAATTCTTGTGAGAATTCTGAGTCCAGGAATTACCGGTAATTTAGTAAATTGGTATTTACTGTGGGATTAAATAATGAAGGGCTACAGGATCTCGGTGCCTCAAATGAGGGCCTTCTGGTTGGAATTTGCCGTCCTGGGCGAGAGGAGGGGAGGGGACAGAACATCTTTGACGCTGTAGCCGAGTCAGCCCGTAGCGTCTGGCCGAGTGGCGGGTAGATGCGCCCCGCATGCCCCAAACAGCTGGCGCATGACATTTCTGAGCCCTGGCAGACACTCCTCTCCCAACAGCGGGCAGCGTCTGGGCACGTGCTTCCGCAGGTGGTTTGGACGGTGTGATCGGGCGCGCGCGCGAAGGAACCGCAGTGAGGTCCCCGCCCCGCGCCTCGCCTGGACCTAAGAGCGCAGGGGCGGGCACGCGCGTGCCCGCAGGGGGGCTGACGCGCGCACGCGTGCCCGCAGGAGGGCAGGCGCTGCGTGGGCGGCGAGCCCACCGTGTTTTACATGCCGCACTGCGGGACGGCCCTGTACAACAACCTCCTGTGGAGCAACTGGTCGGCTGGCGCCCTCTCCAGGATGCTCGTCGTCGGGAACAGTTTCCGGGGCCTGGAGGAGAGGTGAGCCACGGTGGGGGCGCTGACTGCCCGTGGGGATGCGCTTGCCCGCGGAGGCTGACGGGCTTCGCCAGGGCACGGGCGCCCCGCGTGCGTCAGGCTGCAGAATGAGTTGCGGAGCCTTTCTGCCAGGGTTTCCTCCCCTCCCTTATGTCGGACGGGGTTTGAGGTGGGGGACCGCCCGATCTCTCCCGCAGCCCACACCTGTACCCCGGGGGGCCGCTGCATCTCCCTCGATGGCACGGGTGCTTGGGGGGCGTGCCCGTGTTCCTCGGCAGCGCACCTACCCCACCGTCCCCTCTTTAGAACGTCCACTACCTTTAAGCCGCTCAGGCTTCCTGCAACCTGCCTTTCTCAGCTCTCCTCCTCAGAATGGGTTTGCTTCTGTTTAATTTCCAGATTGCTGTCGAGGGTTCTGCACAAAAATTACCCCTACGTGGCCAAGGTATCTGAACAAAGGAGCCCGGACGGACCAGGGTGTGGGCATAGACCCCGTCTCCCTCAGGGACAATCCTGCCTTTACATGTGTGGGAGGGGCTCTGCGAGAGCAGTGGAGGCACCGCTCAGCGGGCTTTCTCTATAGTTCTGTCACAGAAAGCGATGGCCTGTCCTTCATTCTTGGTATCAAGCCCTACATACTCCCTACCCTAGGACCTTCCAGTTCATCACCCAGGATCACGTAAAATATCCTAGTCCTTTTTTTTTTTTTTAAAGGGAACATGGGGTAACAGGTTACCCCGAGGTGTGGGGCTTACCGGCTGTCCGTGTGTGCACCCTAATTTCCCCGCGCAGGTTTTACAAGGCCTGGAGGAGCGTGGGCTGCCGCAGACCCCACCGTATGCCGACATATTCAACGACATGTCTGTCCACTGGTTCCCGGCAGAGAAGCTGCTAAGACTCCCCCCGGACACGTGGGCATTCCGGGAAGAACCGGACTATGGGGACTGTGAGCACCTGGAAATCATCAGAAGCAGGACGAGCGGTCCCTCTGCTGCCAGCCCGACTGGGCCGTGACTCACTCTGTGCCGGCCGAGGCCCAGGAGGGCATGCAGAGCCCCGTTCTCTGCAGCAGGCAGGCCGCAGACTGCGGGGAGGGGTCCATCTGCTTCTCCCCTAGAGGAGGACGTGCTGTGCAAGGGCTCAGGGTACAGACGTGCCTCCCCAGCGTGATGCTTCACGTCCTTTCCTGGCAACCTGACCCATAGGGACATCCGGATGCGGAGTCACTACTCTCTCAGGGCTGTTTTCAAACACTGTTTATTCGTGCCCATGCCCAGCCCACCGCCCTCTACTTGGCCATGTCAATCAGGCTCTGCAGGGAGGTGGGCACCCAGGTCTTCTCACCCTGGACAAACACCACCCCCCGGTCGATGTAGATGACTATGCGGCCAAACGTGTAGAGCTGCTTCCCTTCGTGGCGCTTCCCAATGACCGGCATGAACACGATGTTGTGCTCCTCGGCTTTGGTCTCAATGAGGTCCTTAAAGTTCATGGGCACAGAGCTGGCGGCCACGCCGATGCCCCTCTGGGCCATGTTCTCCGCCTCCCGCCGCTCCTGCATGGCCTCGTACTGGAAGTCCTTCCTGCGCTCCGTGTGGGTGAGGTAGGCGATGTTCTCCCGCGCCCCGGGCTGCATGTAGGCACCTGGGGGGCACAGAGGAGAGGGGGTGAGGACGGGTGTGCCGGCGCACACGGAAACAGACTGGCCTGGCAGACCTGCTTGTGACTCCGTGAAGGGTGGGGGCTCGGGGGCACAAAGCACCGATACAGGCGGCAAGCACCTTGAGGGAGCTCTGGCAGCTGTCCGCCGCCACAGAAACACCGGGATGATGTGTAATAACCGGGGAGATGAGCATGAAGCAGCACGTTAATCCTCCCCTGGACACCTGACCACACACAGCCTGTCCTAGTTCTGTTCCTAGAGAGTCCGTACAGGCCCAGCCCGGGAAGGATGCCGAATGCAACCAGGGAGCTGAAACAGATGCTGAAGGACAGCACGGTGCTGCCTGGTGCTGCCGGGCGTGGATGAGAACAGCTCTGGGAGGGGGCCTGGGGCCACAGTGGCTGAGGAAGAGTTTCTAGAGAATGTGAAAAGGGGATGGCCCATTGACGGACCTGGGTGAGAGCACAGAAGTACACCTACCTCGTTAGACAGAATATATGACCTATGAACTTGACTTTCGTGGAATAGACTCAAAGGATTAAAGCCTCAGGAAATATAAATTAGGTCCCAGCTGCCATGCTGGCTAACCCTGAACAAGCGCTCGGCCTTGAGGAGCTTATCTGGGAGGCAGGGTGGCCTTCGCGTAGAGATTTGAGCGCACCGTGACACAGGACTGACTCAGCTGGTCGGGAGCTGGGGATGGATATTAATTGGACAGGCACCAGCCCACAGCCAAGACAACAGAGACACGGCCTGCACGGTACGGCACGCACACCGTAGCTGACCCAGCCCCCAGCTTTCTAATAAAACCCGGAAGTGTGCAGTGTGACACGCAAGTGCGCAGTGTGAGTGTCTCACACAGAAACAGGCCAGGCGGGCTTAGCAGCTGCTGGGTGTCAGGCCGCGCTCTGACTGCAAGTAGAGGGCAAGCCGTTACGCGTGAGTAGCACACAGAGCTATTCACAGGCGTGCCAGACAGCATGAAGAGCCACAGGGCATTGATCACGAAGGTGGCCCCAGGAGGCCCCCTGAAGTGACTCCAGCCACAGTCCGACTCGGGCCGGGGCAGAAGCCCCTGCCCCCTCAGGGCTGGGAGGGCCAGACAGCGTGCTGGAGCGGGTGGCCCATGGGCACCTGAAAACTCTGGTTCTGTGTCATTTACGCATTCAGAAGCACAGCGCTCAGGGCCAGGATGCCCAAAACAGACTCCCCACTCACCAACGTTGGAGGACACCGCCCTGTTCATGATGTCAAGTGCTTCATTAAATTTGTCTTTGACGGATGGGTGCGCCAGCACTTGGTCTGAGAACATGGACTTCCAACCCAGGTACCACTTAGTGATCTCCTCGTAATTGGGGCTGTTACTGAGCCAAGAGCACAGCACCTGCCGAAGAGAGACAGATAGGAAACGTGCATCCATCAGGCAGCAAAACTGCCAAAGGGGCCTTCTGGTCTGTTCTGAGTGTGGTCCTGCAAGCTGGGGACACCTCTAGGGGCTGGGAGGGGCTGAACAGTCTGGCATTCAGAGTGTGGAATTGGGAGTTGGCCTGGCAACTCAGTGCCTTGACCGTGAGCTCCCTGAACTGCATCCTCCCGTCTAAACGAGAGGGATGTGCCCGTGCCTCCCCCAGAGTTTGGGTGTGAGGAGCAGAGGTAACACACAGGAAGTGTTTTGCCAGTGTTCAATAAAGGGAGGTTGCTGTTATTATTGCTTATCGTTGTCACACGTTGTAGCACTGGTACCTGACAGCTGTCCACGAATCGACCTCCTGGTCAGACCTTGGCAGAAAACCAGGGACCCTCCCTGCCACCATCCCACCCTTCAAAGGCCACAGCCGCGCAGGGTGTACCTGAAGCCACTTGGGGAAGAAATGCTTTTCAAGAAGGCCCACGAGGCTGGAGACGGAGATCATCCCTTCCCAGTCAATGACCCAGTAGAAAGCGTCCATGTGCTGCTGGTGGGGGTTAATGACTAATTCCCCGAGACACATGCCTGCAATAAAGGCCAGTCTTTAAGGCAGAGCCACAGACGCACAGAGCAGAACCTTCAGCGGACAGTGCCAGTCCCTAATCCATTTCTGTACATCAGCCCCAAGCCCTTGACACAGCAGCTCGTAAAAACCATTCTTCTCCATAACCCAGAAGTAACTAATAACGTATTTAAAATCAAATGCCACAAAAAATGTCAGAACGCCAATGTTTCTCATGTGACCAGAAGCCCAAACAAGCCCAATTAGGAAGCGGGAGGCGCGCAGAGTGGGATGTCCGCGGTGACGGAAGAACACTCGGCACATTCACACCCCACCTCTGGGCCCCGAGCGGCGCTGTGTGCCGAGCTTTGGCACGGGGCTCCAGGGGCGGGCCTCACGAGGCACAGAGCACGTTGCCGCCGGCCAGACACCAGGGCTGTGGGCCACTGGGCCTTGCGCACCTTCCCCACGTGCTTACCTAGCTTGGGCACAATGTTCTTGACCATGAACGCCTCCCAAGAGCCGGGGGTGAAGACATCTTTCCAGGGCTGCAGGATGAGCTTGGCTGAGGAGTCGCTGGGGTGCCACTTCTGCAGGGCGCTGGACAGCTTGCTGCGGATGGGCGAGTAGAGCGGCTCGAGGCGCGCCTGCATGAGGGGCAGCCACGGGTGCACCCATGAGTGGATGGGCACAGTGTCCGTCAGCGGGTTCCAGCTTTCCACCTGCGGAAGCAGTTCACGGGGTGCTGTGCGGTCCATGCCCGGAGGCCACGTGCTCTCCTGGCCTCGGCCCACAGGCCTCCGCTAGGCCAAAGACACCCATGAGACTGAGTGAGATCTTCTCAACGGCACCAGTTCTGTCTCACTAGACAAACCGAGCATGGGGGGACTGGACAGGCGCCCCAGTCCCTGCTGACGGCCGCCCCCATGGCTCCGGACCTACCTCCTTCTGCAGCTTGGGGAAGATGAGCTGGTCCAGTATGTTATCTAAGATCCACACGGGGATAATGTGCACCCAGCTGTCCAGAAAATCCACCATTGGGTCACAGTTCCGTGGCTGCCACTGGGTGACAATATTTCGAACAAATGGCATCCAGACTTCCCATATCAGCCTGCAGGAGAAGAGAAAGGGCAGGACAGCAGCACTGATGGGGTTTCGAAGTAGACACGGTCCGCCACCATCCACCCTCCAGAGTAAGGAAGCAGCAGCACTGGGTCCGAGCACAGCAAACCAGCCCAGCCCCCAGGCCTGTGCCCCTGGCGGAGCCCGCCTGCTTGGCAGGGATGCTGTGGCGTCACAAGGGTCCCTCTCTGGGACCGCGAGCCTCCCTGACTGGAGCTCTAGGAGCAGCTGATGACTCCCTTCTCGGGTCACAGCTTCAACGACCCTCCTCTTAGAGACTTCTGCTTCCAGCCCCTCCCATCCCCCAACTAGGTGCGCATCCTCTCTCTCCTGCATCGCGGGGCCGGTTTGCACCCTGGCTTTATTTGTCCACTTCCGTACCCCCGACATGCCTCTACCCCCTCTCTCCCCTCCCAGACTGAGCCGTCTGCCTCACTCCCAGAGGAAGGCCTCCGGGCACAGCACAACACTCAGACACTGGCAAGCACGGGGTGAGTGAGCGGATGCGCGGAGGCCAGTCCCCGCCCCCTCAGTGGAACTGCCTCCTGGGCCCTGTGCCAGTACCTGTGGAAGGCGTCTGCCGAGAGGTCCTGCCCGCCGTGAGACAAGAGCTGGTCGTTCTCGAGGAGGCTTTTCCACCTGGAGATGACCTCGGTGCCGTACGCGCAGTCCTGGGGAGAGACGCAGCCATCACCAGAGCACCCCCACCCTGCGCGGCCTCTCCGAGCCGGGCCCACCCTATCGGCCACTCACCTTGAGCGGGTCCCACTCCTTAAAGTAGTCCTTCATGAGCGGGTAGACGATGGCCACGGCCAGGTCCACGCGGTCGGACATGCGGTACTCCTCGTAGTATTTGTCCTGCAGGGTCTCGAAGACGCGGGCGCACTCCTCCAGGGTGAGGGGGTCGCTGCAGCCGGGCTGCATGCGCCGCTCGCACTCCTCCACCATCTCCAGCACCTTGCTGAGGTTGGCGATGACCCGCTGCTCGTGCTCCAGCACCTCCGACATCTTCTCCAGCTCGTGCGAGAGGCTCACCACCATGTCGCGCTCATACTGCAGCTGCCGGTCACTCTGGATGATCTCCTGCTCCGTGAGGTCGATGAGCAACTGCAGGTTGTGCTCCAGCTCGGGCAGCGCGAAGCCCGGCGCCTTGGCCTCTTTGCCGGGCTGCGGCGGCTGCTGGGACTGCGGCGGCAGCCCGTCATCGGGGACGCTGTGCTTGTGGCTGATCTGGCTGTAGCTGTAGTAGACCTTCTGCTCCCGGCCGGTCATGTCGATGACCTGGGGGAAGGCAGTAGGGGGGGCAAGTCAAGGCTCACCATGACACGTGCCCTGTGACCGTGCGCGTAAGGCCAGGCAGGGCACCAGTGCCCACGAGCCGGTTCCCCATGGTGGAGCCCCCGCCACAGGGAGAAGGTCGGGGACAGGACCACTCGAGCAACCCGCAGTTCACACCGGCTCCCTCCAGATGAGACGGGCAACGCTTCCTAGGAAAAGCCGTGAAACCGGAGCGCGGACTACTCAGTGGAAACGAACATCTACTGTCATGTAAGGCAGAGGCTGTACTGATGGAAGTGGGGAATAAGCCACCACATAGGATCAAAGTATCACATTCAGGCGAAAGTGAACAAATCAGGAGACTCTAGATGCTGGTGAGGATGTGGAGAAACGGGCACCCTCCTACACTGTTGGTGGGAATGCAAACTGGTGCAGCCCCTCTGGAACATAGTATGGAAGTTCCTCAAAAAATTAACAACAGAACTCCCCTATAACCCAGCAATAGCACTGCTAGGAATTTTCCCAAGGGATATAGGAGTATTGATGCATAGGAGCACATGTACCCCAATGTTCATAGCAGCACTCTCAACAATCGCCAAAACATGGAAAGAGCCTACGTGTCCATCAACGGACGAATGGATCAAGAAGATGTGGTTCATCTACACAATGGAATCCTACATGGCAATGAGAAAGAATAAAATCTGGCCATGTGTAGCAACATGGATGGAACTTGAGGGTGTTATGCTGAGCGAAATAAGTCAGGCAGAGAAGGACAGATGCCACATGTTTGCACATATTGGTGGATTAAGAGGAACTTAGTGAAGGACCATGGGGGAGGAGAAGGGGAAAAATAGTGGGGGAGAGGGAGGGAGGCAAACCATGAGAGACTCTTGAATGCTGAGAACAAACTTGAGGACTGATGGGAGTCGGGGGGAGGGGAAGGGGGGTGATGGGCATGGAGGAGGGCACTTGTGGGGATGAGCACCGGGTGTTATACGGAAACCAACTAGACAATAAACTATTTAAGAAAAAAAGATTAAATTCAAAAAGCAAAGTATCACATTCGGTATAAGAAAAATGCATATTTAGGCAGAGAAAGAGCTAGAAAGACGTGTATCAAGATGTTAAGACTGGGGGTGGCTGGGTGGTTCAGTTGGTTAAGCGGCCGACTTCGGCTCAGGTCATGATCTCACGATTCGTGAGTTTGAGCCCCGCATCGGGCTCTGTGCTGACAGCTCAGAGCCTGGAACCTATTTCAGATCCTGTATCTCCCTCTCTCTCTGACCCTCCCCTGCTCACACTGTCTCTATTTCTGTCTCCAAAACAAATAAAACGATAAAAAATTAAAAAAAAAAGATGTTAAGACTAGTCACCTATGGGAAGGAAGGAAAAGAATATTTCTGCCTCTATTTCCTAATTGTCTAGGAAGTGCCATACACTGCTCCGTGATAATAAAAAACTTGTGTTTTAACTTAAAAACAAGACAAAACATGAGAAAAGGTTATTGCACAAAAGCACCCTTAGGTGAGCATTCAAGAAAACAGGGGAACCTGGGGAACCTGCTGGAACACAGGGCCCGCCAGCACCTGAAGTAAGGCCAACCCAAGAACCACGAGCACTGGAACCGGCTGGAGAAAAGTAAACCCGGGGCTCCCACACCTGCCTCCACCCACGGGCCCCTGGTCTCAGGTGAGGACCGGCACGTTGGCGTTTCTCACCAGCCCTCCTGGCCGGCAGCAAGCGCACAGCACCTTGACACTGGAGAGCCCCACGTGGTGACCGTCTGTCCTACGCCAAACCGCACCCTCGTCCTCTGGCCACTCGGGGGAGTAACGGAAAGCCCAGGACCGGAGGCACGGGACAGCGTGCCTGGAATGGACTTACAGCCGCAAACACTCCAGTGCCAGAGGCCCCGAGGGCTGTCCTGTGTGAGCTGGCGCACCCTCTCCACTGTTCCAGAGCCTTAAACACCTTCCTTCCCACGTTCAACCTGGTGGTTTTACTACAAATCTATGCTTAGAAAACAAAGACGAGACTTTACACAAACTGGCCCGAACCAAGCAGGGAAAAGCTGACGGTCCAGGACAGGGCTAGACCAAGTAGCCTAGCATTTCACTGTCTGCAGTCACACACTCAATAAAGGTGACGTTCATGCTGAGGTTTCCATAACGGAAATGTTTTCAGTTCGTGGACTGCATGCTTCAGGAAGAAGGGGCCGGGTCCTGTACCACTGCTGCGTGACGCGGAGCGCCCAGCACGGGGCAGGACTGCGCTCGCGGGGCACACGCTACTGCCAGGAGAGAAAGAACAGAACAGAGCAGGCCCAGAAGACCCCCTGGGCCCAAGAGACCGATGGGTGATTGCCTAGACTGGGTGTGTTTCCCAGCATCCCTCCTGGATCAGGACAGGCCTCATACCTTGACCTGAGAAATCTCCTTCTGGGGGGCGGAGAGCTTCTTACTGATCCTGCCCTTGGCCTTCAGCTCTTCCACGGTCTTGTACGAGTACTTGGGCTTCTTCTTGCTTCCGCTGGGGTCTTTCCTCCACTGGCTCAGTTCCTTCTGAAACTCCTGAGGCAGAGGGAGGAGGTCACTCACAAGGCAGGCTTTCTACAGCAGGAGGGGCGGCTGAGGCCATTCACAGACCCCCACCAGGCGCGGCCTCGGGTTCTGTGCTGAGCGCCATGCCTGCGGGACACTGAAGCCCCTCGTAGAAACAGAAGATTCAGAAAGCAGGCGCTCCAGGCTGGACGGAGAGCGGAGAGACTCCGGCTCACAGCTGGCCCCCCGCCTCGCTGCAGACCAAAGCTGGCACCTACCAACGGCCTCTGGGGCTGGTGGTGTGGCCCACCCGGTATGTACACTTCCTCCCCTCCCTGCTCCGTGTGCTGCCGGCCCCCCCACAGCCTCCTCTACAACCTCTCCGCCACCGGGCTCACGACCGGCCCCAGGCCCACCGCCTTCCCCTGCCGGGCATCCACGGAAGTGTTTCCTCGCGGACAGGCCTTCCCTGAGCGCCCTACGTCACCTCCCACGATCCCCCGCCTCCCTTCCCACTCTGACGCTTCCCAGCACCTCCTGCCCTCACCGCCCACAGCGCGGTTGCCTGCTGACGGCGTCTGGCACCAGGCTCGAAGCCGTTCCTCCTGGAGGTGCCCCCAGCCCCACGCCGGGCAGGATACATGTGCGGCAAACCGCCGAAGCCAACAGAACGAATGAGGGAGTGAGCGACAACGACCGGAAAGGGCACGGCCATCACCCGCCCGACTCCTGACTTCTGGTTACCTCTTCTGCTTCTTCTTCTGAGTCCACCACGGGGAAGTCCTGCAGGGACTGAGTGGTCCGCTCTGAGCCATAAGCCCCCACGGCCCCTTTCCCCTTTCTCTGTTTGGCTTCAATTGGGTTGATGATACCTGACAGGTTTCAGCAAAAGGCAAAGACGTTTCAGATCACAGTGATGGTGTATTTGAACAAGGCGCTCTGTGAAAGCACCTTCCTCGGTCCTGACGCAGCGTAATGCAGCCCAGCAAGGAGGGCTCTCCTCTGCCCCCGAGCCCTGTGCGGGTCCCACGTGATGGGACATTTCCGAGTACTTGTGGGGCCGCACCCGAGGCTCAGACAGCAGCTGATCTAGGCCCTAAATACAGAGTTTTGTGCCACTTTGGACTCGTCCTTTGGGGATACTGGGAGAGGAGAGGCCTGCTCCTATGGAACTGACTGGGAGCTCTGGTACGCTGTACCTGGAAGAAGGTTCCAGGGAGGCAAGTGAATAATTCGCCGGACGTACTGACCGAATGAGGCGAGGTGAAGCGGCAGCTCAGCATGAGAGCCCGTCCGCTTCACCAGGTAGCTCCGTCCCTGGACCGCGCTTGCGGCAGGGCAGGCGGAAGCCTCGGAAATAACTGTTTGCTTCTGAGAGGCGAGAGGCAGGGCTACCGCACTGCGGTGAAGCCTGCCCGCCCCCCGTCAGCCAGGACTGCTCCACGCTCAGGGCAGACCTTCCTGTCCTCCGCGCCACCAGGTGGGGGTGGACCGGGGCTGCAGCCACCACTACCGTTTCCGTCCACCTGCTGGCTGCTCCCGGGAACCAGGACACGGGGGGGGGGGGGGGGGGAGAGCGGGCTTCTGCGGGAGAAGCCCGAGTGCTCGGCTTGTGCAGCTTTGGTGACGAGTCAGGGACGTGTGACAGGAGCTGTCTGGACGGGGCTGTGGCCTGGGGCCAGGAGGCGGGGCTGCTGAGCCCAGACAGGACCCCACGTGGGATTAGCTCAGCCAAGTTTACAGCCACACAAGGGCGCCTGGGTGGCTCAGTCAGTTAAGTGTCTGACTCCTGATTTTGGCTCAGGTTATGATCTCACAGTTTGAGTTCGAGCCCCAAATCAGGCTCTGACTGACAGTGCGGAGCCTGCTTGGGATGCTGTCTCCATCTCTCACTTCTCTGCCCCTCCCTCACTTACATGCTCTCCAAATAAACAAACTTTAAAAAACAAAAAGTTTGGGCCTACAACCCAGTGTTCTAAACCCTTTATCTTCAGAAAAACACAAAAAGACCACACAGTTTCACGGATGTTCCCGGACCACGGACTCCTATGCCTGCAGGACCCAGGGAACCTGATGTAAAGTGAGGGGTGCCGGGACCCAAAGCACAGGGGGCGGAGTGCTGCCCCGAGGCCCTGAGCACAGTCCAGGGCAGCTAAAGCCAATTCCCACCAGCCAAAGTCAAAACTTGCAGGTGAAATTACATGTTTGTAAATACTGGCGACAAGCTCGTCTCTAAAGGGGCACCAGTCAGGCCAAAACGCAGCCTGACATCTGCAGCCCATGGGGCCGCTGCCTCCCGCTGTAACAAGGCTTCTGCTCAGCTCTGAGGCAGCAGACAGCCCAGGGGCAACGGCGCACCAGGCCCACGGGCCACCTGCACTCTGAGGAGAGAAACTGCAAGCCACTCCCCAAACCGCCCCCCTCTCCCCTGCCCCGTCTCCATCCCGCGCGGCGCCCTACCCTGGGCATTCTTCCCGAGCCCCCTGCCAGGGACGTAGCCCATCTTCTGCAGCAGCTTCTGTCCGATGCCTCTGGTGTGCCTTTCCCAGCTGCCAAAATCCACGAAAGGCTTGGTCCCTCCTGCAAAGCCCTTCTGGCTGGGTTTAAAATTACCGCCCTGAGAAGGAAAGAAAACAAAGCATAGTTGACAGGGAGGAAAAAAAAAGAAAACGCTAAGAAAGCTTGCTTGGGCGATGGGGAAATGACCTGGCAGAGCATTATAAACAGTGTCCTACAAACCAAAAAATAGATCTGTGACCTGTGTCAGGTGAGCAAAGAGCCCACGCCGCCCACCTCACGCCTCGCAGAAACCCGCCGTCACAGGGAGGAACCCACACGAGCCCCCCTGTGGGCTGCATGCCCTTCCACGCACGTTACTAAGGTCACAAGCCTGAAACAAAGGTGCTACCGTCTTTAACTTCTTGGGTCCAAAATCCTTCGGAAAGTCATCCTGCTTAGCAGGCTTCTCCTCATCGTCGGAATCTTCCAGCTCCGCCTCCTCTGCTGCCCCTTTCTTGAGGCCGGCGCTGATGAAGTTCACTGGTGCGGAGTAGTCTCGGGCCCTGTAGGCAAACACAGGGCCCACGGGGGCTGTGAAGAACCTTCTGCAGCCGTCCCATGTGGGAGCTCTACTGCCCAGAGAGCCGCTTAGGGTGGACCTCCAGGGATCCATTTTAAAAGAGCAGTAATACATTCACTTACACCCAGATCCTGTGACCACAGTACCAATGCCTGATGTGTTCAAGTCAGCTCTGCAGTTCTCGAGGTCAGTGCAGGTGAGATTAAAAACGCAAGACATCATCTTACACAGCATGTGTATCGATTATGTCTCAGTAAGAGTGAAAGGAAAGAATGCAAAATACAACAACACAACTTTCCTTTTACATTTTTTTAAAATGCTTATTTTTGAGAGAAAGTGAGAGAGTGTGAGCAGGGGAGGCGCAGAGAGGAAGAGAGAGAATCTCAAGCAGGCTCCGCTCTGTCAGTGCAGAGCCTGATGTGGGTCCTGAACTCACGAACCGTGAGGTCATGACCCAAGCCGAGATCAAGAGCCAGAAGCTTAACTGACTGCGCTGCCCAGGCGCCCCTCCTTTTACACTTAGAACAATTAACCTGGTTTTTTTTTTTTTTTAATGTTTTATTTATTTCTAGGAGAGAGAGAGAGACAGTGTGAGCAGGGGAGGGTCAGAGAGAGAGGGAGTCACAGACTGAAACAGGCTCCAGGCTCTGAGCTGGCAGTCAGCACAGAGCCCGACGCGGGGCCCGAACCCACAAACCGCAAGATCATGACCCAAGCGAAAGTCGGACGCTTAACCAACTAAGCCACCTAGGCGCCCCACAATTAACCTGTTTTAAAAAGCACATGATGTGTCTTAGACACTATTTCAAATACAAATATCAAACAAGACATTCTGATAAAAAATCATCAAACACAGTAAAAGAAATTCTGTGAATGGAAAGTATATTAACAATTATATCAAACTCTTAGAAGAAGTGCATGTTCACTACACCCATTTGTATGTGAAAACTAAAGTAACACCTAGGAAATGAACTCCGTGCAATGAAGAATATTGACGGTGACCACGACAATCACAAGGACAGTCCTCACAACATCATAAACATCAGCTCCCTTTATAAGACGACCAACCTATTCACTGCACAACCCCATGGCAGTGACAGCACTCCGAGGATTCTTTTCTATAAGATGCAGTATAACTTAGGAGCTAAGAGCCCCAATTCCAGTGTCAGGCCCAGGTTCCCAAAGCCTGGCCGTGTGATCTTGGCCTCGGTTTTTTAATCTGTAAAATGGGATGGTAATGGTAATTTTTCTCACAAGGTAAATGATACCAACCATGCAAAAACTGCAGAACAAGTGAAAAGCCAATAGATGTTGGCTATTTGGCTACTACTATCTTACAGTTATGTAATTCCTGATGTCTGATCCCTCTGTCGTCTACTTTAGATCGCCTTGCCGGAAGAGAAGGGACTGTACCCATCTCCATACTTTCTCCCCAGGCCGTGGGAAAAAGGCACAGTCTCAATGGGCTGCAGCCTACAGGCCACAGTCGAAGACAAAGAGACAAACCCAAACTTGCCACACACTCGGGTCAAGCGAGCCGTGGCCAGTGCACACACGACTTCACACCGAGGAGGAAGACTGTCAGCCTGAGCCCTCATCTCCCTGCGACCAGGCCTGCAGGGACCCTGTCTCGGCCTCACAGAGCTCCCTCTTCCACTGGGGCTGCGGGCCACTCTTGCGCACCGACAGGTCTTCACCGAACAGGACCGTGCCCGATGGCATCCGCTGTCCACCAGACTCCCGGGCCTCTTCGCGCACTATGCTCCCTCTGTCCGCCCCCGCCTGCAAAGCTTCCGCACCATGTGGAGACCTGGTGCGCCCCCGCAGCAGCCTCTGCGTCCTCAGGGCCCCCTACCACTCTGGCCACCCTCTGTTGCCATATGTGTTTAAGCATCGCTTCTCTCGAGAACTCTTCCCTCACCTCCCAGAGCCGGCCAGACAGCCTCAAATGTACCCCCTCAGGTCCCAAACTAAAGCTATAAACTTCCACCGGGTCAGCAGTCAGTTAGGGCCTGTCTCCATGCTCTGGTGTCGGGGCTCCCGGAGCGCAAGGAATGGGTGTACAGCACAAGACTGAATACGCACTGACGGTTAAATCAGCAAAAGAGCAGGCCTCCAGCCCAAAGAGGACGCTGGGCCTCCCCGGCTGATGCTGCAGCTACGGGACTCAGGAAGGCCAGGAGAGAAGTGTATTTAGTGGGTTACACCCCCCCCACTCCCTCTCCATCTTCCCCCACTTGCCCAAAGCAGCCCCATGCGGCCAGTACCGTTTGCCTCCAAAGCTGGGCCTCTCTTCATCCGAGTCTCGCTCTGCCCACACTCCATACGTGGCCTCTTCCTTGGTCTGCCGGTGCCGCTGCCGGTTGGGGTTGAATTCATTCTGGAGATCCCAGTCGGTGATCTCGAAGTTCTCCCGCTCGTCCTCATCATCATCCAGGTGGCCTTCACCATCCCGGTACAAGTGGGACAGTGACATGGCCAGTCACTAAAGGAAGGGATAAGAAAGGCACGCACGGTTTGTGGTGAGTTCTGGAAGCCGCAGCTGGCTTCCCCGCGTCCCTACCCCTTGCTCCCTTCAAATGTCCTCCAAGCCCAAAGCTTGTTAACATCATCGCTACAATTCAATAGAGCAGACACTGAAAACATACTTTAGGAAACAAACCGTATTTAAGTAGGTAGGACAAAAGAATAGTCCCAACGCTGTATGTGATTCTTAAGCAGCTATTTCTCTGTCCTAAAACATCGCACATCCTCGCGTATACAGAAACCACATACAAACAACTGGTGTGCTGTTCTCCTTATTACTGCCTCAGAAACTGGGAGGACATCTTCCGGCGTCCCGGATTATTCTGTTGTAGCTGCTGCTGAGGAAAGTTCTATCAGGAGCCTTGGCGGTCCCAGGGGTGACTGTTTTTACAACATGCTTTCTTTTCTTTTAATTTTTTTTAATGTTTATTTTTGAAGGAGAGAGAGAGAGAGAGAAACAGAGCATGAGCAAGGGAGCAGCAGGAAGAGAGGGAGACACAGAATCTGAAGCAGGTTCCAGGCTCTGAGCTGTCAGCACAGAGCCCAAGGTGGGGCTTGAGCCCACTGAACAGTGAGATCGTGACCTGAGCCGAAGTCGGCCCCTTACCCCACCGAGCCACCCAGGCACCCCTATAACATGCTTTCTGAACTGTATTACTGGGTGAGACTTAGTTCTCTTCCCAGATCATGAACCTCTTCCGAAGGCAGCAGTAATTACAAACACTACCTCAGCAGACAGCTGTGTACGGCAACGGACAATTCAACCTCTGTCGCTGGATGATGAGATTCGGCTGTCTCTTTCTTATAAATTTATTTTTTAAGTTTATTTATTTTGAGAGGGGAGGGAGGGGCACGCGCACACACACACACACACAGAGAGAGAGAGAGAGAGAGAGAGAGAGAGAGAGAGAGAGAGAATCCCAAGCAGGCTCCAAGCTCTCCCCACAGAGGCTGTCACAGGGCTCAAAACTCAGGAAGTGGGGCTCAAACTTAGAAATCATGAGACCAACGTCTGAGCTGAAATCAAGAGCTGGACCTTTAGGACCCTTAACCCTTAGGACCCTTAGTCAACAGAGCCACGCAGGCAGCCCACAGCAGTCTCTTTCTTAAATGGATTAACCACCGCACCAACCCTTGAGACTGCCTTGTAAAGCAGATTAAACAACATGGTGCTTAAAAAACACTTAGCTCGGAATAAAAATGTTCAAGGAACAATAGCTGTTACCGTAGCCCCATGATACATTCATCATCATTACGGGATTAGGGAAGGAACCTAACACACTGCTAAAATCACAGCCAGGGTTCAAATCCCAGCTCTGCCAGGTACTCAGCGTCTGAATATTAAATGCACACGAAGCACCAAGCGTGGTGTACTACACAGTAACACGTTCAATATGTGACAGCAACTGTGATTCTTACCAACCAGGTGCTCACTGCAAGCAGCCCTCAAGGACAAGGAGTTCACTACTTCTGGTCGCTTCTGTCACAAAGTTCTCCCTGCTTGGGGCGCCTGGGTGGCTCAGTTGGTTAAGCCTCCCACTTTAGCTCAGGTCATGATCTCACCGTTGGCAGGGTTTGAGCCCCGCGTCCGGCTCTGTGCAGACAGCTACGAACCTGGAGCCTGCTTGGGATTCTGTGTCTCCCTCTCTCTCTGCTACTCCCGCGCCCATGTCCTCCCTCTCCCTCTCCCAAAAATAAACATTAAAAATTAAAAACACACACAAAGTTCTCCCTGCTTGCTCTACTCAATGGCACACGGGTTGGGTGCATCTGGGCTCAACCTCAGCCAGCAGTGCAAAGAAGGGCAATGTCCTCAGGGGAGGTAGGGAGTCCCCGATACACGGGAGTCAGTAATACCGCAGCCCCCCTGGGGAATCAGCAAAGGACTGTCAGGCGTTACAGACCTTTGGCAGGTACCGAGTACCTGCCGGACGCTTCAAGCAGACCATCTACCGTAAGCAATCAAGTCACTTCTACGACACGGGCACTGCTGGCGTCCCCGCCCTTCCCAGAAGATAAACGAAACTCTGGGAAGTCGGACAACGTACCCCGGGTTCTACGCAGGCAGGGCTCGAAAGCAGATGGGCTTGAAGCCCGCCTTCCGGCGGGGCTCGGTCCCTAACCTGCTCAGCCGGTCCCTCGCGCACACTCCCACTGGCGGGGACCCCCTGCGCTCCCCGCTCCCCCGCTCAGCCCGGCCCCGCTCACCTCTCCTGGGTCCCGCCGACCAAACACAGACAGCGGCTCCGGGCGAGCGGCGCGCCACTACAGACGCCAGAATCCGGATGTGCCCGGACGGCGCGCCGGAAATGACGTGCAACAGCGGAAACGGCGCGCTGGTTGCCATGACAGCAATGGAAGGCTAGCGCGGCCTCGGCTCTAGAGGGGCGGGGCTGAGATGCAAAAATGAAGGCGGGGATTTCCAGGGCCTGGAATGGCTGGCGGTTTATTCCCCACCTCGCAGGCATCCCTATAGCGCCCGCGGGGGGTGAACGAGGCCGGGCCACCTTGGCCTGCGGGGACTCCCTTGGCCAGCCTGAAATGAAAAATCTGTAAAATGGGGATATAGCACTAGCTCACTGGGTAGATAGTTGAGAGGAACAGCGTGAGAGGGTAGAGGGGCCGGGGCACGGGCATGCAAGCGGGAATAACGAAGGTCAAGACTGTCTCCTGATAGTACTTGACAATGAGAAAGAATGAAATCTGGCCATTTGCGACAGGTGGGTGGAACTGGCGGTTGTTATGCTAAGTGAAATAAGTCAGAAAAAGATATGTTTTCACCCCTATGTGGAATTTTAGAAACTTAACAAGACCGTGGGGGGAAGGGAAGGGGAAAAATTAGTTACAGAGAGGAAGGCAAACCCTAAGAGATTCTTAAATAGAGAGAACAAACTGAGGGTGGATGGGTGGGGTAGGAGTGAGGAGGTGTAAATGGGTGGTGGGCACTGAGGAGGGCACTTGTTGGGATGAGCACTGGGTGTTGTATGGAAGCGATGAATCACGGGAATCTACCCCCAAAACACAAGAGCACAGTGTATAGTGTATAGGTGACTTGACAATAAATTATATTTAGAAAACAAGACTGTCTCCTGTATCTTTAGGGTCTTTTAGTGTAAGCACCGTCGTGGGCACAGAGCAGTAGCCTTCTATAGAAGCCTGAGAGAGAGCGCAGGAATGAATGAGCAAACTCTAAAGGTCCCAATTATTCCCTCCAGGAGATCTCGCCGTTCTCTTCCTTTCCAGCCAGTTGTTAAACACATTCATTCATTCACTGATTAATCAAAATGTACTGATTGCCAACCCTGTGCTAGGCTCAAGGGATGCGATGAACAGAACAGTCCAAAGGCACCAGCTGCCTCTGGACTCTCTAGGCACACAGGCTCTGCAGTCCCATCTCAGCTCTGCCACATACAGCTGCGGGCCTCCAGCAAAGTCACCCACATCTCCGGAAGCCTCTTTCCTCTTCTGCAAAATGGGTGAGGATCCCCGAGATAAAACATTAAGCAGTTCCAACTGTATGTTCCTTCTCACACTCTCTCCTCCATGTGATGAAGAGTCAAGAGGCAATTGTTAGCGTACAGCACGTGCACCTGACTTCTAGTCAAAGATGTGGGTCTACCTTCCTGTCGTCGTGACGAATGAATCAAGAGCCTACAGAAAACCAATTGACTGCCAGCTTCATGAGAACACAGTCTGTGACTTCATGGTCTCTGTATCCCCACTGACATGTAGTGTCACTGTCTGTGCCTGACACATAATATGCACTCAGAAAATAAATCAAAAAGGGAGGGCTTAAGGGGCACCTGGCTGGCTCAGTCAGTTAGGGGTCCGATTCTGAGTTTCAGCTCAGGTCATGATCTCATGGTTGGGGAGATCGAGCCCCTTATGGGGCTGTGTGCTGACAATGTGGAGCCTGCTTGGGATTCTCTTCTCTCTTTGCCCCTCCCCCACATGTGTGCACACTCTCTCTCCCTCTCAAAATAAATAAACATAAAAAAAAAGAGGGGCCCTTGAGTGGCTCAATCTGTTAAGTGGCTGACTCTTGATTTCGCCTCAAGTCATAATCTCACAGTTTATGGGTTCAAGCCCTGCATCTGCGCTGACAGTGTGGAGCCTGCTTGGGATTCTTTCTCTCTGCCACTTTCCTGCTCATTCTCTCTCTCTTGCTCGCTCAAAAAATAAAACATAAACTTCAAAACAAAGTGAAGTTTTCATACAAGAGAAGATGGGGTGCGGGTGGTGGGGGGAGTCTAACAGACTGAAAGTTCCACCAGGGAACAGAGTGAGGAAAAACAAGGAGACAACGTAAACTGTTTTGAGCCTGAGCCTGGAAATGGGTTTGCATCTGTTTATGGGCCAAAGCCAAAGATAAAAGTAAGCTTGTGTTCTGTATAGAACTTGTTTGTCTGACTTAGGCATTTCTGCCCAGAGCCTTGCATACACGGTCATGGTCATGGGGGGGCTTAGTTGGCTCGTGCTCCATATCTGGCCCTGGGATCAGAATTGGCCCTTCTGTTCCTGATGCCAAGTGGGATGAACTTGCCTCATCTCCTTGAGCCAGGCCAGGCCAGCCCCCTCGAATGGACCCGCGAGGGAAGAGAAATATGCAGAATCCCATTCTTCTAAGATTGTGAGATACGATAAGACAGAGAACAAAACCAAGCTTGTGCAGTACTGCACTTAGGCAAACCTAATGACTAACCATAGATCACGCATGGGTAGTGTATATATCGCCCTGGCGGGAATAAGTAGTTGGAAGTCTCACCTAAGGGGATGACCCTGTCCCATGGACCCTCAATTGGGGCTCCAACCCAGCTGTTCACCACGGGGCGTCCCCAGCCAGAAGGCTGGATGATGTGCGTACCTGATCTGATGTATTAACCCTTCTCTGATCTCTACACTCTCTCCTTCTTTGTGTTTACTCTAGTTGTTTAATTCTGTATATTCCCTTTCCCCCAATCAATACAGTTTCCCTCCCCAAAGCAAAGTGTGGCTATTGTGAATTGCTCTGTTCGGAAGAGCTTGGCTTCTCTGTAGCTTTACAGCCAACTTTAAGGAGCTGCAGTTACTCTGACCACGAGGAAGCACTGCTGATGGATTCGCTTCACCAGTGGACCCTGCCACGTGACTTTCATGGACTGTGGCAGGGCCACTAAGAGTACAGGCTCTGATCACATGATCCGAGTGTGCCTCCCCCCCTGCAGCAGGACAAGTGGACATCACATACCACAGGATAGGATGCCCCAAGAAGATCACAGCATCACCCCTGGAACGTTCCTGCCAAAGATGTGTCACTGGAACAGAATCAGGACACCTACGACAAACCCAAGGTAAGAGGTGTTCTACAAATACGGGCCCATGATCTTGCAAAGTGCCCAGGTGGTGAAGACCAAAGGAAGCTCCTGGAACTGCTCTGGACCGAAGGGGGTCTAGAGAGATGTGGCAGCCATATGCAACACGTGGTTCTGCACGGGCTCGTTTTTGCCATACAGGAAGTTATGGGGACAATGGGCAAAATGTAAACGGGGTCTGAGGTTTCCATGGTCGTGATGTGTCGATGTTAATTTTTTGATTTTGATGGTTGTCCTGTGGTTACATTGGAAACTGCCTCTGCTTGTTGGAAATGCTGAAGTAGTTGGGGGAGGGGGGTGATAGGGCATCAAGTAGGCAACTTCATCTCCTTATTAAGGGGGAAAAGAAGTTCTATACTTAGAATTTTTAAAACCTTCTTATTTAAAAAAACTTTTAAGATATATTTTTAAGTTTATTTATTTTGAAGGAGAGGCAGAGAGCACAGGGGAGGGGCAGAGAGACAGGAGAGAGAATCCCAAGCAGGCTCCACGCTGTAAGCACAGAGCCTGACACAGGGTTCAGACCCATGAAGGGTGAGATCATGACCTGACCCAAAACCAAGAGTCAGACGTTTAACCAACTGAGCCACCCAGGCGCCCCTAGAATTTTTTTTTTTAATAAAATGACTGCAGTAAAAGTTCAAGGATCCAAATCACTTTGCTTCTTCCTAAATGTGGGATGAGGGAAGACAGCTTCACCTCCCTGCATCTCAGTCTTCCCCTCTGCAAAATGGGCATAATGACAGTACTGCTCTAAAAGGGTTGTTTTCAGGACCAGCCAAGGTGGAGGTGGCTAATTGATGCACATGAAGCCATAGGCCTTCGTAAGAGTAGCAAAAGCTTAGTAATGGTTATGACTATTTTCATTTAAAAGACCCAACCTCACCCCTTTGCATGGGAGGCCCCTGTTTTTTGGGATTTCTGGGTTCAAACGCCCGGTCTCCAGAACATCAAGGGGAGAGGCAAACAGAGGTTTCCATCTGTGACTTCATGGTGGTACCTCATGGGCTCCAGCCCCTGCCTGCAAAAGCCCCTGCTTTGGGACCCAGGGATACCCAGGCCCGTGTCTAGATTCCAGATGAGGCACTCAGAAAGAGCGCGGCCCAGAGGGGGTTGCCAGGCAACGAGGCTGTTCAGCCTCAACACTCATCAGATGAAGCAGCAGAAGAGCCCAGGCCATGAGGGGCGTCCGTGGGCCACTCACCGAGTTTAAGGACAGAAGCAGCCCCAAAACCCAGGAGTGCAGACTTCCAGATGGGTGTGTGGCCCACGGCACCCTGCCTGGGGCACCCATGCCCTTTCTGCCCACTTCCTCGAGCTAATCCACAGAGAGCGATTCCAACCACAGCACCCTCTGCACCCTTCACCTCCTAGGGTCTGCAGACTTGCCCAGTAGTTTCTGTCACCTGAGCCCACACACACTTGCCATCACCCCCGTCACCCAGCCTATGCTGTTACCACGCTGTATCCACACCGCCTTCAAAAGATTTGGGGGGGGGGGGGAAGATCCATCCCTAGCTGCAACTTTAAATAGGTTGGTTCCATAGAAACAATCTGCAAGTGGCATTTCAAGGCTGATGTATTTAAAGTCTAGCACAAGTTCCTTTTCTAGGACGGTGACATTCTACAGTCGCACATGGCTTATTCTTAGTTCAAACTTGGCCACAAAAATACACAGCGTGTCCCGAACTGGGGAGAACTGGAAATCCAGATGAGCTGCCATTAGCAAACCTGGTTTCCCTTTCAATGTTCCCTACAGAGGGTTGGGGTCTCGCTTCTCTTTCAAGAGTTTGCGAAGACTCTGTTCTTACACAGAGGCCCCGCAGGCAAGGTTCCGCAGCCCTGGGCGTTCTCTGTAAAGCAAGCACCCTCGCAAGCCTGTGGGGAAAGGGAGAAAGCGCAGCCTTCATCATTCATTCATTCACTGGTTCGTTCACTCATTCACGATACTTCACAAGGTCCTAGGTATTTCCCATTGGGGGGTGGCAAGTTCCTCCAAACGTAGCGGTTTGGGATATTGTCTCGCACCATTTCTTTGGGTGGGAATTCAAGGGTAGCTTGGCTCCCTGCCTCTGACTCGGGATCTCTTGGGGCTGCAGCCACTTGCAAGGGTGAGGCACTCACCCACGGCAAGCAGGAGGCCTCAGGGAACTTGACTCGTGAACCTCTACCTGTGGCTGCTGAGTGTCCTGATGGTACAGCAACTGGACTCCCCCAGATCCAGTGACTGACAACGCGCTGGATGCCACCACACATTTTACCAAGTAGCTGGGAGTCGCGCGTCGCCACTTCCCTCATACCCGTTACACGGCCAGCCCTGCTTCAGGTTGCCAGGTGTCGCAAATAAAAATACAGGATTCCCTGGGGGCACCCGCGGGGCTCGGTCAGTTAAGCTTCCAGCTCTTGATTTGGGCTCCGGTCATGATCTCACGGTTCAGGATTTCGAGCTGTCAGCATGGAGCCTGCTTGGGACTCTCTCTCTCTCTCTCTCTCTCTCTCTCTTTCTCTCTCTCTCTCTCAATAAATTAAAAAAAAATACAGGATTCCCAGGTTTAAATGTGGATTTCAGATAAACAACAAATACATTGTTATATAAGTATGTCCTATGAGACATTGTAAAATACTGAAAATGTATTGTTTTATCTGAAATTCAAATTTGCTCTGTAAAATACTGAAAATGTATTGTTTTATCTGAAATTCAAATTTGCTCCTCCATGCCTATGGTCTACAGTCTGTAAGATCAACTTGAATCAAATCACCAGGCCAATCAATGCAAAACCTCGACTATGAGAAAGTGCTTCAAAGGGAAGGAAGTATTGGAGCTTGGGAAAGGGACGACATTCTCATCAGAAGAGCCCACATCTATGTTTCTTTTTTTAAAAAAATATTTATTTGGGGGAGAGCGCGAGTGAGGGAGGGGTAAGGGGAGGGAGACAGAGGATCCGAAGTGGGCTCTGTGCTGACAGCAGTGAGCCCCATGCAGGGCTCAAACTCACAAACCACGAGATCATGACCTGAGACGAAGTTGGATGCTCAACGGACTGAGCCACCCAGGCGCCCCCATTTTTATGTTTCTTAGGTTAAGCTTTTGCATACGACTCTGTGTGTGTGTGTGTGTGTGTGTGTGTGTGTGTGTGGAGCGGGGGAGCCTATGGAAGGTTCTGCCACTGAAAGGAAATGAAACTCTGAAAATACACATGCACACTCACACACACATACACACACACAATGGTGGACAGGGAACAAGGTCTGTGGTCTGCAGTCTAGTTCACAGCCCTGCACTGGACAGTTCATTGCTTGGTTTGGATCTTACACTCCAGCTCGTACAAGATGTCAGCATGGGGGCGGGGGGGGGGGGAACCGTGTGAAGGCCGCCGAAGGACCCTCGCCGAAGGACCCTGGCGGGAGTCTACAATTCTTTCAAAAGAAAAAATTCTTAAGATCCAACAACCCGTTGAAAACCCCAGCTGTTACAATGGAAACGAGGTCACATCAGAACAACGCAGACTTGTGAACAGAGTTAGGTCGATGTAAGGCACTTGGCCAAGAGCCAGCCCCAGGGGGTGGACCGAGGGCTTTCCCCCAAAGGAACGGGCTTTGTTAATTGTCCTGAAAAAAGTGTTCCTTTAGAAAGGAGAAAGGGGACAGGGGGTAAGGGACCTCTTCCTGGTTCTAGGCCCAGATTTGGGGCTCAGGGGAAGCCTGGAGGAGCTCCATCAGTGGGCAGAGCCATCCAGGCTCCCAAGGCCAAAGCTGAGGAAACCCCAAAGCCTGGGTTTCTTAATGACCAAGCCTTTGGGGGCCTGGAGTCACTGTGATTTAAACAATAAAGGACAGATAGGTGTTTCTTCTGCAGCCTCACTGAAGAAAGGGAGGGTTCTGTTCATGTCACATTTTACCAAAGAGAAAGTTCATAATCTGATGAATTCTTATGTTATCTGATGACTGTGCCCGTGAGGCAGATACAGTGGTTTTGGTGAGGACGGTGCTCAGCTGTATTTTCCAAAGACGGCCACGAGTGTCTCTCTCACTGCATTGTGACCTTGCCACTCCAGCCCCAAGAGGAGAAGTTTCTCTATTCCCTCTAATGAAGGACAATCCTATGGCTGTGACAAACCGAGTGGTAGTGACCCTGAGCCAGCATATCCCTGAACCGACTGGCTGTCCTTTCTGCTGCTCCCGGATTCTTGCAACACCTTACACGGGGGAAGCCAGCCACCACACAAGAAGTCTGGCTGTCCTGGGGCGCCTGGATGGCTCAGTGGGTGAAGTGTCCAGCTCTTGCTTTCGGCTCAGGTCCTGGTCTTACAATTTTGTGAGTTCAAACCCCACATGGAGCTCTGTGCGGGTGGTGCAGAGCCTGCTTGGGATTCTCTCTCCCTCCGCCTCTCCCCATATCATGCTGTCTCTCTCTCTCTAAAAACAAGAGGAGGAGGAGGAGAAGGAGAAGAAGAAGAAGAAGGGCTAGCCAAGTGGACAGGCTATGTGTAAAGAAGCCCCTAAAAGCCTCTCTATGCTCCAACCACCTGGGCCCAGGCACCAGACATGTGACTAAAGAAGCCTGAGGATGACAGAGGGGCCACCCGTCACCGGCTCACCAGTGGCTGATTTCTAGAACCGTGAGATTTCACGATAAACCGCTGTTAAGTCACCGAGTGTGGGGCCATCTTGTTTTGCAGCCAACAGGTGCACAGAACGATGAGGGAGGCTGCTGCGTTCTGCCGCCCAGGAGCAGTGACCATGAACTTCCCCTGTCCAAAGTTCCATCGGCCGTCCACCATACTGCGGTTCCAAGACCGGGGGAGATAAGAGGGGCCTCTCACTGCGGGCTCACCACCCGCCCCTGCACCCTGCCTACGACAGACAACCACCAGCCCCTCCCCACGAACCCATGCAGTTTCAACTTCCCCATTCTGTAGGTGAAGAAATGAAGGCCAAAGCCACATAGCCAGTAATGTGGGGAACAAACGAGAAGGAAATGGTAGATAGAACTAAACTTTCTTATAACCTGCAGCCCAGGGACACACACTTGAGGCTCCCTACTGTCTTAATGCTAATGTTTTCTAGAGGGAAAACCTCCTGAGCTTGGCAATAGCTCGCCTCCAGGATCCTGGGAGTCTTCTTCAGCACGTGAAAATCTCACTGGAACCTTCCCCTGGACTTGACCTCCCCCAGCTCCCAGGTATATAACAAATCCCCCTTTAGGGTCCCAGGACCCCGTGCTTGGAGAAAATCACTTTTTGCACCAAGGACGTCTTCAAGAATTCTTTCTTGGCCGTTGGCTCTGGACCCCACGAGCCCCACTGTCACCCCAAAACCCTCATCAGCCAGGAAGTGGGCCTGACTCCCCAAACCCTACACTCCAAACCATTGTGAGTCATTGCCCTGCCAAACCCTGTAAGGCAAGGGAGTCTGGCTGAAACACCCTCGCCTTTAAAGGTATGAAACTGCTGTGGGCCCAGCCCGTCTGTCAGAATTTGCCAGTGAGCAGCCAAGGGTCTAACTCAGCGGACATGTATGTGCCAGAGAAAAGGCTCGCCCTTGACCAGCTTCTGAGAGGTTATCTGTAAGCCCTGGGAATATGCTAATAGTGCCTTTCTGTACCAGGCCCCACGGGCTATGTGCCTGGGAGCATGCAGACCCCTGCAGGGGCTGGAGACGGAGTCACCCAGGTCAGTCATATGGGTACGCCGTGCCTATGACCGATGCCCAATAAACACTGCACACCAAGGCTCATGCGAGCTCTCCCGCCTGGCAGTACTTGGTACGCCTTGTCGCACACTGTGGTTGGTAGCTAAGCCCCGTCTGGAAGCCTCCACTGGGTGAGTATAGCTGGAAACTCACTCCTGGTCTCTCTCTACGCCTGTCCTGCATACTTTTGTCCTTTGCGGCTTTTATTTTATTTTTTTTTATTTTTGAAAGAGAGACAGACAGACAGAATGTGAGCAGGGGAGGGTCAGAGAGAGAGGGAGACACAGAATCTGAAACAGGCTCCAGGCTCTGAGCTGTCAGCACAGAGCCCGATGTGGGGTTCGGACCCACGAACCATGAGATCATGACCTGAGCCGAAGTTGGACGTTTAACTGACTGAGCCACCCAGGCACCCCCTTTGTTAACTTTTCTTTTTTATTTTTTTTTCCCCTTTGCAGATTTTAATCCGCATCTTTTCGCCATAGTAAACTCTGACTGGGGTGCCTGGGTGGCGCAGTCAGTCGAGCGTCCAACTCTTGATCCTGGCTCAGGACAGGATCTCACAATTTGTGAGTTCGAGCCCCACATTGGGCTCTGTGCAGATGGTGCAGAGCCTGCTTGGGATGCTGTCTCTGTGCGTGCACTTTCTCTCTCTCTCTCAAAAACAAAAACAAAAACAAAAAACAAAAAACAAAAAAAACAAAAAACAAAAAACAGCTGTCTGTGCTGACAGCTCAGAGCCTGGAGCCTGCTTCAGATTCTGTGTTTCCCTCTCTCTCTGTCCCTTCTTGGCTCAAGCTCTGTCTGTCTCTCTCTCTCTCTCTATCAAAAATAAATAAACCTTAAAAATTAAAAAAATAAAAAGGAAAAAAACTGTTAAAAAAACAAACCCTGTGACTGTGAGTCTCACAGCTTATCTGGAAGTCCCTCTAGCAAATCACCAATCCCAAGGGTGGCCTCGGGGGACCCAACCCAGATTCTCAGTGGGGGCCTTGCTGAGCCCTCAAGATGGGAATCTTGTTCGCCTGTCATCAATCCACCCGCTAAAATCCAATATGGGAAAAAAAACACATAACAAATCTGTTCACTGTAAAGTAAGGCAACAGACAGATGAGTCCTTGGTCATTTTATTCAAATAATTTTTTTTCTCTGAAATCTGAGAACGGAGGAGGAATCAAAGAAAACCTCATATATTAAATTCTTAAATAGATTCTTTGAATTCAAAAGTAAGAGTCAATAGGAGAGGCACAGATGGGGGCCTTGTCCCTACCAACAAAACCGCCCAGGCAGTCCTGCAAATTAAGAAAAATGGCAAACCATTTCTTTAAAAAAAAAAAAAGTTCTTGAGGGGCAAGATAAAAAATACCGAAATACCGAAGTTTCAAAAGCCAGACTCCTTTCCACACTCTTCGTTCTCCACCCCGGGGCGGGGGGGGGGGGGGCCCGGGGTCCGCAGGTAGAGTCTCCAGGTTTAAGTTTTCGGTGATCAGCTTTTTGCAAACATATGCAAATACATTCCTCTTAGCAGTCCTGTTTTGGCGATTAATAGCAAGCAATATGCTTGGATTAGAGGTCCGATTTCCACTCGAATGCAAAGTGTCTTCTCTGGACAGCAATCTGCAGAGATCTGAACAGGGGACACAGGGCATTAGGCCCAGGGTAAGAATTCTGAGACAGACCTTTTGTCTTTATGTGTGTGATCGGGGCGCCTGGGCGGCTCAGTCGGCTGAGCATCAAACATCAGCTCAGGTCATGATCTCAGGATTTGTGGGTTCGAGCCCCGCATCGGGCTCGCTGCTGTCAGCACAGAGCCCCCTTCGGATCCTCTGTCTAACCACCACCCCCCCGCTCCTCCCCCACTCATATTCTCTCTCTCTCTCTCTCTGAAAAAAAATTGAAATAAATAAAAGCTTTCCTTGCATTCTTACCTACATCCACCTGACCTCAAAGATACACTCTTTTTACTTATGAACAAGAAGTGGCAACGATGATACACATCAGTGGATTTTTGGAGGTGAGGGAAGGTTACCATTTAAGGCCACCTGCTCACCAGGGATGAGCTAAAACACCCTGTGCAGGGCATCTCGTTGATACAGTAAAGAGAGGACTCTATCTGGCTTTTGTCAGCAGGAAGGTTCAAAATTCTATGAATGAGTCTCAGGAGAACGAGGGGAAGGGGTTAGGGAGGAACATGGAGAAAGAATCCTCTCCATGTGAGCCTTCTGTTCTCTGGAATGCAACAGAACTCTGAGATCCCCAGATGGGATCCAGGTTGAAGACAGGGACTGAGTGCCTTCAGCCCTGGAGGCTGGTGCAATGCGGGTTTAAAGAAAAACTAGGAAATATGCTGATTATCTAAAAACAAGATCAGGAGGGGCCCCTGGCTCTCGATTTGGGCTCAAGTCATGATCTCACAGTTCGTGGGATAGAGCCCCGCATTGGGCTCTGTGCTGACAGCGTGGAGCCTGCTTGGGATTCTCTCTCTCTCTCCCCCTCCCTTTCTCCGTTCCTCTCCTACTCTCCCCCTCTCTCAAAATAAATACAGAAATATTAAAAAAAAAAATAAACAAAAATGAGATCAGGAGACCAAAAATAAAGACTCCAGGCAGGGAACTCTTGATAGTCTAGAACATCAGGGAGAACAGGAGGGCTGTGACCTCTCTGTAGGGTCACTCGAGTGGCAGAGGAAGTGAACTTACTGGAACCTCAACACCAGTGCCCACAAGCACGGCAATTCCCGGATTCCCACGCGCCCATCTGGGCCAGCTTGCCTCACCTCTCGGCCACCCTCACGGGCGGACATGGGTGAATCCCTCTTCCCCAGATGTCAGATGGAGGCCGTGAGAAGTCCAAGGTGAAGTGAATGCTCAAGTCTTTGACTCCCCAAGGTCAGAACCTGCCCCCCTCCCCCTTCGCAAAAAAACGGGGCGGGTGGATATGCACTTCAAATCTTTCCTCAAAAGCAAACTCAGGAAGAAAGTGACCCTGGGCGCGATTCTGCCATTTGGTGGCTGTGTGGCCTTGGGTGAGCCAAAGCCCGATCTGGGCTCCAGTTTCCTCCGCTGTGTCCGCTGCCTTCCCAGGGACACGGAGGGTTAAATGAGTAACGTAGGAGTAGCACCCGGTCCAATGCCGTGGGGGCTATTCTTGGACCAGACTTGCTTGGGGCTTTTATTAGAACATTAATTGCTCTGGGCCAACCTGATGCTGTTTATAGAAGCAGGACCGGCAGGCGGCATTCTGTGCAAAAGTGTTCTAGAATCCCTCCTCCCCATCACATGGGTCCCTGGCACCCCCCGCTCCCCAAAGTCAGACAAACCTTTTTCTAGTTGGTTTGGCGTTGATCCCTGCCAACAGGGGACCCAGAGCTAGGTGACTAGTCTGTGATCTATAAATAGCTCCCCAGGCCTGTCGCCATGGAAACCCCCACTGGGGCCGGGTCAGTCCACCTGGGTGGACAACTCCCTCCTAGGGACGGCTCTGGAAAGACAAGCTTTACAGGGAGCGGCTTTTGGGCTCAGAACTGGCAGGCGCCCCCCACCCCCACCGCAGGCCTACCTGGAAATCATGAGCTTCCTAAGTGGGAGGAGGTGCTGTTCTGGTTCACCTGGAGGAAGATAACAGACAGAGGAAGGGGTCACGGCCAGGCTGGAGGCCGGGCCTCCCTGCTCTGAGACTCAGCGCTCCACATCGCCGGCGCAGACACACACTCATCAGGGTTTACTGCACACCTACTACGTGCGGGCTAGGCACTGGGGCCGCCATGAACATGACGGACCCGGTCCCATTCTCCTGCAGGGCCAGTCTTAACAAACATCCGCAAGGCAATGTCACGTCCACCCCCCCCAACAGCACAGTGCGCTGCTATGAGCGACTTTGGATCTGCTCCGATAGGGTATCAGTAAAGGCCAACACGAAGCTGCGGTGTAATGAAATACAAACAGAGCTCGTGGTCCTGGGTTCCTGCCACGCAGCTCTGATAACCCTAAAATCTTTCTGAGAGATAACACGTATCTCTTGCATGCTAATGAGGTGACTGAGGTCTGGCTTCAGGATGGGGGCCGGAGGCCAGAAAGAGGGAGGCGTGGCTCTGAGGAGGGGAGAGGCGCTCACTGGAGGGTGAGTTAACCGATGATTTCATCAATCGTCCCTCCTTCGTGAAAGCTCCATGAAACCCCTAAATAGCAGCTTCAGGAAGCTTCCAGATTGCTGACCACATCCCAAGGAGGGGCTGGAAGCGCCATACCCCTCACCCCGTACCCTGCCCTGTGCTCTCTTCCATGGCTGTTCCTGTATCCCTTATAATAAGCCAGTGATCTGGGAAGTAAAGTGCTTTCCTGAGTCCTGTGAGTGGTTCTAGCAAATTCTCAAATCTGAGGAAGGGGTCACAGGGGCCCTCAATTAGGCTGCACAGAAATGTGGGTAGCCTGGGAACCCCACGGTGGCTGGTGTCCAAGGTGGGTGCAGTCTTCTGGGACCGAGCCCTTCGCCCACAGGTCGGCCACTCACTCTGGGGGTGTCACTATACAAACTGAATTGAATTCAACACCCCATTGGTGTCCAGGGAGCCAGCAACTGGTTGCTGGGAGTTGGGAAACACCCCTACAGCGAGAACTAAAAGATGGAAATGAAGCCAGGCATGCAAAGATGGGGCTGGAACAGCAATTCCTGGTGGAGGGAACAGCAAAGGTCTGGAACAGACAGGGAGGGGGTTTGGTGCCTAGCGAATGACTCTTCATTTCTGTATCCACAGCAGCTGCCATGTGCGAGCTGTTCTGGTTTGCCTGCTTCCTATTTTCCCATCTTTTGGGGTTCCAGGTCATCATTTTAGAGGGCTGTAGAGTACCCGGTAGACTGCACTTTTTTTGTGCCACCACGTATCTAACTGTTGCCATAAGATGGAATCCAATTTTTGCAATGTCTGAATGAAGTCGTGGCACTCTGGGGGCCAGGGAGGAGGAGGAGGGGGGAAGCAGGGGTCTGATGCGGTCTGCAGGGCAGCTCTCCTGGGTGGTAAGGCTCCTGAGGACAGGGCATAAGCCATTCTTCCACATCTTGCTCCTAAGCGAGCCTGGAAACGGTCCCAGGCCAGCTAGGCGTCTTGACTATGGCCACATGCTTGAGTATAGTCCAACATTTTTATAAAACAACTTAGCCTTATGGTTCACGCGTCTTCAAAAGAAATGGACCCTTGCACCCACGGATGCCATTCCACGACAATGGATTCTAAGGGAATGGCTCGAGAGCCCTTCCCCCAGCCCCCACCCCGTGGGAGAGACGCAAAACCAGGATGCTGTGCACACGTCATCATTTCTGCAAAAACTGGACGTGACCTTAGGGCAACAGTCCATTGGTGGCGCATGATGCATTCCAGAGAATACGGTGTGACCATCGGAACCGGCAGAAGACGGGAAATCCAAAAGATGGGAAACCACGAGGAATGCAAAACCAAGCTGCTCATACAATGGAATTGCAAGGAATGTAAGATGAATCTTCAGGTGGGCCATAAAAAGGATAATACGCAAAACTGAAGGGCGTTTCAGACAGTGACTCCTTCCCCTCACCCCCGCTTGTATTTGCTGCTTGTTACATCATCTTTGTGGTTAAAACAAGCACTAAATCAGTGCTGACTAATCCTCGCGACGTGTGTTCACAGCAGCAAGATGACGAGGCCTCTGACTCCCACGAAGGGAGCGTGGAGCCCTCCCCGAAGAACTGAGACGTGTGCAAAAGCTGGGGACCCAGGACAATGAGCGTCTGTGACTTGGATGATCAAACTGGCATAGGGCGGCCTGCTCTTTCTCTTCCATATTAAAGACAACACACACAGAGTACTAAGCTTAGTACCACCACTTCATTTAAACGGGAGCTATCATATCAGTGAAGGGGGCGGTCCTTCCTGACGTGACCCACGGACCATGGCCCAGGGACATACCTGCTGTGTGTGAAAAGCACGGCCACGCAGAGGCGCGTGAGGGGTGTCTGTGTGTCTACATTCGCGGGGACGCCAACACCACGTGACCCTTACGGTTCTCATTTTTTGGCTGACTGATGAAAATTCTGGGCTGGGTCATGTGTGGGAACTGCCGCTTTAAATAAAACTGAATATAAGCCTAGAGACAGAGGGCTGGACAGAGTCCCCACCAACCCCTCGGACTGCTCTCAAGCCAGGAGACAAGGTGACGGAAGGGGCTCGGGCAGGAGGGCTGCTGAGATGTGACCCTGGCTGGATCAGACTCTTGGAGGGCCTCTGGCTTGACCCCCCACCCCAAATTCTCTGAGGAGGAAATGATCAGCAGATTAAAGAAGCAAAGTGTCCAAGGGCCTCTGGAAGCTGGTGGGACAGCCCAATAAAGAGATTTCAGAATTCCCCTCGGGGTTTCTAACCTGAAAATATCCTTTCAGATTGGCTGGTGTTTTATAGTCGCCTTTCAAGACCTAGGAAAGAGAAACAAAAGTATCTCCATCATAGAAATGATCAAACAACAAAATTCAGTCTGTTACCTCCACCTTCCCATCCACCCATTTATCCACCTACCCATGTATCCATCTACCCATCCACCCATATACATTCACACTCCCAGCCACCCATCTATCCACTCATCCATCCATCTATCCACCCATTTATCCATCTATCCATCTACCAATATACATTCACCCTCCCCCCACCCATCTATCCACTCATCCATCTATCTATCCACCCATCCACCCACCCACCCACCCATTCAACCATCCATCCACTCTCCCACCCATCCACTCATCTTTTACCCATCCATCCATCCATCCATCCATTCATCCATCCATCCACCCATCCACCTACCCATCCAACCACCCATCTGCTCTCCCATCCATCCACCCATCTTTTCATCCATCCATCCATCCATCCACCCATATATCCACCCTCCCATCCACCTACTCGTCTACCCATTCATCATCTATCTACCCATCCAGCCATCCATCCATCCACACATCCACCCATCTATCTATCCATCCACCCATCTACTCATCCATCCATCCATCCATCCAACCATCCACCTATCCTGCTTCCCAACCACCCACCCATCCATCCAACAAATATTTATTGGGCTCTTTTTATTTCAGGCATCATTCTAAGCTCTGGAGGTACATTAACCAGACAATTAAAATTCCTTTTCTCCCGGAGCCTCCACTCTAGAAGAAGAGCCAGATGACCCACAAGTAATAAACACAAACAAACAAGAACATATCAAACCATGGAAAGTATGATAAAGAAGTAAAACAAAGGAAGGTGATCAGGAGCGGTCAAGGGGCTTCCTCTGAGCAGGTGATCACAAAGGACCTCTCGGAACAAGTGACCTTTAAGCTGAGACTTCAATGACAAGGAAAACCAGCCAAGCTGAGCTCTAAAGGAAAAGCATTCCAGGCAGAGGTCACAGTTAGGGCAAAGAAAGTGCTAGGCCTTTCCATAACCTCTCCATATAGAAGCCACCATATAGACCAGCACCACCCAACAGAATATAGTGTGAACCAACTACGTAATTTTAAATTTTCTGGTAGTCACATTAAAAACAAAGTGACTAAGGGGCGCCTGGGTGGCTCAGCCAGTTAGGCGGCCAACTTTGGCTCAGGTCATGATCTAGAGGTTCATGAGTTCTAGCCCAGCGTCAGACTCTGTGCTGACAACTCAGAGCCTGGAGCCTGCTTCAGATTCTGTGTGTCTCCCTCTCTCTGACCCTCCCCTGCTCATGCTGTCTCTCTCTCAGAACATAAATAAACCTCAAAAGAAAATTTTAAAAACTAAGTAACCAAGAAAAAAAAAAAAGTAAATCAAGTGAAATAATTCTTGTTAGATCTTTTATTTTGCCTGACATATCTAAAATAGTCCTACTTTGACATGTAATTAATATAAAAATGATTAATGGAGAAACTTGATGTGCAGTTTTTGGCACCTGGACTTCAAAATTAGGTACGTCATTAACACTTACAGCAATGCTCAATTTAGACTAGTCAGATTTCACGAGGCACATTTCAGTGGCCATACAAGGTTAGTGGCTAGTGGCTGTAATGGGCAGTATAGGCAGAGACGACTTCATTAGCACTGGGGTCCTTCCTGTGCCCAAGTGTACTGCACCCCAGGAACTGCTACGGCAACACACACACTCAGGGTGCCCAGAGGGCTCAGTCGGTGAACTGTGCGGCTCTAGGTTTCGGTTCAGGTCATGATCTCAGGGTTCGTGGGATCGAGCTCTGAATTGAGCTCTGCGCTGACAGTATGGAGTCTGTTTGGGATTCTCTCTCTCCCTCTCTCTGTCTGTCTCTCTCTCATACACAAAATAAATAAATGAACGTTAAAAAAAAAACCCACAAGAAACACACATGCATCACACATATACAGTTTTCAATGAGGGAACACATCTTTGCAGTAATAACAAAACTACTATAGAGCCTAAACAATCGTCCGGCAGCCTGGGGCAAGAAAGCTCTTAGAACGGACACCAGGGACAGTTTCCATATCAAACAAACAAACAACAGAGCTTCAGAGAGTGGATCTTGCTCATCAGAACTTTTTATAAGCTACACAAGGTCAGGCCTTACCCTGGGAGCTTCTGACCTGCATTCTGGAACAAATCAAGAGCCTTTTTTTGCCTTTTAATTTTTTTTTTGATGTTTATTTATTCTTGAAACAGAGTGAGGGGAGGGGCAGAGACAGAGAGAGGGAGACACAGAATCCGAAGCAGGCTCTGGGCTCTCAGCCATCAGCATAGAGCCTTACACGGGGCTTGAACCCATGAACTGCGAGATCACGAATGACTGAGAGTCATAGTCGGATGCTTAACTGCCTGAGGCCCCCTGGTGCCCCAGGGGCCTTCACCTTTTAAAGAGGCTTCAGAGCAGTTGCTACGGGGCCCCTGGCTAAGAACACAGAGTAAGGAGAGCGCCCCTGTCAATGTGGTCCTCACCCCGGCCCAGCTACTGCCTGAGAAGCACCTGCGGGGTGGAGTTCAAGGTCATGCTGCTGTTTCTTCTTTCTAATCTGTTTTTTCGTTATATGAAAGTATAGGCAATATATTATACAATAATATAGCCTCTGTACAGAAAAGTGTATGAAGGATATTAAGTACAGCTTAAAGAATACCGTATTAAAGAATAAGAAGAATAACTAGCAAAGCCTTACAATAAAAATCATGGAATAATAAAAGCGGACCACATCGAGGCTGTGAATATTCACGCCGTCAGACGCAGTCCGAGCACCTTGGTGGATCTCTGAGTATCTCCACAAAGAGATGGTGGCAAAGTCAACAGGCGTCCAGGGGAGAGGAAGCACGGAGACCCCATCCGCTTCAATCACGAGGGCGGAGTAAGAGCCTGCACGTGTCAGAGAGGCTTCAAAGCCTTGTTTGCACCGAACGGGCGTCTATCTCCTGGCCTCGCTGAAGAATTAAAGGAGAAGGGGGAGAAATAGAACTTTCTCCCTTTGCTGTTCAACACAAGAACTGTTCATGTTCTAAAACTGGCATGGGTGAGGGGCCTGGGTGGCTCAGTCGGTTATGCGTCTGACTTCGTCTCAGGTCACGATCTCGCGGTTCCAAAGTTCGAGCCCTGCTTCAGATCCTCTGTCCCCCTCTCGCTGCCTCTTCCCTGCTGGTTCTCTCTCTCAAAATAAATAAATAAACTTAAAACAATATATTTTTTTAAATCAGCACGTGTTTGGAAATGCTGAGCATAGCTAGAATTAAGATTCTGGGTCATGGGGGCGCCTGGGTGGCTCAGTCAGTTGAGGGTCCAACTTCGGCTCAGGTCATGGTCTCATGGTTTGTGGGTTTAAGCCCCGCACCGGGCTCTGTGCTGACAGCTCAGAGCCTGGAGCTACTTCGGATTCTGTGACTCCCTCTCTCTCTGCCCCTCTCCTGCTCATGCTCTGTCTCTCTCTCCAAAGTAAATAAACATTAAAAAATTTTTTTAAAGACTCTAGGTCTTAATAGTGTTAAGAGCTAGGAGCTCACAAGTCCCCAGGCCTGGGACCCATGCTCAAATACTGTCCCTAACTTGGTGTCTCTAAGGAACTTAGCACACAGCACCTAAAGTACACGAGAAGCTGTGACCGTTAACACGGAAATAAAATGACGGGCTTGCTAACTGTTCCTTTACCCAGGATTGGCAGACTTTAATGCTTCAGAATCATCTAGTAAAGTCATTTACTTTGACCACCTTCACCAAGGAGAGCTTTAAAAGCAACTCCAACCGTCCCAAGCTCATGTTTGTCTGAGAAATCGACATTAAAATCTATGGGGGCAAGAAAGTGACAGATAGTTTATTTAAACTCAGTCTCAACAAAGACCTGAAGTGCTTTATAGACAAACAAATAGCCAAGGAAACAGGGGGAGGAAGGGTAAAAGAAAACAGAGAAATAGGATGGAATCAGTACACATGGACCTGCTGGTAGAAAGGCGACAAGTTGGTTTTGAGCTTCCTTGTGGCCCAAGCAAAAACATAAATAAGAGTGAGCCATGCCCCCTGCACAAGATAAAGCAGCCTCGCTGCAGGCCGGGAACACATCTCTGCGCGAGCAGGGCACTCACCCGGTGTGTGTTGTTGACCACGAGGGGGTCAGGGTTGCCGTAGTTGGGCGGGTTGGCATAGGGGTCGTAGCCGAGCCGCGCCAGCATGGGGGCGATCTGGGCCATGTCCCTCACCACATCCCCAGGGATCTGGCCGGTCCACTTGGAGAGCGCCTCCAGGTTCACGGGCTTGATGACCTGGTCTGTGGACCGCTCGATCCTGGGGAGAGACCCCAAGGGCACCTGGGTCAGCTGCGCCCCCCCCACCCCTCCACTGAGGCCCACTTACAATACTGCTTCTTTGATGTCTATATTGTTTTAAAAACAATGTTTTCTTTCTGTGACTAAGATTATTTTGTTCTTGAGAAATAATTATAAAATACTAAAGGTAAGGCGAAGGCGGGCTGCCCGTTGCGAGTCTACCAGCTCCCTGCAGAAACCTGATCTTGGCACTTGGGGATCCACCCTCCCAGTACCGTCTTCTGTGCTTTCAATAGGAGAATGGCCAAGAGCAGGCTAAGGTGCCGGACTGGTGGGGTTCAAACGCCTGCTGTACCAACACTGGCTGTGTGGCCCTGGGAGAGTTACTTCACCTCTCTGAGCCTCCGTTTCCTCATCTATCAATGGGAATAATGACCGTGCCCCCCTCACTGGGCTGTCTAATAACAGACGAGTCTATGGTACATTGTGCCATCTCAGGTCTCAATAAGCATTAGCTTTCTGTCTCTCTCTCTCTCTCTCGCACACACACACATACATGGAAAACCTGGGTTTCATCTGCAGTGTTAAAACAGAAATAAGACGCTGTCCGAATCAGTTTATAGCTTCGTTTTGCACCTGACACCTCACGAGTCCCTCCAGCTGCGCAGCGTCCCTCCACAGCTTATTTTCCCAGCCCCTGAAGACGGACGCTTAGCTTGCTGTCGCTTCTGCGGTCACAAAGGAACCACCGCCACCTTGGACGTGCTTCCGCGCCCTCCCCTGGGACGGGCCTCCTGAGGGTCCGGGAGGGCGGGGAACTCCCAGGACCCAGGATCCGTCTCCAGATGCTTCCGTGCCAACGAAGAGATGCATTGGGAAGAAGAACAGAAACAGAGGAGACGTGGCAAAAGGCAGGCAGGAGCGGGAGTGAGGAGAGCAGGGGAGGGTGCAGGGTGGGACCGGGGGGAAGAGCCGTGGGATTGGAGTCTGCGGACCAGGAGGGACATCTCAACTCGGTCCGCCGAGCCAAAGGTCTCAGCCACGTGCACGGCCTTTGCCACACCGTTGGCTCTTCAGGACTACGTAAGACAGAAGGGACACGGGTGTTTCCTGGAAGAATGGGAGACAGGCTGGATCTGAGCAAAGAACCCACGTGTCCCGGGGCGCCCGGGCGGCTCAGTCGGTTAAGCGCCCGACTTCGGCTCAGGTCACAATCTCACAGTTCGTGGGTTCAAGCCCTGCGTCAGGCTTGCCACTGTCAGCAAGGAGCCGGCTAGGGATCCTCTGTCCCCATTTGTCCCTCCCCTGCTTGCGCGCTCTCTCTCTGTCTCAAAAATAAACAAACGTTAAAAAAAAACACAAAAAGAATCAATGCGTCCCAAAATGTGGGCTGTTAAATAGAACGCTGTGCTCTGTGGAGCAGAAGATTACACGGCGGTCCGAGATGATGTCGCCACGGCGTGCTGGGGCCAAGCCGGCCCGTCCACAAGGTGAGAAAGTTACGGGGTTGTGATGGGTGCTTTCCTTACCCAGGGAGATCAGCTCAATTGCCTAAGTTAAGATCTTAACCCTTAGGTCATCTGGGTTTTTTGCCATGTAATTTCCAAAGACCAGGCACCAGCACCGACTGGGGACTTCCTGCCACCGGGGACTTCCCTGTCCCTGCAGGAGAGTTGCTGTTATGTCCCCCCAGCTCTGCCCAGGGCTCCAGAGCTTTTGAGGACAAGGCCTGACGGGGCGCAGGCATGAAGGAAAGGAGGAGGCGCCGTCCCCGGGAAGGACACTTTCACTGGGCTCTCAGGGACGCCTGGGGCCTGATCAGGACAGAGACAGATGGACGGCACCCTCTGATCCTGCATTGTTCCAAGCACCCTGGGTCTCAGGAGAGGGAAGGCCTCCCTGGAGGAAGGAGGAGAGGAAAGGAAAAAAGGAGGGAAGGAAGAGGGGTGTGGAGAGCTCAAGAGCACATGCCCCGGTGTCCAACAGACCCGGTTTCAAATCCTGACACCACACTCTGCCTGCTGTGTGGCCTTGGGTAACATCTCTCTTGAGAGTCAGTTTCTTCATCTGTAAAATGGGTATCAGAGCAGTTCTTAATGTCCTCGGGTTGCTGTGGGGATTAGAGGAATAACGTGTGGTGGGGGCTTATGTCAGTGCTTACTACACCTCAGGCACTCCTTCCGTGGTACTGAGGTGGAGGATAATGAGCGTGCTGATAAAAGTGGCCTCGATGTGGGGCGCCTGGGTGGCTTAGTCGGTTAAGCGGCCGACTTTCACTTAGGTCATGATCTCGCGGTTCGTGGGTTCGAGCCCCGCATCGGGCTCTGTGCTGACTGCCAGCTCAGAGCCTGGAGCCTGTTTCAGTCTGTGACTCCCTCTCTCTCTGACCCTCCCCTGCTCACCCTGTCTCTCTCTCTCTCTCCTAGAAATAAATAAAAAATATTTAAAAAAAAAAAAAAGTGGCCTCGATGTTAACATGATGGTAATAATAATAGGAATAATAGCAACTAACACGTATTAACTTGTTTGATGTTCACAGGTAGCCTGAAGGTCGACAGATTATATTCCTGTGCTATGGATAAGGAAATGGGGGCACAGAGAGGTTGAGTCACTCGCTCAAGGTCACACAGTCAAGCAGTGATCAGAAGCCAGACAACCTGGTTCCAGATCTGTGTTCTGAATTTAACCTTCACCCGCTACGGCTAAATTGCAAAGAACAGCCACAGTCTGCTGGTTCGCTCAGAAAAGGCAGGAGTGACTGCTCCTCTTTGCATCAAGCTGGGGCTCAGAGAGGTGCGGTGACTGGCCCAGAACCACACAGCTCAGAGAGACGGCAGTACCCTTCCCACCTACTGCCTCTGACCTGGGCAGGGGGCTAGGCACAGGATGAGGGCCCCACTCACTCGGACAGTGCCCCGGGGAGGGGGGTGGGGTGGTGAGGGCCCCACTCACTTGGACAGGGACACACCGCCAGGCTTGCCAATGAGCTCCTCATGGTGCAAAACGGCGTCGCTCCATGGAATGCCCAGGAAGTCCAGGATGAGCTTGAGGGAGCGCCTGGGGTGCAGCACCAGCTGCTCATAGTACACGGGCAGGCACTTGTCCTTGCCCACCTCCATGCACTGGGCGTACATCACCTCGATGGCCTTGTTCCACTTGGTGAGGCAGTCGCGGTAGCTGCTGAGGTCGAAGCCGGCGATGGTGACCTTGCGAGTGATCATGGAGTGCACGGACGCGCGGCCGTCCCGCACCATCAGCAGGAACTTGGAGTTGGGGAACAGGCGCGACAGGTAGACGGACGACTTGAGCGTGAAGGGATCCTTGTTGCACAGCACGCGCGCCGGCTCGCCGTGCTTGGCGATCACCTCCAGGATGAAGGCCTGCATGGCGGCGTCCAGCACCTCGTCGGTCACGCCCGCCTCGTCCAGCCGCAGCTTCTCGCGGCCGGACTTGGACCAGGCCTGGCGCATGGCCAGCACGCGGGGGATGACGCGCGTCTCCTCGCCGCAGCGCACCTCGGGGTGCGCGTCCAGCATGGCGCGCATCAGCGTGGTGCCGCTGCGGGGCACGCCGCCCACGAAGATGAGCGGCATGGCCTTGCCGTAGCGGTACTCCACGTGGTCCGCGCCCGCCACCACCAGGTCCTCCTGCTCCGGCCGCATGGCGCCCCGGGGCCCCCGCGGGCGGCCCAGCGCGGCGCGGCACTCCAGCACCTGCTGCCCGACCTGGACCGCCAGCACCAGGGCCAGCGCGCAGCTGGCCGCCAGCAGCGCCCTCCGCACCGACAGGCGCATGCTGGGCCCGGGGCGGCGGGCGGGCTTCAGCGGCCGGTCAGCGGAGGGCGGGCGGGACTGGCATCTGGGGAGAGAGGGGGAGGCGCGGGAGTCAGGCAGGCCTGGGCGCTGCCGCCCTAACCACACACCCACCCTGCAAGCGTACTCCTCATCTGACAGGTGGAGCGTAACAATTATTAAAAAAAATTTTTAAATATTTATTTTTGAGAGAGAGAGGCAGAGTGTGAGCGGGGTAAGGGCAGAGAGAGAGGGAGACACAGAATCCGAAGCAGCTCCACGCTCTGAGCTGTCAGCACAGAGCCCGATGCGGGGCCCGAACTCACAGACCTCGAGATCATGACCTGAGCCGAAGTTGGATGCTTAACTGACTGAGCCTCCCAGGCGCCCGCGTAATGATTATTTTTAACCGGACTATTAAAGTATGGAAACTAATAGTGCTCTGGGATGTCCAAGTTCAGCAGCGCACCCACTTTGCGAGGATGAGGTCTGTGTGTGCTCTGTTGGTGGCGGGCTCCCCAGGGCCCAGCACGGAGCCTGGCGCCCAGCAGGTGCTGGGTCAATGGGATGTGCCTTGGTTGAATGAGCAGGACAGGGTTCCAAGAGCTATGACATGATGGTTGTAGAAAGAGCAGGAAACCGAGGGTGCCTGGGTGCCTTAGCATCTGACTTTGCCTCAGGTCATGAGTTCAAATCCCTCATCGGGTGCGCTCCTGAATGGGAGCCTCACTTCAGGTAACCTTGAGCCCCGCTTTGGGTGAGCCCTGCTTCTCTCTCCCTCTCTCTCTGCCCTTTATGGGATTCTCTCTCTCACTCTCTCTTTTTCTCTGCCCCTTGCAGGATTCTCTCTCTCCCCCACCCTTCTCTCTGTCCCTCACTCACTTGTGCTCTCTCTCTGTCTCTGTCTCTCTCTCTCTCTAAAAAAAGGAAAAACAAAAGGAAACCGAGAAACGGAGAGGCTGCTCACAGGTGCCCCACTGGGGAGGAGCCAGGCCAGGGTAGAAGATTCTGGCCCAGGCCCGCCAGCTCCGACACCAGCTCTGAAGGCCCACACTGCCCTGACAGGACCTCACTCCCGCAGGAGACTGTGTGGAACATGCTATTCTGTTCTGGGCTTCTTCTGGAATCAATCACTGCTCATTCGCTCAGTCTTTATTCGGTGAATAGGAATTAAGTAAAAAAAAAAAAAAAAAAAGTGCCCAGCAGGGTGCTCAGTGCAGGGACAGGAAAGCAGGCGGGAAGGCCAGGCGGGGGAGCAGTACCACACAAGCTAGAGGCACCCAGTGGAAACGGCTTCCAGTGTGGGAGGGATCCCGTCGGGGAAGGAGGGAGGGAGGGCAGGGAGGGCCCCTCGGGGAAGGCGGCTTCCAGGCCGAGTCCTGGGTGAGAAGCTGGCCCTGTGAAGATGTGTGGGAGGACTGACCCAGGCAGAGGGAACAGAGTGCAAAGATCCCCAGATGGGATGGGGGGGGGGTGTTCTAGAGCTTCGGGAAAACGGGGGAGGGGGGTGAGGGCAGGTACCACACAGGTCTTCAGGGGCCAGGGGAGGGAGCTCATGCCACTTTGAGGGCAGCCCCTGGGGAGGGGCCCTGCATGGGTGAGAATGGAGGGGAGGTCAGGGAGAGGGCTTCTGCCACGGACCCAGAACCGTGAGGCTGACGTGGGAACAGAGGGAGGGAATGACTGAGGGCACGAATCAAGACCCTGGGCCTACCCTCCTCACCCCTCCCAGGCAGGCACTGCTGATAAAGACAGTCAGACTTCCACAATCAGGGGCTCGTTTGGGAAAGCGGGGCCTACGTAGCCCGGCCACTCCCTTCTCCAGTGGCCCCAGGTGACAGGTCTGCCCCCTCTCTTAGCCCATCTCCAGGGCCCTCGATTTTGCAATCAGAAGGCACAGACTTGGACGCCAGACAGACGCGCAGCCCACCCCCACCTGCCTCGCCTCTGCCATATTCCTGAGCCTCCCTTGCCTGTCCCCGTGTCTCTTCCAGAATCAAAGCGAGGGCTTGAGGCCTGTGGGCTTTCACACCAGGCAGGCCTGGGTTCGACTCCCAGCTCTGCCCCTTCCCGCGTGGCTGTGTGTGAGCTGGGCAACAGCCTTCACTTCTCTGAGCCTCGTCTGTAAAGTGGGTCTAAGAGTAGCAACCTCCAAGGGCCGTCATGAACGTTAAGAAACTTCCTTAAGAACTTAAGACTGCGCGTGGCATGGAGGGAGCATTCGGAAGGCCGCTGTTAGTGGTCTCTACCATGGACACTGTTACTCATGTATTCCCATGTTCAGTGAGTATCTACTATATGCTGGGGTCTGGGCTCTGGAGCTAAGAGACAGTGTGGCCCCACTCCTGGGGGAGGAGGGGGTGACAAGTTCTACCCTAGTAGGTGAGGGAAGACTTATAGGAGGCGGCCTTGGTGCCAAGTTCTCAACAGTAGACAGGTGCTTTTCAAACAGCCAGAGAAAAGAATGCTCTGGCAAAGGGAATAACCAGTGTGAAGGCCACAGGCAAGTTCCCTAATGGACATGAACTTCAGCCGAACCGCTGAAGGACCCAGCTTGCAGCTGGATGATCCACCCACAAGAGGGCCTGGGCTGCCCAGCACTCCCCCCCCGCCCCAATAAATACCAGAATATCAGAATCGAGGGAACACACAATCTTGGCCTTAGGGCCCAAGCTGTCGAGAGCTTGAGCATTTCCTGGCCGTGTGGCTTTAGACAAGTCACTTCCCCCCTCTAAACCACAGCTTCCTCAGCTGCAAAGAGGGGAGGGGTGCGCTGACCTCAAACGCTACTGAAAGGCTTCTAGAAGCAACTAAGGAAGCAAAGATGAATCTTAGCCAGGGGTCACTGGCCTCTGAGGGCATCAGAAAATGGGGGACCCTCTCCCCAGAAAACTGTGCTTATCATATGCTGCTGACAATGGTGGGTGTTCACTGGTGCCCTGGATTCAGGGTTGGGGATGGGGGAATGTAATCTCAGGGCTACTTTCAGGGAGAAGTGAGGCTGGGCAGGACATAAAGCCACTCGGAAATCCCTCCCAGGACCTATCAACTTGTTCAAGTGCTCACTCAAATTTTCATCTTCGACTTGAGACTAGAATTCTGTTATTATTTCAGCGTCTGTGCTTCTGGGGAGGCAGGGGGCAGTCCAACACACTTTAGTTTAAATTAGAGCAATCACCCTTTCCTCCTGACACTTGGTAGGCAACAAGAGGAGGGAGATTTGGAGGACCAGAAGGTGATGGGGGATGCCCAGAAAGGAAGAAAAGGGGTAATTTGGGAAAGCTGTTTCCGGAAAGGATAAGTAGAGTGTGCGTGCCACTGTAGGTATGTGGTGTGTGTGTGTGTGTGTGTGTGTGTGTGTGTGTGTGCACGCGCGCGCACGCCTATGTGTTCTCTAGTGTATGTTTGGGGTCGGAAGTGACTTGGATACTAAGTATCAGGGGGAAAGGACTGGAAGAATGGACAGGCAGAGTAAGGAAAATGTTAACAACACACTATTTTTGCTTAATATTGATCATTCATATTCAGTTTAAAGCAAAGCACACAAATTTTGCCTTCTTCTATTTGTGAGATATGTGCTTGGCTAAAACTTTTAACGGGATCGCCTCTACCTCCCACCTCTGGGGGGAGGGACGCCTCGCCCTCAGCCGCTCAGAGAGAAGAAGCCACCGGCCTAGGGTCACATGGCCCGAGTGGCAGCCCTGAATCTGACCAGGCTGAGGCAAACTGTGCACCGTCCTCAGATGGGACATAGCAACAGGCCTATCTCTGTCACCAGAAGAAAACAGCTCAAAGTGGACAGGTCGGGCCTAAGCAGGAAATAGCAAAGCCTAGGGGATGCCTTGACGTGAAAAAGCAGGGCAGCCTGGCAAAAAGAAAATAGCCGGGGACCCACAAAACCAAAGGCAGCTTCCTGGTCATCCATGGCCAGGGACTCCACTCTGGAGGGACCAGAGTGCCCAGTGTGGGGCTTTGGGCCAGCCTTCTACCTCCCCCTCATCCCCCACCCCGCTGTCCCACTGGACCCTGTCAAGGGCAGCGGCCCAGCATCCTGGCAGTGAGGATGGGGAGTGAGAGCCTCAGACTTGGCATCGCACAGCCCTGGGTTCAAATCCTGCCTCTGCTGCTTGCCAGCTGGTGACCGAGACTAGGGACTTCACCTCTCTGAGTCCCTGTTTACCCCTCAAAAAAAAGGGACGGGTGATCGCAACCCTTTCTCAGGGAGCTACGGTGAGATTCAGGGCGAGTCTGGGCAAGGGGCTGAGCAAGCACACCAGGGACGCTGGTCGGAGAGGACGCAGAGGGTTTGGATTCTGGCCGCACCTTGAATCTGCTCAGGGTGAGACCCCTGCCCACCGTGGGATGCGGCCTCTCCCCCTGCTGTAGCACAGTGGTCTTCCTAAGACATGAAGAACGGCAGAGGGCCGCCCCCCACATGCTGCGGGGACGGTGCATTTCTAACAGAGGGGAGAGCACTGGCCACAGGAGTCTGGCTGTCCCCCAGCAGAAGCTGGGGAGTGGAGTGGTTCCGGGCATCCTCTGGCGGAGCCCGGGCTCCGGTGGGGGGGCAGGGGGACTTGTGGATGCACTTACCTCCCCTGGGCACTCTCATCTCTGGGCTCCAGCCCTGGTGGCTGCTCGCCAGGACGGTCCGCCGGCTGACCCCTGCGGAGGCAAAGGGAACGCTGCGTTAGGGTGGGGCTGTGGAGGGGCCCGGCCCCCCTCGGAGGGGCAGAGGAGGGTGTCGGGCTCCCAGGAGCATCGGCGGCGATTTGGGAGGGCAGTATTCCGGGGGGCGAGCTGGAGTGCAGGGGGAAGCTGTAACAGCTGGGGTCTGAACTCGCCTGTTCCTACAGGGAATGAACTGGCTTACGGCTCAGGCAGAGGTGTGAGCTGAGAATCCGAGCTAAGGCGCTGCTGCCTTAGGGAGCGGGTGGATGCCTGCCAACCAGCCTTCTCCCTTCCTCCTGGCCCAATGGCACTGGACCTCAGGAAAAGTAAATACAAGGATGAGTAACGACCACCACCATTATACCACGAATCACCATCTGGGGCTGCTGGGTATGGCTGAACAGGCTGTGCACTGCCCAACTCCGAAAGGGCCCCACAAACCTAGCCTATGATAAATACAGCGCCCTCAGAGAAGGACCATGTCCTGCCTCGGGAAATTACCCGGGTGTAGCCTGTTACCGCACCTCTCTGCCCTCTCTCCCTTTCACGTCGCTCACTCCTCGCCTCTATGGTTTGTGCCACCCTCGAAAAGGCGGGCTGATGAGGGCTCATAAACACAGCCGGAGAAGGGTGTCCAGATGTGACCACGGCAACCAGCCACACCCCGTCCTCCTAGGGCACTTGAAGCTCTTCTGGAGGGGAGATGACTGGGGCAAGGCTGCCCTCGGGGGCCCTTGAAATGCCACAGAGCTCAGAGGGGCGAGCCAGGGATGGGGCGGCTAGGACCGCCTCCCATTATTTACAGCTGCACGTCCAGTGGGGGCACTACCCACTTGTAAGGCATTTAAATTTAAATTAAGTAAAATGGAAAAAAACAATTTAAAGGGGCGGGGCGCCTGGGTGGCTTAGTCAGTTGAGTGTCCGACTTCGGCTCAGGTTATGATCTTGCAGTTCGTGAGTTCAAGCGCTGTGTCGGGCTCTGTGCTGACAGCTGAGCCTGGAGCCTGTTTCAGATTTTCTCTCTGTCTCTGTCTCTGTCTCTCTGTCTCTCTCTCCCTCTATGTCTCTCTCTCTGCCCTTCCCCTGCTCACGCTCTCTCTCTCAAAAATAAAAATAAACATTAACAGGATAATAAAATACATTGAAAAAAGCAAATTAAGTAAAATGAAAGAAAATTTTAGGTTTAGCTCCTTGTGTGAAATAATGGCCGTATTTCAAGTTCTGAGCAGCGATGCGATGGCCAGAGGCTACCGTGCCAGACGGGGCAGATCTGGCATGGGGTTGGTGAACTATGAGCCAAATCCAACCTTCAGCCCTTGACCTAAGAGTGGCTTGTACTTTTTTTTTTTTTTTTTTAAGGGAAAGAGGAGGGGGAGGAGCCAGGGGAAAGGAGAGGCAGCTAAAACAACCTGATGCACTCAGCAAAACCTAAAATAGTTAATATTTGGATATTTATAGAGCAAGTTCGTGGACTCGCGTTCTAGTACATTCCCATCCTTTGCAGAAGTTTCTACTGGGCAGCGCTGACTTGGAAGACAAATGAAGTGTATGGGTCGGGGGTGGGGGGGCATGGACACTGAACCCTCCTTTTCTTCTGGGAGGAACGTCAGCATTTATTAAGCACCACTGTGTATCGGACCCCAGACCAAGGGCGTTCCGTGCTCTCCCTCATTCCAGCCTTGCAGCGGCCTGATGGCAGCATGGGGTGGCGAGGGGGCACCTCGGTTCTCCAGTTTAGGGGTGACAGAGTCCCACGTGGCTGCAGCGGGTGCATAATGATGACAAAAAGCAGAACCACCAAAGCGGCCGGAGCGAAGAGCAAACACAGACCACAGAAGAAGAAAAAAGATGAGAAGGAAATACGTCAACTCCAAATGCCGACAGGAGTGGGGTTCGGTGTGAACACCCTCTCCCTCAGGGCACGCTGTCACAGTGTCGCCGTCCTACCTGACTCTGTCGTCAAATAATAAGAGGACGAGTATCTTCTCCTGGACTAGGCACAGCACGAGCCCGGGCGCTTGGGCTCAGGCCCCGGTTCCAGCAGCTACTCGCTGTGTGGTCCTGGCCAGTCACTTACCCTCTCTCTCTGAGCCTCAGTTTCTGCATCTTTAAATGGGGGTGACAGCAATACCTGAAAGGAGGCCCCCGGGGGCACCTGGACACTCCCAATGTGGCCAATGTGGACGAGGAACCCGCCGCGTGGGGGTGAGGGGCACTGTAAATCGGTCAGAAAACACTGGAACAGTGCCTGGCACATGGGGCTGTCCACATGCTCCCTTTTGCTGTCTCCCTTCATCTGCGGGACAGCTTTTTATCCCCATTTGATGGGTTGAGGAGATTGAAACTTGGAGAGCCAAAGAGGTTTGCGGAAGCCACGCAGCTTCGTAAGAAAAGTTGAATGTTGAGAACAAGCTGAGGGCTGATGGGGGGGGGAGGGGAAGGGGGGTGATGGGCATGGAGGAGGGCACTTGTTGGGATGAGCGCCGGGTGTTACATGGAAATGAACTTGACAATAAACTATGAAAGAAAAAAGAAAGAAAAGTCAGTTTCCAAATCCGGTTCTGTCCCCAGATCCTGGCATCACGTCACGTGGTTAGTGGCAGCAGGCGAGGCCGGAAGGGCCTCTGCTCTCTCTCTGCACAAGGGTTTCCCCGAATGACCACTGGGAGGGAGAGGCGGGGGTAGGGCCTTCAGTCTTCGAGGTCCCTTTAGACCCACATTCACTCATTCACTCATCCTGCAAATATTTATGGAGCGCCTGCTATTGCCGGGCACTGACCAGGGTGCTGGGGCTCGTCAAGGGCGGCAGACAGAGGCCCCTGTCTACACGGAGGTGACATCCTGGCGGGCGGCAAGGAAACCAGCGGGTGAGAGGATGGCACCTGTGATAAATGCTTGGAAATGCCCACAGCAGGGATGGGGAGACAGGCCATGAGGTGTCACAGAAGGAGGGGACGTTTACACAGAGACCTCAACAATCTGGGGTCAAACTCATTTGAACTTTCTAACACAGCACAGTTTCTCCAAGCTCAGCAGATCAAGGGTTCCCCATACTGGGGAGGGAGGTCGTGGCACTTACAGAGTGCACAGGAGGGGTGCCAGGCGCCCCTGTGCTCGGGCTTGGCCATCCACCCTGCAACTCTGCTGGCAGGCACGAGCTCCCAAACATTCCATTGCCACGGCTACTAATTACCCCGCTGACCTCGCCACTGGAGCCCAGCCCTTCCCTGGCAAAGCTGGGGAGCTAGGAGACAGGTGTTCTCTGGTAGAGGCGCCTGGTGATCAGAGACCTCTGGAGACCCACTCAGGAGGGAAGCCAGCCAGATTCCGATGGGGCAAGAGGAAGAGGAAAAAGAATAATTCTGGAGCCCTGGACCAGGCTTGAGCATAAAAAACATTCTTGGGGCTTAGAAAGGGAAGAAGAGAGGGCAGGCTGGCCTGCTGCTTTAAAAGTATAGCTCGGGGCGCCTGGGGGGCTCAGTCAGTTGAGAATCTGACTTTGGTCATGATCTTGCGGTTTGTGAGTTCGAGCCCCGCATCGGGCTCTGTGCTGACAGCTCAGAGCCTGGAGGCTGCTTCAGATTCTGTGTCTCCCTCTTTCTCTGCCCCTCCCCCACTCGTGCTATCTCTCTGTCTCAAAAATAAATAAACATTTAAAAAAAGAAAAAAAGAAAAAAGAAAATAGAAGTATTAGCTCTTACTTATTAAGCACTTACTGTATGCCAGATACTAAGCGAAGGGTTTTACACACATCACTGAATCTTGTCCTCACTCTCTCGCCACCCCCCTTATTTCTTTTGACCCTCCCTTATTAACCACCTGTTTGCTGGAGCTCAGAGAGGTGGGGTCACCTGCCCAAGGCCACACAGCTGGTAAGCAGGGGAGTCAGGAGGAAAACACACGTCTTTGTGTGTTTTACCCAAAGTGACCAAAGCAGGGCTCCCACTTGCTGTCTGGCCTCCACCTCAGAGGCCCAGTTCAGCCTTCTGGTAAGGCACAAGGTGAGGTTGGGGCCTGGGGAGGCCATGGGTCACATCCCGGCTCCCCTACTCAGCAGCTGGCTGCCCAGGGTCACTCTGGTGTGGCTCCCGGAGCCTCAGTGTTCCCACCTGACAAATGGGAATAACGCCCAGACCAAAGAGAGTCTTGAGGAACTTTACGAAACTTCCACCAAACGAGTCAACATGCAAAAATGGGCTCATTTAATACCATGAGTACTGTCCTCACAGCAGACGGACAAAGAATGGGAGGGGCCCCCGCACTGAGAACACAAGTGACCCGGCGAGGTGGGATCAGCAACTCTCCTCTGTGAAGGGCCAGGGAGCCAACGGTCTTGGCTACGTGAGTCACATGGTCTCTGATGCAACCACGCCTCTCACGAAAGCAACTGGAGATGACACAGGACACAGCGAGGAAGGCTGGGGCTGGGCTCCGACGGACAAAGCCAGCAGCCAGCTAGATGTGTCCTGCGGGTCACCGTTTGCCAACCACCCCCCCCCCACCCCGCCGGGTCTGCGGAGTGAAGATACAGCGCATGCGCCCAGCAGGGCTTCGCCAGCGAGAAAACCAACGCAAATGCAGTTACAGCCCCAGCAGGAGCTGGCATATATCCTGGTCCCGCCCCCTCAGTGGGAGGCCCCAGGTGGCCGACCTTTGGTGGCTGAGAGGGAAATGTACAACTTAGGGAAACAAATAGTTCAGTTTAAAAAAAAAAAAAAAGGAAGAAGCAGCAGCATGGGCGCAGCGTCATCTGGCATCTGGTCTGTCACCAAGTAAATAAAGACTCAGGGAGAGCCGCGTGCGCGCCTGGTGCTTTGTCACCTTCGGCCTCCAGCGGCATGGTGGGGGTGGGCACTGTTCCCAGCCCCGTTTTACAGAGCGGGGCGGGTGAGGCTCAGAGAGGCGAGGTGCCTAGCCCAAGGTCACACAGATGGTAACGGAGCCTGAACTGGAACCCAAGTCCCTTGCGGCTGTGCCCACTCCTCTGGCATGGC